GGAACAGCCATGATTCGGCCTTGAACACCAAACATAGACCAGACAAACCCGGATAGCAAGGTGAGAGCCAGCCCAAAGGAGGAAAGGATGGACCAAGCACCTTCGAAGTATACTGGATCCGACATTGCGTATAAGAATGCACCAAAACGCGCTGGTTGATACGAGTGGAGTACTGGCAAGTGTGATTTCTCCGAATCTGCTGCTTCGATCTGATCTGTAAGTGTTTGTCTTTCAAAAAACATTCCGAGAGGGTAGATCCTTGAAACCTAATGTCTGCGCAAGCATTCGTGATGCTGCTGTTTTTGTACAAGACTGTAATCTACTTCATCAACAACCAGGAGGACCTGGTAGAGTAAAAAACAATTTTACTGCGCCCAAGCCAATTATGATGCTCAAAAGCAATCTTAATCGCCCTCACCTTCTGAGTAGAAACAAGAAGAATTTTGTGCATACAACATACCCTATGTTTGCTCATGATCGGTGAGGCAAATTTCAGACAAATCATTTCTAGGCATCCTCAACAGCCAGCAATGATGCTAGTGGTAATAGCCGTCATAGCCTGCATGTAGATCTATAATCTCCAAAAAGATTACACGACTGTTTATTGATCACCGTGTATTGACTACTGCGTTTTCACCCTCCGGCAGTTAGCTAGTGGGCCAAAAACGTGAAAGATGGTGCGCTTCCAACTTTACAGTCCACCCAGGCGTGGCAACTCACTCTGAAGGACCCTCAGCAACAGCTGTGCCTTCTCCATACGGATTCAACATGTGGTCGTTGTTTTAACAGTGCTGACAGCGCAAATAAGTCAAAATAGCGCTGCTGTGTGTTTTGAAGGTGTTGGACCAAGAATAGCATGTAGTTAGACGTAAAGAGCTTCTGCTGGCCATAAGCTTCATATTTTTCGTACGTAATTTTGAATTCGTTCATTTTTTCTTGAATATACTAATAAGTCTCATACAACAAACATTTGACCTCTTGCGTGTTTCCTCCTCTCTCGTTTACAACTTGGCATTTACGAGGAATCCACGTGCTCTTGCAGCAATAGCCTCTGCGGAATCCACTTGCACCTGGGGTATCTTTAATTCCTTTGCAGAGGACCGATGTGGGTTTAACTGGTTTTGAACTACTTGCTGTAGTCCGAATGATGACAAGGTGGTGATGATTCCTAGCTCGGATTCTTGGGCGTTGAGGTATGTCATGTCGCTGACACAGATTCCGTATAACATTTTCTGTGACGTTGGTAGTGATGAGTTGGAAACTTTGATGGACTTTAAAACTTTGACCTGCTGGTCATAAAGCAGCAATACCTCAACAAAAGTTCCAAAATCAGGATGTGAGTGCTTGAATCCCTCTCTGAACAAATCAGCTGCGAAAACGCAAAGAAGTAAAGAAGTGTCAACACATTGTCATTGTCACATCGTCATTCGTTCCTCAAAGCACAACCCACCATGGTAGAAAGCGTTCTTTGGGTAAATCAACTCAAAGTATTTTGCACCACGATCCAAATATCCTTGAATGGTGTTTGGCTTGAGCTCACGTCGCTGTGGCAGCTTGTTGGCTTCCTCGAGGATTTCTGGGTTGATTTCCTTGACTGCGAGGTTTACTTCCGACATTCCGTTTGAGAGTATTGGGATTCCGACTAGTCCTAGTACCTAAAAAGGTAGTGATGCTAGTTAGACATAGATGTGAGGTGCAAGGTCGTCCACAAAATGTGATGCTCGAACCACAGTACCTTGAACTGAGCTTCCCGAATCTTGGATAGCGCATATACAGCCTTTTCCTTTCCTTGTGATTCATAAACCTCTTTAATATACTGTCCAGCTATCTGTCCAGCGGCGACATGTTGTCCTGACGTGGTGAATGCTAGAGTCAAACAAACAGCGGATGCTTCACGTGATAGCGCCTTGAATTCCGACAAGAGTTCCTTGATTGTGTTCTCTGGTAGCTTATTAGACATGATTGCACCTGGATTCCACGGTTGTTTGTGATGGCAGAATGGTAATTCACGTTCAGTGTAACTGCAAGCAAAACACACGAAAGCTCGAAATATAATTACACGGTCGCTCACGGAAAGCTGGGGTTCTAGTAACTAGCATGTCTACGCAATTTAATGACTCGCTTCTGGGCTCTGTGGAGTCAATCTACTATCTTGAATTCGGGTCGTTGTTGTTAATAGCGGCATATACAGCTAGCAATCAACCCGTCGAGGCTGGTATAACCGCACGGGGTAAATATCAGTGATCGCAGCTATATGAGTCGATTTCTTGCGTCTTTTACTGCTACAAACGGTCTGACATTATTTATATTTAGAATTCGTCAAGGTCGCACTTAGTGCTGGCAAACCTCAAGCTGTATCGGCAGCTGATAATGTTAGAGAAGTGATCTTCAAGTTGGTGCCACTGCTGGGACTGCCATTAGTGTGAGTGTGTGTGGTTTTGTGTTTGACCTTTGGCCAACATTCTTGGACTGAACGTATGATTTCTCTATGCGGATTAGGATCAATGCTTTGACTGAAGTTAGAAAGCAAATTCGAGTAAGAAAATGCTCGATTACATGATCGCCACATGTGAGGCTTACACAATCTCTGAAACTAGGAACTGGACTACTCGATAGTCGACGCGCTTGACAAGATGCCATCCCGTCGAGACTGGACTGCTCCCGGCAACGCAAAAAAATTCACAGACAATGGAAACAAATACTTCAACACTATATACCCAACTGCGGAAAAACCTCAACGTGAATCCATGCCAAAACTACATAAAGACTTGGAGCATTTCGTATTATCTGTTTGTTACGGTAGTTGTGCGAGTGATGCCAGCAGGTTTGGTGTTAAGGAGACTGAGCTGGCCATTGTTGCTGCTCTTGCTGCGTTGGGAACTGGACATATTGCTGCTCAGTTGAATGCACACAAGGGAGGTGCGGTTGCTAGTGGTGCTACTGCAAGGGAGGTTGATGCTGCTGAGAAGATTGGGGTTTTGATACGTCAACGTGCGCATAAATTGTAATAGCTTTTACTGCATGTTTTGGTAAATAATAGGTTGAAGCCATTTCCGGTGCAAAGTTGAAGCTATGAACTTTAAACAAACAGTTTCAATTCGAAAATGCTTTTATTATTATAGCTGAGCATCATTCAACAGATTTTTACATATTCTACCTTCCTTAATCACCACCTTCACATTTTTGATCCCGTCATCAAGGATCGTGATATCCATCAGTGGATTTCTTTCTACCACAATCAAGTCTGCAAAAGCTCCTATCTTGATGACACCAGTTTTGCCTTCCAAACGACAGAGTTTCGCGGCATTGATTGTAGCTGATTGCAAGATGGCTACTGCTGATAGGACTGTTGACCGGATTGTGAATTCTTGGGATTGGAAGACGTGCATTCCTGAGAGTAAGTCTGTTCCGAAACTATGTTGTGTGAATGAAAAGTTGATATCAATGCCTGACACGGGGAACATGTTCAAGCAAAAACAAGAACCATATTTGTTATACCACATCATGACCCCAGCATCATGAGCCAATTTCAGCGACGCCATCCCATTCTCCAACACCATATCATTCTTAACCCGAACCTCCGGATCCAGTTTCCCGAATTTCAGAGCATTGTATGTAACCAGTGTCGGTACGAGGGTGACTCCATACTGTCTCATGAGCGTAGCGGTTTCGACATCCATAAGGTTCCCATGCTCTATGCATTTCACTCCAGCTCGTATTGCTTGTTGTATTGCTTTGGGTGTGTATGCGTGCTATCAAGAAGTCGTCCATGCTCGTTTTTTTTTTGGTGGAAGATAGAGAGCGAGAAACAACTTACCGCAGTCACATAAGTACCGTGATTCAGAGCAACAGTACATATCGCTTCTAATTCCTCTCTTGTGAATTGGGTGCCCAGTAATGGGTCCGTCAAGCTCATTACACCACCGCCAGCCATCACTTTGATAAAATCAGCTATCAGCGAGTTGAAATCAGTCAGTGTTGTGTTGCTGTTGGCTTGCGACCACGACCAACAAAGAAATGTCACATCACATACCTCCACGCCGCAACTCATCCCTAGCAGCCTTCAAACACTCTGGCACACCATCACAAACCCGTGCGATACTAGGATTATCATGAGCACATATACACCCCTTTGTCAAATTATCTGCCTTTGACGAGCGCTGGTCTCCGTGTCCTCCGGTCTGTGATAACGCTTTACCACATTGTATCAACCTCGGCCCCGTAACGAGGCCCTGAGATATAGCGTCCGCAAGAGCCTTGTTTGCTCCTGCACAGTCTCGCACGGTCGTGAAGCCTCGATGCAGCATTTGTGTGAGCGTGTATGCGGATCGGAGTGTTTTGGTCGTTTCGTCTAGGTCGAGGGATTCGTGCATTGAGGACACTCCGGGTACTACGTTTTGTAGAAAATATGTCGTTAGAAAAATGCTTCTTTGACGTTTCTTATAAAATTGTGTGTTGAGGTTTGTGTGATTATGAATGTGCGTGCCTTACCAGCAGTGCAATGTACATGGCAATCAGTCAGGCCAGGTAGCAAATACTTGTTTTTAAGATCAATTATTGGGACATCTTTCTTGCTTGATATAGGAGATGGTCCAATGTATGTGATTATGCCATCGTCAACTTCCACACTTCCAAACGTGATACTCCCAGTTTCAACATTGACGATATTCGCATTTAAGATGATCAGGGACTGCTGGCCCTGTACAGTCCATGGTAAACGTTTGGACATGTCTTACACTATCCCCGAGAGGCAACAGACCTATTGTTTGTGGTTTCACCAAAAAAACGTAAGACGCAAACGAGAATACAATAGCGATTTGATACCGACAAGTAAATTCGAAACCACATTGAATTCCTTGGTGATCATTTACAGACAGGTTCATATTCAAACAACAACTAGGTATTTGGTTTTTTACTATTGTTTTTCGTGCAGTTTTAGATAACTTCTTTCAACACTGTAAAGCTTCCATTGTCCTCAACTTTAACATACACACTCTAGTTTACACCCATTCTTCCTCTTCATCATCTTCTCCTTCAGCGAAACTAGACAATTTAGGAACATGCTTACGGGAACTCGGTCTGAAAAAGGCCAACTTTTTGATATCTTTAACTCGTATACGTCTAGACCAGTCCTTTTCCAGCATGACTCGACAGGCTGTTGCAGCAGCATCCGAAATATCAGCACCACCATCCCGTTTACCCATTTGTCGTAGTCTTTCAATTCGTCGAGAAATGTCTAGCTCTACTATTTCTCGATCACCGCGGAATGGATCCATTTTGAAGAGAAGCACGTAGAGGAGTGCACCTAGTGCCCATACTTCTTGGGCTTCAGGGTAGTAAGGGAGTCCTTGGACGGCTTCTGGAGCTGCGAACTTTTTGGTTCCAAAGAATAGGGACGCGGTTTGGCCGGGTATTAAAGGTGTTGCTGATCCAAAGTCAATGATTTTGACTTCTCGTGTTTTGGTGTTTATCATGATGTTCTCATCTGCAGGGAGGAGACAAAAATCAGGGAATGCATCAGCATCAATGGTTTTAACAGAAAGTCCAACAGAGCTCCATATTACTCACCTTTGACATCATTATGCGAATATCCAAGCTTATGTAAAAACTCGATAGCATCCACAATTTGAGTGAAAATCTCACGAGAATGATCTTCTCTAACAGGTCCATGCACTTCAACGTAATCATACAAATCAACCCAATCTTCACCCAAGTATTCCATCACGATTATGTACCGGGTATTGTACTCGAAATGCTCAATATACTTGACTATAGCTGGATGAGGAGGCTGTTGGATTGCGAGTTGTCTCATGAGATGTATTTCGAGTGGCACTTTGGGGCGTGCTGGTGATGGGCGATGCCAATGCCATACTGAAGATGAGCGAATGAATTTACAGACGACACGTTTTGATGGGTCGGCGATTGTTTGGGCTAGACGGACTGTTGAGTGGCCTCCTGAACCGAGTTTCTTCAGTGTCTATTTGTTGTTGTTTTAGTTTCTTCGTTTTGTTTCAGAGGAGCACAAAAAAATTAGTCAAGTTGGGGTCATGTACCTTGTACTTCAAATCAAAAGCAGGGCACTTGAATCGTTTAGCATTTCGAGATTTGGGGGTTCCATAATCGTCATCTGCGTCATCATCTTGATCTATTGAAGGAGCCTTTTCCTTTTCATCATGAGATATCTCTGCTGAGGCAATAATTTTGGAATCTTCATCGTGTTGACGAAATTTGTCTGCGATTGATGGGACAACCTTATTTCCATGGATAAACCTCCTTAATAGCGGCGATGACCGGAATTGTGTGGTGGTGGCGGCGGTTGCAGGTGTTTGTGCAGTTACTGCTTTACTGTTGCTGGTGGTTGATTCTTTGACTGTTTGCGGTGGTAAAAGATTGCTGATACTAGTGGAACTTGTGTATGGTGGAGGAGGAGGAAGAGAGGAGAAAGATGATGATACTGGTTGTACTTGTTGTTGGTGAGCAGATGTAGCTGGTGTACCTGCAGAAGTAGGAGCTTGTGGTTGTTGGTGATGACTATAGCCTTGTAGCTGTTGACGTAACGAGTTGACTAAATGCAGAGGAGCAGCGAGACTCGACAAGCGAGCAGACCAACCCAACGCCTTTCTGGGAGCTTTGGGAGCAGATGTTGGCTCTGCTGTGACGACTGTAGTTTTAGCTGAAGAATCTTGAGACAATGTGGATATGACCATGTCATCCACGTCCTGTATCATTGAAGACAAGTCTTCCTCCGAATTTGTATTTGAGTCAGCAGCGACAGAAGCCAGGTTTTGAACTGGGGGCCATCGTGACAAATGCGTGACAGTTGGAGTATCGGGCAGAGACATGGATGGTGGCAGACGAGACTCGGACAAGTCAGATTCCGAGCCCAAGGAGCCCGCAGACGCCTCCCGATATAGTGATAAATCGTTTTCGATGCGTTCTTCAGCAGCGATGGCATCCGAAAGGCCACCACGATTTTCGACAAAGGTGGCATTTTGGGAATCAATGTAGACAGTCCGTCTCTTTTGCAGGTCGGGAGAAACCACATTGTCGTCATTGTAGTTGGATTGATAAAGGTCGTCGATGGTTTTGCTAACGGTGCTACTACTGCAACGAGTCTTGATATTCGCTTCATCGTGGGGAGGCGAGGTAGCAATGACAGTCTCGAGCGACGATTGGTTTAGAAGGGTGTGTGTGCTGGGTTTGACTTGGGAAACTCTCATGGAAGCGAGAGAGGTGTAGCCTTCATCGACACATCTGGGTTTCATTAAAGCCATTTTTTCAGCGACGCGTGGTATGGGAGGTGGTGGCCGATTTGGGTAATTTAAATCCATAATATATTCGTACTCTCGGAGTAGGAAGGGGATATTTTTCGACGTGAATATAGCGATATCTCGCCCAAAATGACAGGACTTGCTTCCTTTTTACTGCGGACGTGTTCTCAAGAAATTTCATTCCTGTGATTGATGCACGTCGGGGGTATCCGATTTTCTTCTTGTTTGTGTTTGTTGACTGCGTTGCCTAGGAAAGCTGCGAGAATCACCTGACAATATGGTCGTAGCATCTCTGATCTTGGTGGATTTGTTGCTGAATTTCTTTGGGTGGAAGCCGCAAAAGCCTGACGCAAACAGAGACGTGTTAGTATTTGTGGTTTTCGGATGGAGATCAACTTTGTTGAATGGAAACCTCTTTCATTCTCTTGCATCAGAAGTGCACTGAGTGCACGGCTGGACTGCTGTCTTCTTCCTTCTGTGTTGCTGATCCAACACTGTGCTAATTTCTCATCACCTTATTAGACTCTTCTTGGACATAGATAACACGCTCTATCATAGATCGTCTGGTATTGGATTCCTCATGGGTGAAAATATTGATAAATACTTCAAACGCCACTTGACCCATCTGACTGATGAGGAACGACAAGAAATACACTCCAGATGTGAGTCAATGGGTTTCACACGGAGCTGTTATAATACTCACCGCATCCTGGACGCTAGATTATCTTGAATACGGACTTGCTGTGCGAGGCCTCATACTCCATCATGAAGTGGATCCTGCTGATTTCGATCGGGTGAGGCTTTTCTTTCGCTCCAACGGCATACAGCAGCCTACCAAGGAGTTTACAACGAGGCCTACACATCAAGTTTACTCACACCGCAAACTCTCAACCTGTAGGAAGTTGATTGCGCTATACCGCTAGAACATCTGATTTCATACGATGAAGAGCTTCGAAAAATGCTATTGCGAGTCAAAGGACCCCGGATATGGGCCTTCACCAATGCAGGATTATATCATGGCTCCAGAGTCCTCAAAATACTCGGAGTGGACGATCTAATAGAGGGTATAACGTGGTGTGATTACACTGCACCAGATGGTGAATGGACTTGCAAGCCCGATGTTCGATCTTTCTACAAAGCTATGAAGGAAGCGGGCGTAAAGGATCACCAGAAATGTTATCTGGTCGATGATTCGAAGAGTAATTGCAAGACTGCTGTGGAGTTGGGTTGGAAATGTGTGTACGTGATGGACGATGAAGATCGTGATGAGGATGTGAGGAACATTGGTCATCATCAAATAAGGAGAATTCATGATTTGCCAAAGGTGCTGCCGTTTTGGTAATTTAGATCCTGTTGTTACTAGTAAATAGATCATATCTTTATCGTTAAATGCAGCACTTTTCCACGCGTAGTTATTCCTGGCGAACGCGTAAGCTCCCAGAATAACGCGAACGAATCCATTTTTGGTGATCTTACATAGTAGTGCTGGGTGGGGGTTGTCGCCTGGACAGCTTTTGAGCATTTGAATCCCAACATCCAACGTCGCACTACAGCAAGGATGGCAGATTTACATACAGTGACCATAGTTCGCCATGGCGAAACAGAATGGACCAGATCCGGTAACTTTACTACCATGCATTCCTATTGCCGTCATCATAGCTTGCTGCAAAGTTAAGATTTGTCAACGAACTTCTCAAACCGATCGCTCATGTAATTCTATCCATAATTTCACACAGGCAAACATACTGGCAAGACTGATGTTCCGTTGGATCGTGAGTAAATCTATTGATTCCCATTTGATGTTATACTTTCCATTTGAAACATCGCGAGACTTCTGCTGCCATATTTCTGAGTTTAAGAGGCTACATATTCTTGCTAATCTGAAATCGATTAATTGTTGAAAAATAGGTGCAGGAAAAGAACAGGTTGAGACCCTTTCTTTGTCTCTCGTGACTGCATTTTTCGCTGCAGCATTCTCAAGCCTGGAAGCTCAATTGCCCTTCTTCCTATGTTTTTCGCAGGCTATATCCTGTGGAAGATACTTGCATCATGTAGTTGAAGCTTCCAAGCTACCCTTCTTTGAACTCTACCCTTTCGTGTATTCTTCACCTTTATCACGAGCACTTGGTAACAAAACAAAATACAAGCTATGGACAGTCTATATGCATTCACGGCATTTTTACCAACTGATTCATCTTTTTTGTAGAAACTGGATACGAAACTCTCAAATTGGCTTCCAAAGAAAAGGTCCATATTGAACATGACGCTGATATACAAGGTGAAGCTGATTGTCGATTGTTGATTGCATCTGTATCTGCCATTGACATCTGACATATCCATTTACTTCTACCTAGAATGGGATTATGGGTATGAAACTTCACCAGTGTTGACATGAAGCAACCCATGCGTCCCATAGTCGACGTGTCGTTAAACCCTTTTTTCGCTCTTGCCTTTTACAGCGACTACGATGGAATGACTTGGGGTGAGATTCATCAAGCAAATCCTGGTTGGAACATGTGGCGAGATGGGTGTCCTGGTGGTGAAAATTCAGAAGCAGGTCAGTATCTCAGCTTAGAGCGAAAGCACTGGTGTTTTTGAAATTTAAAGACGACAAAAATGGAAATTACTGACACAATCAATTGTTCGCAACAGTCGGAGCTAGAGCAGATCGATTCATTGAACGAATCAAAAGTGTCTTGGAGTTGGGAAATGTCTTGATCTGTAGGTTTTGTGGTTTATTGAAACAGTTGCGATTGTCAAGATGTCCTCAAACCATTCTTTTTCGATTTTATTATTCAGTCACTCATGGTAAGTGAACTGGTAGTATTACACAAGTATTTCCTGTCATAGGCCCTGTAACACTTTCTTCTAGGTCACTTCGCAAGGACTCTGGCTGCCAGGTAATTTGATATTCCTGGGAGCAGCGCTTCTGCCTTGGCATCTAGTCATTTCTCAGTGTGTGCGGATTTTCTTTTGTCACCTCTAATCCACATTCGAAACAAAAGGTGGATTGGCGAAACTCCAGATAAGGGCTCTGTCTTGGGTCTCTCAGTCGCAAGCATCTCTGTATTGGGATTTGAACATTCTCGGGACAGCCAAGTCATCTTGCAATGGAATGAAACTCAGGTGAGAAAAAAACGATCGGAAATGGTACACAATGTCTTGAATCTTCCATACTGACATACTACTCCGTGTTTCTGGGTCTAGCATCTCGAACCCTTTGTCCGATACAAGGAAGAAGTGCCAGAAGCAGTTGTAGTAGAAGAGCCTTGAATGATGGTGTTTCAATGATCACACTCTTTGCCATATTTTTATCCTTTGAGATCTTTGTCCAGTGTATATTTGACCTCGCTCTGATAAATATGCACACAATATCATCACCATACTCTCTTAAACCCATATGTAAACAAATAAAGAAAATCTTGCAACTGAAGAATGACATCTATTTACACAAACGTGTTAACATTTTACACCATTGTCGTATCTCCTATATTCCAACGAGCTTTCAATGATTCTTCCTCCTTGATGGCCTCTGCGAGATCGTCTTCGGAAATCTTTTTCAGAGTTCGAAGTTCTTCATTCACATACGTCCTGAGTTGAACACAATCTTCAAGGGCACGTATGAATTGTTTCGTGAGTCGCTCTCGTTGATCTTGATACCTTCCTGTCAGTTGATCATACCTAAAACGCGACAGAGAGCAAAAAAGCTTGAGTCCCCAAAATAACAGTAAGAAGTTTTCAAGACAAAGCGAGTCATTGATGTTTCAACCACCCACTTACTCGATTTGTGCATATTGAAGTTTTTGTTGTGCTTGAAGAAGGCCACGACTGGCATCATATCGTGTTCTCTGTATCTGCTGTTCTAATACCTCGACTTCTTGTTGCAATGCAGCGTGTTGAACTTTGATGACCTATTTATTCGATGGCAAACAAATGTGTTGGAATGAGTTCAAGCAAATGAGTGTGTGAAATCTAAAAGCGAAAAAATTATCACACCGCTACGATCGCAAAATACCTCAGTTTCTTCATTGTACTGCTCATTCAACACTCGAATACGACCCTCCAACTCTGTAAGATCATCCATCTTTTGTGATAGAGCCTCCATAAGGCGATCTAGAGACTCTTGAATGGCGCTTTGCTCATCAGCAAGCTTGTGCCTGAGAGCCGTGTATCGTGCTTGTAACGAAGTCAGAGCAGGCTAAACAAATATAGGTGAATTGATGGACTCGTGCATTTATCCATTGTAAGATTAAATACCTTGACTTTATTGCCCAAATCCGCTGAGGGTACGAGCTCAGGTTTCGGTGCTTGTAGATTCAATTTCAAATCAAAACGAATTGTAGGATCGGAAGAACTGATGTCAACTCTGTAACATAGAGCATTATATTCGTCTGCTAATTTCTCGAGCTGCGGATCAGAAAAGACAGTTAGAGAAACAAAAAATGGAAGGTTTGACCAAACATGGACTCGCGCAGCCAAGTCTACATCTCATCCTCACCTGGTCGATGGTTTTCTGATACCCAATCTCCTTTTCCCAGACCAGCTTGTTGACTTCGTCCCCTTTAGAATTCATAGCCTTTAACATCTTGACTAGTTGCTCTTGTTGATCTGTCATACGATCTACATCTTGTGGTGATATTTCCTGACCATCGACTGTCTTTTGCAATGCATTTCTTTCACCGGTGAGAGCACTCATTTCCAGTTCTGTAACACGGACAAAATCAATCTTGACCAAAAACAGGACGTAAGCAATGAAACATACCTTGAGTTTTGATGTCGTCTTGTAATTTGATAATGGTTTCGGCCAACTTGATGTTTTTAGCATCCACTTGCATCAGATATTGTCGGAATTTGACTAGATCACTTGTGAGAGTACTATTTTCACGATCAAGCCGTATTATTGGAGCCTAGGCGATTTATAATAAATGAAAGGATTCCAATTTCGTACACAATCTGACGGAAATCACCTCGGTACCAGTCAAGTCTTGTAACTCTTTCTTCAATATCTCATTTTCTTGGTTGAGTCTAGCTACATCTTGTATAACAAACTCATTCTTTCGGTCTAAATCAAAACCATCGTGTTAAGAAAAGTCGTGAAAAGTTTAAAATACACCATTCGATGGCTCTAAATTTACCAAAATCTGCCATCATTTCTTGGTCGATTCCGTCATAATTGTCGCTTCCAGCCATGAATAGCGCATAAGCTTTACTCAGATAGTCGAAAAAGAGCTTTTCAGGATTGCCAGTAGGATCTCCGTCTTCGACATCTGGATTATTGTCCATTTGCTCACACGCCTAGATTAGAATGGAGACGGTCGTTGAGAAAAAACAACGGGTTCGGTGATCGAATGGGTTTCAACAATGTACCAATATCAGCTCCACCATCCAAGTTAACATGGCTAGCAGTGAAGGCCAAGCATGCATTGATCCACAAGAGTATAATGCTGATTTTGATATCTGATCCGCGTAAGGATACCTTTGTATATAAAAAGAAGATGTTGGTAAGACCAATGTGTTAGTGAACGAAGAGCGAAAGTGTTGTGAACACATTCGTTCGACTCAATTTACAATTACCTTAGTCCTTTCAGTATCCCAGGCACCTCATCCTCAAACTTTTTCTGAAACACATAGCTAGGATCTAGTTGAGCCAACAAGAATTTGAAGATGGCCTGAAAGTCCTTTGCAGACGGAGCTTGTAACTGTTTTGGCGATATGGGTTGCAGGTAGCCAGCAGATTGGAGGAAGCCAACCAGTTGTTTTATAGAGTTTGCTTGCCATTGCTTGTCGCGAATGGGTCTAGGATCCTTTGCGAGCAAGGCATTGCCTCCTTGAATGGCGTTGATACCGAAACTGGATTGGCGAGATGTGAATACACTTGAGCGTCTTTGTTGAGGATGGTAGAGAGTGTTGTAGTTAGCGACATGTTTAGCGACAATGTGTGTAAGATAAAGCCAAACAATGTGGTTGGTGTTTGTTCCAAAGAGGAGGTGCATCACCCCGACAAGGAATAATAGACAATAATATTTACCTTCCTAGAGCAGAACCTACTGAACCCATAGATCTCATATTTGAAGACGAGGATCTAGCCTCAGCAGCCATGGACAAACCCATTCCAGACATTGAGTCCACCAAACCAGCCATTCCTCCTACATTTCTGTTATTGTTCGTGTTGTTCAGCAATTGCTGTCCAGGCAGAGTGCTTGATCGTGCAGGTCCCAATGATGGTCGAGTCAACCCAGGTATGCTCGACATTCTCGATTGTGATGGATTGTGTTGATTCGACATGATTGATCTTTAGCTTGATTCTACTGTATATACCAGTTCTATGATTTATATAGTGTGGCGCTCTATACCTGTATGGGTCTCTTGACTGAAAATGGGATTATATTCGGTACATTGAATGTTGTGGTGTTTTGATGAAAAGTGCGAGAATGTGAACTACTTCGCACCGAACCCCTACCAACGCGAATACAACAACGACAACTTCAGCGGTATTATAGTATATTTATTCCACCGCGTACCGCGTAATATCCGTAATAACACGTGAACGCGACTAGAACCAATCAGTTCAATCTTTTGCTAAAAGGTCGTCTTTTGCGACTTTCAGAACCGTGTTGGTCTTGTCGGCTTGTTGGAAGTACATCATTATAAATACAATTCTACAACTGTAACAAAATCTGTCCCAAGAACTCCAAGTTCAAACACCTCCTCGGAACACATGCTTCGTTTCCCAACTACCCACCAAAGCCTTAAACACACTCTTCCCACTCCCTTCCACAATAGATGCCAAAACGTGATTCCTTCCATGCTCACCAGCAACATCCAACAAATAAAACATTCCATCATCCATCCTCTTTCGTGAATTACCCGTCATGACAAACGACCTCGATATTTGCACCGCGACATATTCAGCTAGCAGTGCCAAGATTGGTTTGGATAATGGTTTGACTACTTGGGATGCTACAGAAGTCACTGATTGCGTAGTGTTGTGATGTCCGGCGGCTGGTTTTTGGGCCAGGGATGTTATTACTCGTGATAGCGACGATGCACACGAGTCGGGAAGTGTGGTGTGTGCTGCGAATAATGGGAAGGGATGCTGTTGCTGGTGGTCTTGGTGTGATGATCCTACTGTTCCTCTCTTTTGCTTTTTTACAAAATGATCTTCATCCTCATTTACATTATTACTACCTGCTGATCCAGCCACAAAACTCGAGTCAACCTCCATCGTATTGCCGTGATGATGTGGTAGACTACCGAAACAATACAGACATTGTTTCAGTATCACGATTAGAGACGGTATAACAGGTATAATGGCTTCTCGTCGGAATCGAATGATTGCCAACAAGACAGCCATGATCCCTTCAAATGCATCGATAGCTTGTTGGCTGCTTAATAATGGGAATGCCGTTGCACATGATGGTGATGCTAGATAGTATAAACATGAGAGTGCCATTGATATGTCTAGTGATTTTAATTCCAGATACTATAGCCGAAACAAAAAACGAATCAGGAATGCTTGCAGAGTAAGCAACTGCTTTCTGTCTCCCAAATACCTTGTCTGACAGCATGCTGGTCAACAACTTGAGCATCTCAAGTACAACATCAAAGCTACGTGCAGATTGAACTGCCAGGCTCAAACGGGAGCAAATATGCGGTGCATATTGTCGGATAATGTGCCGTCCAACTATGAAACACGTTTATGTTATCATGTACGCGAAAAAAACACTCTCACTCAAGAGCATACCTTCACGATTATCACAAGAAACAAAGACTCCTAAAATCCTAACCGCAGCTTCCTGTTGTTCAGCACCACGACCAAGGAAATCAAGCGTCTGTTCGACCATTGCCGAGAAGGTCTCTTTACTAGCTCGTTTGGCAAGTTGTTGTAAGACTTGTGAGCACATACTAGAAATATCCTTGTCTCCATCACGCATCAGAATCCAACATAGTCGTAAGGAATCAAGAGGGAAGCTGGATGAAGACGGATTGGTGGAGTACACGGATACGAGTAATTTCAGGATTCCGGCACAGCATTGCTGACATCCTGAGTCTGTTGATAGAGTTGACTTCGATAAAAACTCGGCCAAGAGTGTTACGAGTTGAGCAATATCTTCTTCTACGTAACCAAAAAAGAAATTTCAAAAGTCAGTGATCTAAAGTGTAATCGCTGATACACAAAGCATCTCACTTTTACCTTCATCACTTGAAACAGACACCATATGTTGAGCAATATTAACAAGAATCATGACCAGCTTCCAATCTTGTGCGTCGTTTGATGCAAAGTGTTTTGCAAGTTGAGCATTCAATGCAGAGACGCAAGCTCGGTATTGTTTAGATTTTACTACTTCTGCGACAATACTAGAAAAATAAGGAGGAGATAAATCAGGTGTTTTTAGACATTGGAAATGGCGAGCCCAAAACAGCGATTGCATCAAACACACAGTATGACTTCACTTCGTCATTTGCACCGCAACACACCTGTCTCGAGATATTTGACAGCCAGATATAGCTTCAAAGACAGAAGAAATACATGACATATCCACTTTTGATGATTTCTTCAAAGCTACATGACAAGCTTTCAGTACTTGTTCCATGAACTCTTTTGATGTTTGTTGTAAAGACTTGGTTGGTACACGACGAGATAGACATTTTCTACAGTAAAAGAATTGTCGAGTTATTCAGGAATCTTGTACGATGTGTATTACGACAGACTAGGACGACCAAAAAACAAACGGTGCGATTACCTGATTGTCAAACAAGTGACGAGAATCGACGACTCCTGAATGTCCCGATATAGAGACTGACACAGTGTATCAGTTTCATGAGCCTTGTATGTTGACGTGGATTCAATAAACCATTTCAGAATATCACTAGAGTAGAGCTAAAGAAAATATGTTGGCATCAAGAATTGTGTCTATGCTTTTTTTGCACATACCATCAAAAGACGATCCTGACGATACACACTCAACCTCTTCACCAAACGACGAAGCAAGGCTCCATACCGTAGCAGGTCAGTACCAGCAACACTTCCAGTTTTCAGCAAAAGAGCTTCAACTACCACCGCAACGAGACACAAATGGTCTGCTCTACTTGGCGTAAAACATGTCACAGGGATGGTGTTGAGCAATGCGAGTAGACAATATGGTTGTCTCAAACTGGCCTCGTTTACAGCTTCAATCGTTGGTGGTAGCTGAGATAAAAGAAGTTTTAGCGATGTGACTGTATCGATTTCCAGATGCGATGATTGGGTTGTGAATGTCAGAGATGCAGCTTCGATCAGTTTGAGTAGAGCTTTGACAGATTCGTTCTTGGATTTTTGGTATACTTTCTTCAAGGCCTTGACCGACGAGGCTACTAGTTTGGCTACAAATATGTCTACCAGATTCAAAATCGGATTCTTAGTCGCAGAAAAAACCTATGTCTTGATTGACGAAAGGGCATTTCGTACCTCGAAGGGGTTTCAGCTCATATAAGACTGGAGATTGCATCAGGGCATATGTTATTTGCCTTGTAGGGGAACCGCTGCTTGGATCTGAAAGGCTATCAACAAGGACATCCAAAACTACAGCCATGTCTTCTTCCGACAAGACGGACCTAAATGGGATTACGTTAATGACTCCAACGAGTTTTTCAGCTAAAAAACGAGACAGAAACCCCAAAGGAAGGCAGCGCGCTTGCTTACGATAACACTGGTATGTGATCCACAAGACTTTGCATAATATTATCCTTGTCTCCATCAAGATCTTGCCAATCTTGCAATATTTGAGACACTGATGTCTGTAGAACATTAGAGGCGACAGCCCCAGAAGACGTCGTTGTAGAGAGCCTGTGAATATTGTAGGCGATGATTCGATCCTAATATCAACGACAAAAAAAGGATATGTGTCAGCACATAATACTCCGGTTTAGTCGAATTCTCTACCTTGACTATCTTGACATCTCCAACATCCAAATCAGCAGGCAAGAGACGTAGGAAGCAATCGACTGGATCTTGTTTAGAATCACCATTCACAACAAGTTCTTGCCAATACTTATCCGACCATTCCAACAAGCATTCGTGTAATTCCAATATAGATACGACGGCCTTCACCATCACAGCACTCTGGAAATCACCACTACTCACTGCAGCTGAAACCCATGATTTCAATGACCGACCAAGTCCAAGACTGATTTCATCCGCGACATCGTTAGGTAGTTGAGTTAAATTTATATGTTTAATGGATGCAATCAGCATTTTGGTTATTTGAGGCAGAGAAGATAACCGAGGTAGTAGAGTTATGGTGGCAGCAGATGAATCAGCTCTCTTGCGTTTCCTTTTCGGTGTTTCGATGACGGATTGGAGATAGCTGGATTGTACTTCATTTGCAAACTTGGATATCAGGTGAAGGGCTTGTGCTGGTAGCATGCTCGTAACTGATTGGCCATATCTAAAGAGCGCTAATCATTTAATATCCAGATTCACTCACAAAAGCAGGAAAAAACCAACAAATAAAGCCTCGGAAAACGTACATGTCTATAACTCGCCCATCCACAAATGTTAATAGCTGATCTTCATCAACTACTGAATGATCCCGTAATGATGCAAAACACAATTCTACGTATACATCCATTTGACGTGATTGTCGATACAGAGATATTAGCACCGTCATGAAATCAACAGCAGCCGTCTGTGTGATTTCAGTCTTGCACTAAAACGATCGTTTAGCGTCAGCAACAAAGGAAGCTTGGCTGAAAAGAATTCTGGAGAACATTGTACCAGTGATACCAAAGACCACACTTCTGGGATACAAGCCTCTATAATGGACTTGTCGAGCTGAAGTAGAGCCGTGAATCCATGAATGATATTGGAGTGATGTGACGCTAAGATTTTAAATTGAATAGATGAGCTAAACAAATCCATAGGGAATGTAATCACATTGGTGCAGATGTACCAGGGACAGCACCAGCCAGCACTACCAAACCACTTGCAATACTAGTTAAATATTCCAATTGTCCTTTCCCAACCTCATCGTTCGTCATAGAATAAACACCACGAGCCTTGACAACGTTCAGTAAGTCAACTCCAATATCAAGTGCTTCAATCACATTTGCCAGCACATCGACACTACTATCCTGTCCTGGAGCGAGCAGCTGTAAAGATCTTTGAATAAATCCTTCCAGAGCATTATTCAGCACTTTGAAGAATGTGAAATCACTATAATCACGGGCTTTGGAAGATTGACGAGATGCAAGTTCACAATAGCAGTCCAAATATATTGGCATCATTGGTAAACCTAAATTTTTGTAAGTCAAAGCCATCAAAACGCGACTATGAGCTTAAAAATATCACCCAACAATACCTTTTGTATCATCGAGTGCCTGGATGTGAGTAATGAACTGCTTGATATGACTCGTTCCCACTTTCTGATCAACATCCATGGCTGTACCCTTGCTGACTTCAGCAATAACTGTTGTGAATTCTGCAAGGTGTTCTGAATGGAAGACCCCCTGTTGAATGACTTGCTTCAAACTCTTTGCTATATCGCGGCCTTTCATGGAGGCATATATGGATTCAAAGTGTGGCAGCATCTTGACAAAGATGGTTTGAAAGACCTTTACGAAGATAGTGTTAGTATGCCGAAGAACGATACCATTCTCTGGCCTGATGTACACACGAGCGTCCATACCTTTTTCTGATTCGGCTGTTGGTAGCCCGACTTTATAAACCATGCCAGCCCGCGATCAGTTATACTGTACAGAGTAGTCTTCAAGTAGTCGTTGGTGTGATGGCAGCTGGCTTGTAGCATGTCGATGCAAAAGGAGGATAGCTGTTCAAAGCTTGGTAGGAATACCGTATCGAGGTCACATATGATGTCAAAGCACATGCGTACATTATGAGCTAGCTTAACGAGTGTCGTGTTTTCGGTTGGAGGAGTGCCTGTTATAAAGTTGACGAGATTTGCGATTGCGACGAGGATTGGCAATCTAAATGTAGCTTGGAACACCAGGGTGGTAGTAGTGGTAGTATTATAAGTCAATTTCAGGTGTTTCAATAAGAGTAAGAAAAAGTCCGTAATGTCGACCAGTCTATCGTTAAATGGGTGTTAGTTGAAGATACAAAAGGAGGGAATTATCAATTTGGACGTCAAATCAGATAAATGTGGACAGTTTACCCTTGAGGATCGTTTGTAGTTGATTTGATCAAGTACTGGCAAATCCAGTCAAACAAAAGCTCGTGTTTTTGAGGTATAAAAGAGACCTGATCCAGCCATAGATCACGAGCCCGGGCCAATCTCTGTGCTATAGGAATCGAATTCTTTTTCAGGTAGCTGCTAATCACCTCCATCGTGTACTTGCGTCTGGACGTTTCTTGGAAAGAAAAAAAGGTGCAGAGGCCGATCATGAAGAGGGACACAGACTTTAATGAACTATAGAAGCTAATAGGGAAAGTAATAATGCAACGTAAAAGTGTCAAATCGCAGCCAACTCAAGTTGAACTACGACAGCAATTCATCTTGAAATCCATCGCTGCGTTTCGAGACAATCGACAAGCTGCTTTTGCAGAGAATCGGTTGACGGAAGATGAAATATTCATGAAATCATGGGACGATATGGACACTAGTACTGTACCTATGGACTCCCACTCGATTCAATCAACTCAATTACTCGCAACATCCATCATCAAGTCCATGAAATGTAAGACGTGTTGATGTTGGACCTTTTCAGTTCTTCTTCGATCTGGTTATATATTATACTAATTATATCTTTTACCACTCATTTGCGTAGCGGATCTGCACCAAGAACCAACTGTGCTCTGCCCTGTATGCAAATCTTGCTTTTTGAGAGAAGAGTATGGCTTCATTTTTTGCAACTGGGACTGTGGATTGTGTTTTGCTGCTGATCTCGCCTCATTGAAAGATATGAAGGAGGAACTGGACCTCTTCTTGCATCATAATCAGCCAACGAACGAAGATGACGAGGATGAAGAGCCCAGTGCTTGTGCAAACCCACATGTATCCATGACACTCCATACAGCAGGAAGGTCAAACTTCATTCGTGTTGATTGCACCACATGTAGTGCATCAACTACTCTATAAAGTAGCGTATGTAAATTATTATTGTTGGTGATCAGCTTGTACATTATATAAATTATTGGCATCTTGAGACTGTAAATCTAGCTTTTATTGCGTTTATACGTGAAGTTACCTTATAACGTGATCGACGCGTAGGCATAGCCTGGGAGAACCTGAAGCTGCGAGTCTCAAGTATCACGTTTTAGCTTGTAGGATTCAAGAGCTTCTAATTTCTCGCACCAAAAGGTTATTTATATTATATTTGCCAAGAAATATCTAAAACAGGCACGCTGCGGTTCTGTATCATTGAGCTATGACGGGAAGAATGTCATTGTTTGACGATCATGTTGTCGATTTGCTCCCTCCCTTGCCTACTCATCCAAGGAGACTAGTTTGGTGTAGATTCAAGGTATTTCATGCTCTTTATTTCGTTGCTCTCTGCATTTGTTAGACTGCATCTCCTTTTGTACAAGACATCAGCCTCTCAAAATGTTACACTTCACTAATACACACGTACACAATTGTATTAGGGATATCCATGGTGGCCTTGTCTGGTATGTCTTGCAATTTAAATTAATGCGGAAATCATGCTGCAATCCGTCACCCAAATATCCTCTTGCTTGACAGCTCACACGTTGTTAGGTGCTCGACGCTAAGCTTGAAGCCGATCTCCCGGTCCATATCCGAAAAAAGAAGCGTGGCAAAGATGTGATCACTTGTTATCATTTCGGAGAGGCCGGTGACGTGTAAGGGATCTGTAGTTTCGACGTACTGGTATAAAACTCCACTTACCTACACATTAATACAGCGCCTGGTACAGGCCGTCTGATATGCGAGAGTACGAAGACTTCAAACCTCAAGTTTTGGCCAAGAGACCTAAATTAAAACTATGGGCTGAAGCTTATGCTCAATCGGAGCGTTCTGACGCTTTAACTTTATTTGACAAGCGATGGGAAGGCCGTTTTACGATTGTTCCTGCGCCTGCTAGTAACAGTAAGAAGGCCGCTGCTGCTACTAGTAGTGTTGCTACTGGTAGTGGTTTATTGCATGAGGAAGAAGACGATGAGATATTGTGGGAAGGTGAAAACGTTCCTTCCTATACACCTATATCATCAAAGAGCAGTAAGAAGCGGCCTGAAGAAGCAATCGATCTAGAGGTTAGTGTTGATTGTGTCACTAAAGTTTGTTGACGAATTTCCCCTCTTGCTAGTGTGTTTTAACTTAATTTATGTGCGATGGTTTTCTTAGAAACAGACTCCTAGCAAGAAAAAATTCAAGAAGGAGAAGTCTGCTGAGGAAGACTCTGTCGATGCCACGATTGATTCGAAGACAATGGAGCAGATCATCAGGACAGGTATACACACTTGTGCATGTTACTGCCTCTTGGGGAAGATTATCCTTCTTTTTGTTGTGTCATTAACAAACAGCATTCACAAACTCAACACACAATCACACACTCAACACACAATAGGAAAGCTCGATACCAAAACTGCAACCTTTCTGAATGATATGGCTCGCCATGCTAAAGAGAATTCATATTCTCCATATTCGAAATTCAGGTAATGGTTTGTGAAGTGAGCAAAGGATGTGGATTGAGTATTCATTTACAATAGAAATTATGTCTGACTTTTTTTCTCTCTCACAAATAACAGAGTCGGTGCAGCACTACTGCTAAAGTCAGGCAAAATCTACATGGGATGTAATGTGGAAAATGTATCGTTTGGAGCTAGTATCTGTGCAGAGCGTACAGCTGTTGTGAAGGCAGTTGTAAGTGCCAGGAATTGTGCGTTGATTTCGCCAATGTGTCTTGTTTTGCCTATTTTCACCAACCTCTTTTCGATGTTTTGACACCTAATTATAACTCTATAGTCAGAAGGACACCGGGACTTTATTGCCATCGCTGTTGCATCAGATCTAGAAGACTATATAACACCATGTGGAATCTGTCGGCAATTTATCTGTGAATTTGGAAAGAACATCATCATTCAGCTTACAAAGTTGAATGGTCAGTATAAGACCAAGAGTATTGATGACTTGTTACCTGGTGGTTTTACTAGTTTGACGTAATCGTAATAGATCGAGGTTTGCTTTTTTTGGCTAAAGAACAATTGTAACAACAAAAATATTCATGATTTGGTTTTAGATTACATGCTTTTTTATATTGTATGTGTTGCTGACTTAATAAATTCAGCCATTAAATATGTACAAAGTAACTGGTTTGTGTGCTGCGTACGTGAGTACTGCTGTTTGCACAAGCGAAAATATGTTATAATTCTAACTCTTCTGACTTGGAAAACCTATTACTATAAAGAAGCCTGTTGGTACACCATCCATCCAAGTACCTATCTTGTCGAGTACTTTTGTTCCGAGAGATACGTGGGAGCAACCGTCATAATCGCTTCATTCGATTGTGACTGTGGTACGGGATCTATAGGTATAAACTCTCCAGATCCCACCATTCCACCAACATGATGACCATGACGTGTGATGTGTGGACTTCCATCACCTCTGGAATCATCTGCAAGCAGAGCTGCAACTGACATATTATTCGATGGTTCCATTCTCGTGTGCTGTTGGTGCTGTGGTTGTACTTGCTGTTGCTGGCCATTGTTGTTATAACTAGACGATTGAGCCGGTCCAAATGCATTCTGGTGTCGTTGATGATAATGCATTGCATCCTCAGATACGTGAGATGCACTGGCTGCTAATGCAGCTTGTACGGGTGTGGGTACGCGGAAACTATCACTGACGTTATATGTGATTTGGTGATGAGGGAAGACGTTATGTTGTGCTGGTGGGTTACTGCCTCGCATTGGTGATGCTAAGGGGGTATAGTTGTATGGGTGGCTAGACGAGTCTGGTACTTGGGGTTCGTCTTCGTATACGGGAAGAATCTCGATGCATTGTTGGGATTTGATGTAGATTTGGTATCGTCGTTGTCCTTCGGGTAGCAACTAATGTTTAGAAAGAAATGTGTTCGAAATGCGCGTTGTGGATCATCGATAAAGGCACTTTTTATGCTTGCAAAATTCAAAACCACGTACATGTTCTGGATCTGGAACGTCAAGCTGCGTACCAGGTTCAGCTCGAATAGCAATCAAGATATCACCTCTAAGACTATGAATACTATTTATGTCTGAATGCGTGACGTACAACAACCTTCAAAGAGAATCGAAGCGGCGTAAGTTAGCATTCCAGTCATGCAATTCTGTCGTCCTATAGTGTGATTCTTCCCTCCGGCGCTTTCATTTTTCTTTCTTACCTCTTTCCATCATTCTTCAACGATTCTTGAATTCTTCCTTCAACTTCAGCTTTAGCTTGCCTAGTTGCAGCCAATTCACGTTCCAAAGCGTCAATTTGTGTCGTAATTGCATTGGCTTGTTGCCTTTCTGCGATTTCTCCTGACGTTGATGTGTCTTCTGTCCCCCTATGCATTGTAGGTGGTGTTTGAATTCCATGTTGAAATGGAGAAGGCGTCATGTGCATTTTTTTGCGGTTATTTACCTCCACTTTATATGATTTTTTGAGTTCTTTTCAATGAGATTGATTCCTTCCAACACATTGGTGATATCGTAAATACGTCTCTTTTGGACTCCAAGGAAGTTGGCAGCGCTGTTCAAGTCCAGAATGCCATTTGGCTACATTGGAGTTGAGATGTAAGCACTTTGCGCTAAGCACTAGCGACTGGTTACTGATGTTTTTTTGCGATCTCTTACCGAGTCCTTGAGAAAAGTTACAAACTTCTTTGTCAAGAGACCCAATGAACTGTCGAATCGACCAACAGGTTGTGCTGGAAGCGGTACTAGATGTAATGTTGTGATAGAATCAGTTATTGGATGCTTGGACAGTAAAACGGAGTTTGCAGGTGTTGTTCATGGGCAAAAGGACTAGATCTGGTGTCAATACATGCGGTCATACTTTCAGGGAGTTCGGCTCTCCTCTTTTGAGAGTTTCTGGTTGATACTCCATAGGACATTTTGAGGATTGTTTGTTGATGATGAGCGATTGAGGAACCAGTGCTGGATAGGTGGAGTTGCTGTTGACACTAAAAATTAGAATAAGAATGTCAGGGATTACAGCATTGGTTGAAAGTAAACGCTGCCTTTACTCTTACAGCAAAACACAAATGTCCAAAAAATCAACGAATGTGTGTTTGTTTACGACGAATTCGGCTAATACCTTGCGAGCGAGATGCTTTCAAATGACGGAAATTTCTACGAACGAGATTTTCAGGGATAACGACCTATTTGTTACGATCTTACTCGCTGTCTTTTGCTTGTACGTCCAAAGAAAATTGACAAGCCAAAAGTTAGGTGGCTCAATCAGCAAATCTGATCGTCCAGATCTTGTACATTAGCCAACTTCAAAGCTCAAATGACCCTCAAATACGCGTCGTATATTAGTATATTTAGTATTTAGTACTGTAATCATTATAGCTGGGCCTCTACTCCTCATTCTTTTTGGCGTGTTCGACCTCCTCCCTGTCCAAATCACGCTATCACAAAAATCATATTAGATCTGCATTCAAGTGCAAAATTGAAGCCAATCATATATGCCTTACCAATTCACGACGCAGGATTTTGCCTGATGCAGATTTGGGAATCACATCGATGAATCGAACTATGGAATTTTTCTTAGTATAGCTATTCAACCCCGTTAGATCTAAATACCAAATTGCCCATACCTCCTCCACGCAACCTCTTGTGGTTTGCAACTTTGGCTGCAATAAACGCGACAATCTCAGCTTCCGTGACTTCTGATCCGGGCTTTACGACAATAAAGCCGCGTGGCAGTTCTCCTGCTTCATCGTCTGGTCTTCCTATCACAGCCGCATCGGAAATTGCTGGATGAGTGAGCAAGTAGCCTTCAAGTTCTGCGGGCGGCACTTGGAAGCCTTTGAATTTAATCAGTTCCTGTAAGAATGCATTGTCAGATTGACGAAAGTTGATAATTTGCATCGCACCGTGCCTGGTTTTATCACAGGCGTACCTTTAGTCTGTCCACGATAAACACATAGCCGTCTTCATCAACATAACCAATGTCGCCCTAAAACTACGTCGTGAGTTATTGAGAAACTCATTGGCCGAAAAGAGAAACTCACAGTCATTAGCCAGCCATCGCTCGTAATGGTGTTTTTTGTAGCTTCGGCGTTATTCCAGTAGCCTGGAAGTTTGAGAACAGGTTCAATGGTCAATTGGATGTAAAGAATGCTGAAAGAATGCTTCAAGCCCGTAAACAAGCAAACAGTAATATGGTACCTTTCATGACATTGGGCCCTCTAACCCAAATCTCGCCAGTTCCTCCTGGCCCGCGCACCTCGTTCGTTTCGGGATCAACGATTTGGCATTCCATGTTGCAAATTAGGGGGCCTATAGAGCCGAACTTGACCTTGTGGTTTGGATTCAGATGCGTCACTGGCGAACATTCAGTCATTCCTAGTTGTGTTAAAAGTGTGTGAGTATATTGGTTCAAGATCCCAGGAATTCTGAAAAACGTGGTTGACTGTACGAGATGCCAGACTCTGCGATGGGTTTAAAATCAATCAGCTCACCATATCCTTGTTTGAAAATACCGCCAACTCGAGCCTGCGCCTCCATCTGAACTTCAGTCGCGAGTGGAGCAGCCCCAGAGAACCAAACTCGGACTGATGAAAAGTCATAATTGGAGACTACAGGCTTAAAGTAGGTTGGAAATGTTAAATGTTTACCAAAATGAAACTTGATGTGCTTCACTAGTAACAAAGCAACACCATATGGTAAATGTACTTACTGCTTTAGCAAGAGCTATGACAATCGGAGGCACGACATGGCACATTGTCAATTTGTGCTTTTGCACACTCTCACAGAAAGCTCCCAGACTGAATCTGTTTTGAACAACAAGTGCAACACCCGAGAATGCCGACCACATTGTAACTACAGTGAGTCCGAATATGTGAAACATTGGTAAAATCGCAGGCCTAAAATCGAGACAGCAATGTGAGAAGCGATGTAAAATGTCAAAGAATTGAGTTTACTGACCATTTGTCAATTCCTGGAATAATTGTTTCGCGTCCTTCAAACTGATCTAACTGCGACACATTTGCTACCAAATTCTTGTGAGTTGTCTCGACCCCTTTAGATCTTCCAGTAGTTCCTGACGAATAACATAACACGGCTGGCGTGTTTTCCAAATCATCAGCAGTATACCGAATTTGATACAGAGGGAGAGTCTTTGCTTCTGCAATAATCTGATCTACAGTCTTGTAATCTGTGACCGTGGGAGCAGAGTCGATCAAGAATATGAAGGATTTGCTGATGCCAGCAATGTCGGCAGCTTTGAGTGCTGTGGGCAGAGCAGCTTCACAGGTAACAATCCATTTAGACTTTGAATCGGTCAATTGGTAGGCGTATTCATCAGCGGTATAGCCAGGATTTGCTGGAGAACATATGCCTCCGGCTCGTAATGTACCAAGTAGCACGATCGGAAAGTACTAGTAGGCGTGCGTGTGAAGAGTGCATAGTGTAAACAAAACGTGGATCAACTTGGTCAATAAGGCCAAGCAGACAAAAGTAAGCCGACAGATATGAAGCTTACGATGTGGTTTGGCACAAAGAGCGACAACGTTTGGCCTCTACGTAACCCAATTTTCTGTATGCCGGCCGAGAATTTGTTGACCATTTCCACGTATTCACCAAAAGTGATGATGCGGTCGGTCTCGTATTCGATCAAGGCCGGCCAATCTCGTCTGGGAAGGGAGGCAGCTCCTCTGGCTTCTAACAGAAAAGTCACAACATCTAAATCTGTGATGGGTAACATATTTGTATAGTAAGTCAAGTGCAGAGTGAAGCGACGAGAATGAAACAAAGTGTAACTGTAGTATACCTGGTATGAGAGCATCCGATACAGGGCTCTTATGAAGCATCCTGAAGCTTAAATTGTGTGTCTGCAACAGAGTGGATGTTTGCGTGACTGCTGGCTTTGGAACGCAGCGAACACGAACACGACAGCACTTACCATTCAGCAACTTTAAAGTCATTCTTAATAATTATTTATCTGTAAGGTTCATTTGGATTTCTGGATCTACTTGGATCCTGTGCTGATCTTGCTGGGTGGTGCGGTGTTTTGATCCGACATTCCAGACTGGTTCCTTGCTATTTGCAGGCCAAGAGTTAATTCTATGAAACTGCCAGCAAGGAGCAATACGTATTGAATTCTTTTTTGGTTGCTGGATGTCGATTTTGTATCTACCAGTGGTGTTTTGACGAATATTCAGTTGTCGTCAGCGAAGTCTACACATTGAAAATTTGCGAGATCAAAACATCCTTTTGGACGCGTTGAGGTATTTGAATCTGAAGCACTCTATAATATGCATACATACATACATAGCCTTAATAGACTCTGCAAACGGTCGAACTCCAAACGCCAGCAAAGAACACCGCGCCGTCGGCTCTATTTTCCAAATCCTAGAAAACGAGAAAACGGAACAAATCGTCATTTTGACTGGTTTGAGGTGCATCACAATTGATATTATTATTGCCATCGAGCATACAATCTGCCATCAGGTAAGTCATCGCTCCTCGTTGGCCTGTTTAGGCTCATTTAAATGCTGGGGAATGAAAACCTGCACTAAACAATAATCTCAACAATCCACTTCCAACACATCAACAAAGGATGGGCGCGACAAAGGAATCTTCTAACGGAAACATATTGCGAGAACGCATCGGGGCTACCAATGGTCATGCCAATGGTAATGGCCATGCTCACTTGAACGGCATCAACAACAAATCCGACTCGCCCACCAAAAATGCATATCCAAAACCTCGTCTCGCGGGCTGGACACCGCCTAATTTTACAATCAAAGAAGTCCGTGATGCCATACCTGCTCACTGCTTTGAACGTAGTGTCATCACATCAATGTACTATGTCTTCCGCGACTTGATCATGGTCGCAGCTATGGGCTATGCTGCTACACACATCGACTCCCTCCCCGTAGCTGCTAGATATATCTGCTGGCCAATCTACTGGTTCTTCCAAGGGGCTGTCTTGACTGGTCTATGGGTACTTGCTCATGAGTGTGGTCATCAGGCATTCTCTGACTATCGCTGGTTTAATAACGTCGTTGGTCTTATCATCCACTCGGCTCTAATGGTTCCCTACCACTCATGGAAGATTACTCACGCTGTACGTACATATCTCGATTATTGCATTATTGTAGACGTGGTTGAATTCTTCAATCATCAATCAATTGATTGCCAAAAAAATTACGCGCACATGTCAAAACAAAAAGAAGTTGAATCGGTCGGCCATTTCAACGCCTAATCATCCACATTCTATTATTCATATTAAATGTATCTGCAATACGCTCAACTCGTCTTTTCTCATGTCATACAGGGCCATCACAAGTCAAATGCCCACATGGACAAGGATGCCGTATATATACCTAAACTTAGATCAGACTATGGCTTCCCACTACCAGAAACATCTGAAAATGAGGATGAGGATGATTACGCAATGGGTGAAGCTTTTGAAGCCTCTCCAATTAAAAACTTGTTAGACATGCTCAAGGTGCTGTTGTTCGGCTGGCCAACATATCTCACCACAAACGCTTGGGGTCCAAAGTCAAAGGCTGGTGCCTCTCACTTCAACCCTGCTAGTGTCTTGTTTGAAGCTCGTCAATACAACCAGATTGTAGAATCGGACTTTGGTATACTCGTCGCTTTGTGCTGCATCTCATATGCTATATATGTCTTTGGCTTCATTACTGTTGGTAAATACTACTTTGTTCCTTACATCTGGTATGTCCAAAAAGCATGTTTTCTGCAGCTTCGTGACGATGACGTGTCTGACACAACACACGACGATAGTGTCAACTGGTGGTTGATTATGATTACCTACTTGCAACATACCGATCCCACCATCCCTCACTACCGAGAAGGTGAATGGAACTTCTTACGTGGAGCCTTGTCTACCTTGGACCGTAATTTTGGTTTCTTGGACCACTTCTTCCACCACATTGCCGGTAAGTAGTGCTGTTGTATGAGTGCTTATTGAGAATTCAAGGTGATATGCTTTACTGCTGTTGAAAGCTTGTTTAACTAATTCTTCAACCATAGACACCCACATTGGTAAATTGGATTTACGATGCCAGCTTTTTACCTTGTCAGAACGCCAATGAGTACTCATTTAATCTTCTTGCTCTCTGATTAGCCCACCACTTGTTTTCAACCATGCCTCACTACCATGCTGAAGAAGCTACCGAAGCACTCAAGAAAGTACTTGGCCCATACTACCGTAAAGATAACACTAATCCCTTCGTTGCCATGTACCACTCTTGGGATAATTGCCGATTTGTAGAAGATACTGGTTCGTCAGTGTTTTTTGGTGTCATGAACTGTTTAGATACTAATATCTCCGTACATTCTCGTTTTTGCAGGAGATGTGTTGTGGTACAAAAACCGCTATTAAAGGAGTATATCATATCTATAGAGAGAGAGTGTATACATAGACAGTAAAAATAAAAGAAGTCATTCTTACTCGTAGTGATGATGAATAAAACGCGTTGTCTCACTGAGACTCTATCTAAGAGATGCCAGAGATGCAATAACCCATGGCGGGTACCGCACACTATTTTCATTTGAGAAAAAACATGCTCCTGGTCCAGCTCCTGGTAAAAGATGTCACCCGTCCGTCGGCTCTGCTTGTCATCCTTGTGTTTTCTCGCCGTCAGATTTATTGTTACTTTTGCTTCTCAAACCAAACAGATCAAGCAAGCAAAATAGAACCAAGACCTTTCCACATGTCTCCTTCCACTCCCATGACCTCTACCTCATTGAAACCAAGAGTACTTTGCTTACACGGGTACACGCAAAACGCTCCCCTCTTCCGACAACGGACTGCGATATTACGCAAGGAGCTCGAGTCTGTAGTCGAGCTAGGTACGCATCTGAACGGTGGATCTGTCTTGTTTCGCTTCCGATCAAATTTTGTCCGTTCGCTTATCATTTGGCTTGTTAGTTTATATCGATGCTCCACATAGAGCAGATATAGATGCAGATGAAGCTAATTTCATCGGCTTGAAGGACTTTAACGGTGCTGCAGCTCGGGCTTGGTATACGTTTGAGAAACTGGACAATGATCATGAAAGTTATGTAGGGTTCGACAAGTCGCTTGGCTTGATTAAACAGACGTGGGATACCAAAGGACCTTTCGTTGGAATTTTGGGGTTTAGTCAAGGATCGACTATGGCTGCTGTAGCTTCAAATGCTGGGTTGAGTGGATGTAAATTCGTTATCTGCTTCTCTGGGTACCGGCCTCGAGATCCTGCTGTTGTGAAGTATGTGGATGATGTGAACGGTATGCCTTCCATGCATGTTATTGGAAGAGCTGATTCTGTGGTGTCGAATGAGCGGACGCTCGAATTGGCGAAGTGTTTCGAGAATGCCAAAGTGTTGTATCATGATTCGGGGTGAGTGTTGCGTTTTGCTAGTTGTCATTGATCAGCTGTCTAAGATATCTTGTAAAACTAGGCATTTGGTTCCAACTGGACCAGAAAGAACAGAGATCCGAGAATGGATTGAGCAAACGCTGTCCAGTGCATAAGTCTTACGTGTTTGGATGGTGTCATGTAAAATAAAAACATATTTAGAATTTTAGATTTAGACGTAGATATTAGATCCAAATAGAATATTAATGCTGTGATCTCCACGTGTTTCTTCACCTTTGCGACAGTTTGCAATCTGCCCCTTTCGTAAGTAGCGACAGCAGAACAAGCATCTGTACCGGTCAAGATGTATGTTTACTTGTCTAAAAAGGTAAGAAATTCTTATAGACACAGTTTTCTCTCGCTACTGTTCGACACAATAACCAAAAGACACAAACGTAGATTGCGATTCCCAACAATGTCCGTGTCGAGACATTAGCATGGGACAACGAAGCAAGCTGGATTGCTGTAGGAGGTGCCAACGGGCTGCTCAAAGTCCTCAAACTAGAAGATGCCCCTGGAGATCAATCAAACGCTGCTGCATCAAATCTATCCATGAACCAAACATTGGAAGGACATCACAGCACCGTCGTATGCTCATTATGGAATAGTTTACATTCGAAACTCACTACAAGTGACGAAAATGGAATTATTATTGTTTGGGTCTTGTATCGTGGCATTTGGTATGAGGAGATGATCAATAATAGGAATCGGAGTGTTGTTGTGGCCATGTCGTGGGATCGTGAAGGGACGAGGATATGTATTGCGTATGAAGATGGTTAGTGTGGGTTGTGGGTTGAGATACGTGCAATTGTACAGTAACTGTGATATTGTTGTTTTAGGTGCTGTAATTGTTGGTGGTGTGGATGGAAACCGTTTGTGGGGGAAGGAGCTTAGATCCATTCAATTGGCACATATGACATGGACACCGGATGGTAAAAACATACTCTTCGCATCAGTTCAAGGTGATTTGCAACTGTACGACGGAGAAGGAAACTTTTTGGTAAGAATGTTCTGCGTCAAGAGCTTAATGCTGCACGATTTAAATTTTTGACACGTAATTTCTATAGAGCAAAGTTGCCGGACATGGAAACACGATGGGATCTCTAATCAAGATTGCTACAGTCGATTGGTAAACGAAGCCACGGTTTGTTCGCCGCATAAGGACAAGAATTCAGTCTTTTGCCACTGTAGGTACAATGGAGCTCTTGGAATACCAGATCCTCAGCGCCCCGCGTTAGCTATACTATACGAAAATGGCAGGCTCCAGCTCAGTCGTGACGAGCGTGATCCCAGTATGCATTCCATTGGGCCGCAATAATCCACAAGAACAGGTCATCATTACACTCACACATGCTGAAACCTAGGTCCTATATTGATTGATACCCTTTTAAAACGACCAAAGGCCAAATGGTCATCCAATGGTTCCATCATAGCAGTATCAGGTATACAAGTGCCTGTAACAACAGGAGCAAATGCGCCAAAGGAACTCGCCGTAGTCCAGTTTTATGATGCTTTTGGTGTTTATCTACGAACTTTGAAGATTCCTGGAGCATACATCTCAGCTTTAGCTTGGGATCGCTCTGGAGTCAGACTTGCGGCTTCAGTAGACAATTTTGTCTACTTTGCCAATATTCGATTAGATCATTTATGGGGTACTCTCGCCAGAGACGTGATTGTTTATGGACATAATCGTGGCATTGCCGGTGAAACTTTGCAGTTTTGGAATTGTCGGACTGGAGAACGAAATGCTAGGGCTGTCATCAAGCTGAAAACTGTTACGGCGTATGGTCAATTGTGCGCTGCAGTGTCTGCCTCCGAAGATGGTGCTGAATCGTAAGTTGTTGTTGGTATTGAGCCTGAAGCTCGAGTCTAAACTTTTTGGAATGACAGGCAACAGCTTACGATATATAATGCCATTGGAAACTCGGTTCACACGTGGCAGGTGCCGTTTAGTCCCAATTTTCTGATATTGAACAAGTCTACTGCTTTTGTTGCCAACGAGGCAGTCTTTTCCATTTGGCAGTTCAAACGCCAAGCCAAAGTGCTTGATGACGAGAATTTTGGTAATGAAATTTCTAGTCTAACGCAGGGTTTTGAAATTAAAACTCTTTTATTCGCTGCAGATCCAAGAAGAAGGCAAAGTACAGAGAAAGAACGAGCATTCCATATCGACATGTTGGGAAACGGCAACGCTGATACCACCCCTTTAGCTGAACTGTTGAAGTTGCCGTGAGTGTTGAAAGTGTTCTCCCTTTGTTATTCCATGCTGACCTATTTGAACTATAATAGGCCAACTTCAGATCCAATTAGTTCAATATCTTGTAATGATTCGCACCTCGTAATTGCTCGAAGGTCTGGAACAATCATTCGCATGCTCCTACCAACCTTAACCGTAGACTCAGCATACTCGTTACCCTTCCATCCACACCTGATTCGAATAAACCAAAATGGAAATCGTGTCGGTATTGTTGACTCGAACGGCATTCTGAGGATATTCGACTTTGGACATAATGGAGCAACATCAAATGGATTGCCTACTGGAGTCTCTGAAAATGCCTCATCAAAACCACTTGAACCAAGATTGTTGCCTGTTGAACGAAAGGATGTATCGGATATGCGATGGTCTGATGATGATCCTGAGCTCTTTGCATGTACAGAGAAGAGCAAAATTTGTGTTATTACTGGATCTGATGCTGAGGAACCAGTTCCGTGTTTGGGATGTAAGTGACTTTTGGGAAAGGTTGAACGTCTTAGCACTCATTCGACGATTTTTTTTCGCTCTTCGCTACTCTTCTTGAATACACAGACATCTGCGGTTTGGGAAACTTGGAAGTCACCGCAGTGCTTTTGGATGAGCTGGTGCGAGACCCTGAGCATCCTACCAAGAATCACATACTGCATTTTGAGTCAAAGCGATTGCGAGAGATGAGAGGTACGACAACCATGTGCGAAGACAGTTTACATCTCAATAGTTGGTTTCTAACACCTTGAAAAAACTTGTTAAAACTTGTTAGCACTTTTCGCTGAATCTGGCCTAGATGCTGCTTTACAGTATGCCTCTGCGAATCCTCACCCACGACTATGGAAATTGGTTGCAGACGCTGCTCTAGAACAGCTTGATTTTGCTACTGCTCAGAAGGCATCTGTGCGATGTGGTGACTTTCAGTCGCTTCAAATCATCAAGAGGCTTCTCAAGATGGACGTGAGTGGTGTTCAAATATTCTTCACCTTCAATTTCAATATCTTAATCATCTCGGTACCCAGGACAAGGCAAAACAACAAGCAGAGATTGCTGCTTTGAAAAATGATCTAGATACTGCGGAAAAGATTTACTTGTCAATGGATCGTCGAGACTTGGCACTAGATTTGCGAACAAGGGTGGGAGACTATGTTCGAGTTGCTCAGTTGGCTCGTGGTCCTGGAGCACAAGGTGCAGCCGACGATGCCAGAGTAGAGGCAGCATGGAAGGCTATAGGTGACCAGTATCGTGAGAAGCAAATGTGGGCGCAAGCTGCCCTCTATTATAAGCAAAGCCGAACTTTGGATCGGTTGGCAGAATGTCGATATATTTTGGAAGATTTTGAATCCCTGTCGTCTATGGTTGATGAAGTTCCAGAGTCAAGTCCTCTTTTAAGGGTAAGCAAAAAAAGAAACAATGGCACATGCGTTTGCTAACATTTGAGTCGTCGTTTTCTTAGGATATTGCAATCAAGTTTGCATCTGTTGGAATGTGTGATCAAGCTGCTGCTGCTTATCTAAGAGCTGGTGATGCGAAATCGGCTGTAGATACTTGTGTGCAACTGAATCAGGTATTCTGCGAGAATGATTTTAACTTTTTTTGCCCCTATCTGAAAGCGGACGGAACTGATCTTATTTAATTTGTTAAAGTGGAATACCGCAATTGAGATTGCAGAAAATCATCGCATGAAAGAGGTGAACGGATTGCTATCCCGGTATGCTGAACGTTTACTTTCAGATGGAAAGCTATTCGAAGCCATCTCGTTGTATCGGAAGGCAAATCAATGCCTCAAAGCTGCTGGGCTTCTGTATAAGGTTTGTCAACGCATTTCGGGCAGATGCCAAAGAAATCTTTATCTTTCCATTCACTGTCTGTTTTTTCCCAAACAGCTCGCTGATGATGTGGCTCGAAATGATCGAGACTATCTTCGGTTGAAAAAACTGTACATTCTAGCTGCTCTGGAGATAGAGAGGCATCGAGACTTGCTCAAGGCTGGCAAAACACATGGTCCTGCCAAGGACGGCATAAGTGCAGCTGTAGCAGGAGAATTCAACATCCCCACATCTACTGCTCGCCACTTTGATAAACCGTGGAGGGCGGCTCTAGCATATCACCTGTTCCTGTTAGCTCAAAGGCAGCATGCCACAGGTCAATGGGAAGCAGCAACGAGGACGTGTACTCGTCTCGCTGAATACCATGATGTGTTTGGGAATGATGAGATGCGACGGCAGGTCACTTCTTTGCTATGTTTGTCTGCTATACGGTGCGGTCGATTATCTACGGCCTCTAAGGCTCTTGGTAAATTGGAGGCTACTGGGAATCCGGATAGTGCTAAATTTGAGGAGTTGGCTGTGGCGATATTTTCCAAATTTGCTCCAGTTGATCCAGCTACGCAACAAATCACTTGTACAAGTTGTGGGACTTCTATTCATGACAGGTAAACTGCGCTTCTTTTTGAGCGAAGAACGCAAACAAGCTCTGATAGGGGGGTTCCATGTCGCTCATCAATTTTTCCATCTTTTTAGTTCAAGTTCTTGCCCGGTCTGCCATCATCATTTTGCTCCTTGTATCGCCTCTGGAGCTCCTATCGTAGATGTGAACTGTTTCACATGCACCACATGCAAGCAGCATGCCATTCCTCATAATCTTAGTTCATTCAGTTACTGCCCACTGGTGAGTCGTAGAGAAAAGTTGGAAAATTCGTGGGGTTTGGTCGATTTACTAACACACCCTCCCCTTTCAAAGTGTCATGCTTCCCTGTAAATATAATTATTAAGCAGTCCTTGTAAATGGCCGCAATACATAATTCCGTATACTTGAAACCACGTCAAGTGATGCACGCACTGTAATAACGATAGACACATATTCAAAAGTCTCCACAAATACAACCAACATAACTTCAGCAAAAATGAGATGTATCACCATTTAATCGGAAACAAAGATGAATGAAAACAGATTCTATTACGTGAATTTCAGAAGAGAGTTACTGTAATGACTCAGAGACGAGGTCCAAGCGATTTGAGAGCATCCTTGATCAAGTCTGCTTTCATCTCGCGCTTGAGAATTTTTCCTATAAGCATAAAAGTGTTGAGTTCATGAACTTATCGTCCTCTTCATGGTACAAATCGAGCACATACCGTTAGCGTTACGGGGTAATGGTTCATTGTCCAATCGAATGTAAATGGGTACTTTGAACGATGCGAGTTTGGCCTTTACATGTTTGATTAAATCAGCAGCTGCGACCTTGCCACGATGTCCTTCCTTGATTTGGACGGCGGCAATGACTTCTTCACCTCTAAATTATTTATCAGAGTTAGGAAGATTCAACATTTGATCAACATGGCAATATTCTCAGAATATCATGCGTCAACGAGGAAGCTTACAAAACACGGTGAGGAATACCCATAACAGCACAATCCATGACGGCTTCATGAGAGTAGAGTGCGTCTGTATGTATACGCTAGTTAGGAATCACTTTCAGTCCAACATGACCAAAACAAAATTACCTTCGACTTCAATGCAAGTAATGTTTTCACCACCACGGATCTTGATGTATCAGAAGCAGGAGGTGTGTTAGAATGTACAGCGTTAGTTTACCACAATATCTTAACTTACGACAATGTCCTTGACACGACTAAGATAAAATGCGTGTTAGCAACAGACCATCCACATGTGGCAAAAATGCGATGCAACTTACTCCATGATGTAGAAGAAACCTTCTTCGTCCATTCGGGCAATGTCACCAGACCTGTTTATCGTGAATATGTTAGGAATGGCGCAAAACCATGCAGACAGTCTGTGATAAACTTACTTGTACCATCCTTCCGGAGTGAAGGTTGATTCGGTAGCTTCCTTCTTGTTGTAGTAGCCCTTGATTGTTTGTCCAGAACGAGACCACAATTCTCCAGATTCACCTGGAGCGACTTCCTTGCCGGTTTCTAGAAACAAAACCTACCGGGTTAGCAACTGTTATGTGTTCGGTTAGTTAGTTTGGCAAAAAAAGTCCTCGCAACGAACCTGGGTTGACAATCTTCACTTCTGTGCCTGGTGCTGGAACACCAATGCTAGTGGGTTTACGCACATAGTCATATCCCAAGTTACCAGTGACGACACCAGAAGCTTCAGTAGATCCATAACCTTGTCCAGACAAGATTGTTGGCATGCTCTTCTTGACACGGTCACCCAACTGCGATGGGACTGGGGCACCACCGAAACTGGCTCCTTCAATACTTGAGAGATCGTATTTGTCAAAGTCAGGGTGCTCGAATAGTTGCCATCCCATAGCGGGGACACCTATTATAAGGAGAGTTCAGCTACTGGTAATCTCATTCTGCTTTTATGATTGCTCTTTTAAATTCGTTACCTCCCATAGCAGAGACTTTTTCACGTTCAATTAGTTTCAAGGCTTGGCCAGCATCCCATTTGAACATCAATACCATCTTGTTACCCTACAAAGCAAAACTGAAATTGAGGACGCGGAACGAAGCCCAAGTGATGGTTGGTGAAGAATGTACAAACCATGATTGTGGCTGGCATCATGATTGCGTGAGATCCGGTTACGTGGAATAGCGGCACGGGCATCAAGGTAGTTTTTTGGATTGATGCGTCTGGAGTTGGGATTGGTTCACCTTTACGGAGGAGATCACGTACAGGTACCAGGAAGCTGTTTTTAAAGGTTAGATGATTTGTTGAAAAAAAGAATAGGGCTTTCATTGCACTCACTTGTTGATCATATTTACTCCGGCAGTTCTCTGAGCAGCAATGGCCCCCTTAGGTTTTCCAGTGGTACCAGATGTGAATAGAATGGTGGCATCGTCCTAGTTCAGCAACACCAAATTGTTACTATGCTGCAACATAGAGAATGATTTCAATCTTATTACATCTCGTTCGATTTGGACAGTTGGCCATGCAGGGTCTGCAGGAGCGTTCTTCAAAAAGTCGTTCAATAACAGACAGCCAGCTGGAGCCTTGTCACCACGAGCAACCACTATGTGCTCGACACCTCCTTTTTTAAGTTCATCGCGCATAGTCATCAAGGCTTCAGCACGTTCGTAGTCACAAAGAACGATCTTGGCTTTAACGTCAGTCAAACAGTAGACTTGTTCTTCGACGGAGAGCCAACTGTTGCAAGAGGTGATGATGGCACCAGTGAGGGAAATGCCCCACCAAGAGAGGAGCCATTGTGGGTAGTTTCGCATCAGAATGGCAACTAGATGTAAGAACTTGCTTGAGAGCCTGCCTCCACGTCGTCAAAAAAATTGGTTTCATTCATTTGTATACCTCGATCGCCCTTCTTGACACCCAAATTGTTCATGAGGACATGAGCGTATCGTGACGTTTCTCGGTGGCATTGAGCATAGGTCCATCTTTGTTTGGTGTTGAGAACGTTTGAGACTCAAATTTATGTTGTCTTAGTGTTTCAACCTACCGCTCGTCTTCGTAAACGATGTACTCGCGATCCTTGAACTGCAAAGTAGCAGCCCAAATATCACGTATGGTCTTTGGAGCATTCTTTAGAAACGAAGCGTCGATCAGTTTTTTCAGCAAAGGGCAAACATGGAAGACAGTGGTTGGCTAACGACAAACCTTCCAAACTGTTATAAAAGGAGAGAGATGTGAGCAAATTGTGCGATTGTTATGGTACTGAAAAACTCAAGGGCGACAATGGGTTGAACTCGAGGCGGGTTTTTAACGGTTAAACTGACCTTTGTAGTGTTGAGTTCTGTCAAAAAACGAAAAAGTGGATTTAACAACGACGTTCTTGTAGCGGTCGGTGTGGTTTTTGAAGCATGTCGATTACCTTCCGTATTGCTCGACAGTTATGTCCTCCAATTCAAATGGTGCTCCTGGAGCAGTTAGCGCAGCATGCTAGAAACAGTTTGGAGTCAGATTTTGGCACTTTACGAGTGAAAGAATCAGGTCCAAAGACGAACTTACTGCTTGTGCGATAGATAGACCAACCATATTGAGGATTCTATGTTCTATTTGAGGAATTGATGGGTGTGGGGGAAGGAATTTGAGGAAGGAAATTAGATGACGTTATTATGTAAACGTGAGGTAGGACAGATCTAATTTGTCGTTTTGTCTGTTCCTAGCCTCATCAAAGGTATTACGTGAAAGGACAGTAGTGTCAGTTAGGTCGTTAGTTCTCGTTTCCTTTTTCTGTGATTTGCTCGCTCGCTGTCTTGAAAGAACCCAATTCAAACACGTGTGCTCCAAACATTGAGGACTCAACGCCACTGCAAAGCAAGATTGACGACTGCTTGGTTCGATTTCAACGTATTTTTACAGTTGCTAGTTAGTAAAGGGAGCTCGTCAGTCCTGGAACAACACCCAACTCTCGGCGGAGACAAACTCACATTTTAAGACACTATCAACATATTCCCCCACCACCAAGTTTGAATTTCTAATAATGTAATATAATTGCTGATACCAACTCTGGCAAATATCTTCTTTCCACCGGCTACTTTGCACGCTCTTTTGAAACCCCAAAAACATAGAAGCCTCGCAAAAAGGTCTCCTTGCTTTGATCCCATGGCTCTTGATCCAGATCGAAACATATCCCAGCATTTACTCGATGAAGAAATACACAGCCTTTTGGTTAACAAGGCGCACTTCCTAGAACCTGACAATTTGAGCTCTAGTAATACGCCCAAAGGCGGCTTCCGCTTCAATCCAGGTCTCACTGCACCTTGGACGCAGTCACCCCGTATAATCCGAAGCAAAAATACAGCATCTCTCTTGGCGGCTGGCATGTCTGCTTCCTCTCTTCTCTATGTTTGGCGGAAAGGCTTCCATTCGAAGCAATTTCGAAATATCCAATGTTTCACTTGTTTACAAAATTGTGTTTACAAATGCTACATGTCTTTACAAATGTTTGTCTTTACAAATGTTATCTTGCTTTATCCCTATTCCACTGCTACCTTGCTATACTAGTTTCAATTTGGGAAGAAGAACGTGACGTTCCGAGACTCTAACAAATTGTTGAAATGTTATACTAATTCCTCTTAAATACAAGCGATTTCGAGATGAAACGTCCCATCATCAGTGACTTTGACAGGCTCAGGTTAACCCATGATTTCTGGATGTTCCATGAATGTCGTATGACGAGTGATTGCACCACGGTCTTCCAACATCAACAGAATATCGAGCAATTCAACTCGTGACAATACATTTGAGAGTCGTTTCAAGAGCAAGTGCTATGGGATAAATGATTGTGAGATCACGGTATTTGTGCCTTGGCATGTGCGTTTCCCCCCCTGCTTACTTCATTGCTTCCAGGATGCCAAACAATTTCAGCATGACGGCATCAATGGCCTTCTTGTTTATATCATTCATGTGACCACCATGTGCAGAATACCAGATACGAGCAGGTGTATAGTCCTGGGCTGTTGTTTCGCGAGGCTTTTTGACTATTGAGCAATCCTTGCAGTCCTTGCGTAGATGCTCCTGCGTCCTCATCCGCTTCCATTTAGTAGGTGGAAGACTGATAGTAGTGCGGAGGGTCTACAAGTGGAGATGATGATGAGATACGAAGTGAGGTAGAGTATATCTAACCATGGAGACAATCGCCGGTGGTGGTTTGTCCAAGACAAGACTTGGATGTAACAACATGACCTTGTGTACATCAGCAATAGGACGAGAGAGGAATTTCTAGATGCAAAAAGAGGTGAGAATCGTAATTTGATTCAATTTCAGCACTGGCAACTTACATAAAGAGCTTCCAGCCTTCAATCATATCGTAGATATGGTACATTGCGCTATGAGTATATTGACTATCAGTTCTGCACTCATCAATTAAGGACTTCACTGGATCTGCTAATGGTGATGTCGATCGAGTTGCACGAGTTTTTGGTTGTGGTGCTATTTTCAGATATACTCGTCATGCCTCGTTTGCGAGTTCCTGGAATTGTAACACTACCACCTCCAGACATCAATACAGGACTTTGTGTTGCCATAATGCTTATGTCATTGTCCGAGGCGGCCTTGTCTACACCTTCGATAAAGAAAAGTCAGGAAGAATAAAGCAAGTCTCTTGAATATTCAAGACAGGGGATAATGTATACCTGGATAGCACAAGACCTCATGTGGCTGGCGGTAACTATCAAGAACAAGGCCGCCCTTGAATTCTTCTTGAGATGCCAGCATGTCCAAGAAGGCCAGAACAGTACCAGCTTTGGGACTAGAAGAGAACTTGTATGTTGCATGCTTTCTCGTAGCAGAATCCATGTCTGCACGGAATGCAATAATTTGGCCAATGTCGCTCCTAGAAAGGACCACTTTGTCGGCATGAAGCTCATTGTGAGCCGCTGCAAGCAGTGGTCCAGAAAATGCACTCAAGAGACCAAGACCTTTGTCAGCATTGTAGTCACTGGGCTGGGTGGTGTAAGATAAGTCATCTATACGAAATGGAGTAGTGTGAGAAACAGTGACCCCATCGACTGTACATATTGGGTGCTCAAAATTTTGACCAGCAAAGGAATGTATCTGATGGCGGAGTGGACGAAGTTGCGGACGCTAAAGCCCCATAATGGCCTTTTGAGTAACCCTGAGTGTCGATGAGGTTCAGGAATTATCACCATTCGGCCTGGTAATTGTTCATTAAACCGCTTTAATACTGTTAAAGGGGGAGGGGTTCGCAGGTGGGTTGACCGAGTCGGAAGATACAATGTTTAAATAATTTTTTTCATCATTTACCAGAACACGAAATTTACTATTAGATTTGGATGAAAAGGGCCAAGGATTCAACGCCGTTGAAACACAAGCTTGACCGGTTTGTTCGGTTTCAACGTTATTCCAACAGTTGCTAGTTATCAGAAGTTAGATAATCACTATAGAGCAAAACCAATTAGACCAACATACTCACATTTCAGGACGCCATCAACATTTTCTCCGTCCCGTAGCCTGAATTTCCAATTCTGTGATATCATTGCCAAAGCGGCAACAAGCTCCACTCTCGCGAACCTTTCTCCCAAACAAGATCTGAAATAGAAAGCGAGGTCAGACAATTGAATTGCCATCAAGTTGAAAACAAATCAAACCTTGCAAATCGAGAAAACGGAAAGAACGCATCAACATCCCAATCATCAGTGAGGAAGCGTGAGGGGCGAAAGCTATCAGGATCTTTCCAATATTTCGGATTACGGTGTAAGGCACTTGCGTGGATGTTGACATGGGTGCCGGGCTCTACGACTAGTTTTCCAAGATGTTGCGGCTTTCCATCCTTTGGAACCCATTTCGGGATCGATACAACAGCGGGAAACAGCCGTAAAGTCTCATTTGCGACAGCTTGGCAGTACTTTAATTCGTTATAGTCTTGATATTTGGGGTCACGGTCACCAAGAACTCGTTCAACCTCAGCGTGGAGCTCTTCTTGAATGTCCTGATTACCTGCCAGAAGCGTAAGCGCGTACGTAAGAGTACCGGCTCTAGTGATAGAAGAGATGAGAACTCAAGGTTTCGTTGGTGGAAAATCCAGGAGTCTCGTACGTTGCTAAAATTTAAAAGGTAAGAGAGAACCACCATGGGTTAAATGCGTTTACAACATTTGCTTACTCTCGTGTCCAGCAAGCATAATAATGAAGCAATTCCCAACAATCTCTATATCATTTCACGTGTAAGCTGTCATTCTCACTGAAAATCTCGAATCATCCCAAATGGAAAACAAACCTGCTTCAGTCATAACTCGTTTATCAGATGCTTCTGCTTTCCCTGTAAAGTCGTCATCTTCACCAGTAGATACCACAAGAGCCCTGAGAACATTGTTCTCGTTCATCTTCTTGCCCGACTTGGCATCCGCAATGAATTCTCGTAGATACGAATCGAATTCTACACAAAATGATTGATTAATACTTGATCAGAACAAATCCAAGAAGTTCTTACCTTGGAAAGCTAGCTTCACGTGCGTTAATCTTGAAGAGAACGGATACATCCAAAAAGGCACCAGCAGCTTCGTAAGAAGGTCAGTACATACAGTCTCTAAGGCTGTAAACAAATGAAATTAACGAAAGAAGAGGACCATCAGCAACAAAAGCAGAGGAACATCAGCAATCTTACATAACTTTTGCACACAATGAATAACACCTACATTGTTTGAAACTCAATTTATGGTTTTCATATCCAGCTTGGTCCTCGCGATTCCAGTCGAGCGACAGTCCAAATCCAGCACCAGAAATCACAAACATTGTGAGCTTCATTGAATCGTTACTGACATTCACTTCCGCCGAACCGTTTGCAGCAGATTTATCCCAAGCGTCAAACATAGCCTTGCAAGTTTTAATAGTTTCTTGATGCACAAGTCCGGAGTTGCGATCGGAAAACGTTGGAGCGACGATACGTCTCATATACTTCCAAACCTCACCCTCGACGGTCAAGACATTTTTTCCATAAACGTCGAGGATGTCATACCACTGAATTGGTTTTGGAAAGTCGAGTTTACGAACGGCAACATCTTTTGCGAGCTCGGGGTTTGCCACGTTGACCCAAGTGGTGTTGGATCCAATAACTGCCACCACATCATATTCAGATCCTTCGAAGGGTTTGTAACGTGCAGGCCAAGGACTCCAGTCACTTTTAGCATCAGGGTTATCGGCACGGCTGGCTCCCGTCAGTTTCTAAGGAGCATTGTAAGTAAGATCGTGCCTAAAGTTCTGCCTTTACGGACGTACCTCCACAAACTGCTTCAGCCTAATATACAAGATCGCAGATATGCCAAAGTAAAAGACGGGAACGCCTGTATATACATGGTGTAAGAACTGTGAGTATACTCTATCAGAACTGGCGAAACTCCGTGAAGCGGCAGAGTAATGTTGATGTTGAGGATTGCAAGCACAATAAAGAACAATCGGCACGGGAGCAGATCCGAATATCGATCGGTTCATTTTTGCATAATTTTCCCTCTCTATCTTTAAGTTCCTGAATTGTAATACACCCAAAAACTCACCTGGGTTGAGTTGCTTATAACGACGAATTGCGAGCTCCGCCCGAACTCTGTGGTAACTAAAATACAGCGCGATCCCTCCAATAGTAAGTAAGGCCACTCGTTGTAGACTCATGTTGGTTGATTGTTCAGATCAGAAATTTGATAACGTTTTGTAAACCGTGCCATCACTGGCAACCAGAAAACCAACAAAATTCCCACAAAATTCTACAAAAAGCTATATGCATGTGTATTTGAACTAGGAAACTTTTACAAACTTATTTGGCGTTTGAGAAGTGTCTATAATTTACAAACAAAAATATCAGAAAAATTGAGCTCATTCTTCAATTCATCAGCTAGCTTACCAGCAGGTCGTTTACGTTTTCCTGAAACGTCACCATTCTCTCCTCCATTCGAAATCTTGGCAGTAGGTCCATCCGCCATAGCCATCATATCAGTGTATCGTTGTAAATGATATGCAGGAGCTTCTGTTGCCTTTGCATTCTCTTCCCCATCTTCCATGTCATCGCCATAATTCAAATTGTCCGCCTTCTTGCTAGCGATCGTGTGTTGAGAGAGTGCCTTTTCTGACTTTTCGGTACTCTCAAAACGTATAAAGGCGGATGTAGAGTTGATCCATTGGAGCGATATGGATCCATATTCTTTAGCATCAAAGGAGGCCTCGATATCCTTTTGCTTGTAATTTTGAGGCATGGAGAAGATATGGAGGACAGAACTTCGATCTGGTTGATCTGTTAAGAATTTTGGATGTGAGATTAACAGACTGTACTGCAAGCAGTGTTAGGCAGTAACAAGTAATAATATAACACGACAGTTTACCATCTGGACCATTCAAGTGAACGTAAGCCAGATCAGAGCGCATCATATTCATCCGATTCAGACATTCCAAAAGCGTGTCTTCATCAAAAGACACACGTGGTGATATCTTAGTATCTTGCTGGAATTGAGCAACTAGACGAGCAAATGCAGCCCCTGTAGCATGTGCATCCCAGCCAGCTTCGTGATAGCTAGCCGAAGTTGTGCTATAACGTTGGTGATCGTCGTGTATTTCTACGAAACCGGGACAGTTTTAAATGGTTAGCTATGAAAGAAACAGCATGATTCAATGGTGCCAACACATATAACGCACGAATGGTGGGTGCTTCAAACGGAGGTTCAAGTGTTGTCTTGTAGACTTTTTCCAATGAAGAGTCAGGAAAATGAGGCTAAAATAGAACGAGAGGAGAGGCTACTGAATATACAACCACTTAATGAATGGAGCTAAAACTTGAATGGCCTTACAGCCAGAGCAGGAATGGTTTTACAAATGTGCTTCGTGTCATAAATTCTAAAGAGGGGAAGAAGGATTTTTCAGACGTAAGTCGTGAGCGAATAATATCATCAAGTACTAACAGAGGAAAAACTTGATTGAGATTGGTCTTGAAATCTTCCCAAGATTCTGGAAGTGGACCAATGAAACTTTGATATGTGTGTGTGAGATCTATAAAATAAGGTATTAGTACGACGAGAATGATGTCGATTATAAAATCTGCAACAAGACTAGCCTAGGATCATGTTGTGTCCTATGAGAGGTTTTTTTGATTTGGAAATCAAGTCCATGACTTTTCTAAATCCAACATACTCGTCTAATTGTTTCTAAAGAGAATATAAACGTACTCTTAGTTCCACTTCATCTGAGGGCAAAGAGGGCGACGCTTGACTACCTCTAGCTGAACAGCCTGATCGCCGACACCATTATCTCGTTCCTCATCTGAGAGTCTCTTCACTTGCACACTCCTGTCACGTAGACTGACACCGAGTGCGTTATTGTATCTGAATACAAAAGGGTTAGATTTGAGGCAGCTGGTAACGGAAGACCAACTTGAAGGTTGTCACTACTTTTGACGGATCTGTTGACCAATGAGTTTCTTGTGGTAGGAACTCTGAGTGTCGATATCTATTGATTTTTCTACAGAATTCTGCAACCATTCGTCCACTCGATCTCTAAAAGAAGCGAATATTGTGAGTTTGGAGTGAGGATGGTATATATAACAAACAATGATTCGAAGCGTTTACAGGCTTGTTTCAACAAACTCTCTGTTTCCATCATCAATGGCTATTCCAGGTTGTGTTGAGACCTGATTGATTTGATTCTTGATGTAGGATTCCTCGTGCTTGCTACAGTATGGAATTCCGTGACGAATCCACTTGTTGAAATCAAAGCCATTCTTTGCCAGAAACTCGATGGAGCCGACTTGACTCATCCAGTTACGTTCAAATACGTTGAACGGGAACTTGGCCGTAGCAGGAAAGATGTAAAAGTTGAATGGTTTTGACGTGTATGACTTTTTCTTTTGATCCCATATGAAGCAGCTGACACCATATTGAGTGATTGAGAACTGTTGCGATGATTTTCGGAGTTTGGAATATCGGTCTTGTGGGGTGTCAAGAGCAGCGTAAGCAGTTGATTGTCCATTGTTTAAACCTAGAAAGTCATCAAGATGAGTTCAGAATTCTGGAGATGAAGACTGAATTCTATGAATGGATCGTATCAATGCATACCAGTCAACTCGGTGTCAATGGCAACAAAGTCTGCCTGCTGAATAGCTTCTGCGATTGTTGGCAAGATCGCATCAAAACTGCCTTTCAGAACCTCCATTGGAGCCAAGAACCAGCGACGACGCTTGAAAAGACGTTTACTGAGATGAGAGGTTGCTACAGCCAGCGTTCAGTTTGACGCAAAGGAGCTTTGTGAGTTCGGCAACGTCTAACGAGAAGAAAAAAAAGCTCGCCGTCAAGGAACACCACCGCGCGACTTGAGCTTCTCAGCTCGTAGATCCGGCACTAGATCTGTCAGACCTAGTCCTGTTCATTCCTGTTCTCGATTAGAAACACCAGCTGTGACTCGACGCGTTAGACTTGCACTACAAAGCCGCTCACCATTACCCAACCTTCGATTAGAAGAAGATATGATTGTATTTGACAAAACTTGCTCAAAATGTCCTCGCTTTAGCAGCGAGATTATGTGTGTGTTGACGACAAATAAGAATAACTAAAAGGCCATGTGTGCAAAAAACTGTTTCGGTGTAAATTGTAGATCTCTCCCCTTTCAATGCCCACCTCAATCCTCGTAGAAGGTCTCGTCACCTTCTAATCTAGACATCATTCTTGGCAAGGCAAGAATCGCCAAAATTATCAATTCGGGCAAGACGGTAAAGGCATAGAAGAATCGTTCGTTAATGTAAATGTCGTTAATGTAGATGGTGGCAACATAGTAGGCTGACTTGACCAGCAAGAGAGCAGCCAAGACTGTGAAGATCAATGCATCCTAGTTATGACAGCTCGTGAGTTTCATCATTGCGTCGGTTCGGAAGGTGCTACCAACATACACCCAATGATCGAGCCTTTCGGGAACCAGCAGCCAAACCAGCATTGTAGAATGATCCCAAGAAGAGGAGAGCAGTCAAAGCGAGCCAGATCCAAATTACGACACTGAATACAAGCAAAACATATTGAGATTTAGAACAGCTTATTGACATAGGAAAAGTTCGTTCCGAGCCTAAATTAACGGCGAGCGATACACCACAGACAGTTCGTCTTCAACTTTCGGATGGCCGACTTATCGGCGTTCTGGTTCCGATGACTTACTAGTTGAATTGGTTTCCTCTAACAAGAGTGCCACCGTCAACGGCTGATGCAATCCACCATTGACCCAAAATGGCAGCTACGGTGGCAGCAATCATAACTACTTGTAAGATAAATCCAACGGTGGTTCGGTTGGTAATGTGTTCCACAGAGGCTGGTGGAACGCCCAATCGAAGTTGGCTACGACGACATAATATGAGATCAGAAGGCCAGTCCGAAGATAGTACGGACGACGCATCCGATTACATACCTTTGGAAGATCAAGAAGAGGACGGTGAAGAGAAGCCAGAAACCAGCCCACCACAGGCCCAGTGAGGCCACAAACATACTGAGGTTGCTGGGGTCGACATCGGTGGCCAACGCTCTAAGTACAAAGGTAGCCATACGTTCTAAAAGTAGCGGTATGCCCGCAAAGGTACGGTCAGCGTTGCCAACTTGATAATCGGATGCCGACACAATTCCATGTTTGCCGTTTTTAAGTTTGTGTTTGACACTGCAATGTCTCCCCAAAACCAGGACCTGGCAAGTAGATATGAACCTGGCAAGTAGAGATGCATTGGATATATAGCTTACCGAGACAGAAGAGGCATAGTATGGTACGGACGGCACCACGTACGAATGCAAACTCGACAAGGAAGAAGACACCCAAGACACAGTAGAAGCCGACAGCTACTGCAGCCGTTAAGAACGTCCATCCGAGTTGGGGCGGGTATGGCGGAAACATGTTGCCTCGTTAGCTGGTCAATTTGAAGAACTTTCAGTGGTGGGTGGTTTGTCGTAGGTCGTTGGTCGTGCAAAAAAATGTTCAGCTTTCGTTTTGTTTCGGAGAGAAGAACGCAAGGAAAAGGTGAATTGTTCGTCAAAAATGATCAAATCAGCTCATCGGATATGCTAATCTACGCAACTTTGCACAGGGGAAACGTGTTGAACATGAAAGGCTAACCACCAAAACAGGGTCATCAGAAAACCAACCTGGTGGGAGACTACGATCATGCCTTTACTAATCATTTTTTCAGGCGTTTCTGCAAACATTTCAAGTGTATATAAATTGATCAGCATACCATGAAGCAACAACGAGAGCTTAATATTCTGGCCATATCTTCGATGAATACAATGGTTGCTGAAAGTAGGACTCAGCCTCTTCCCACGAAAGGCATGTTCGTTGCCATAATTGTCATGTTCTATGAGACTAGAAGTTAAACTGATGAAGCCAACTATAATAGATGAAAAAATCTACATACCAAAACGTTGGCACCAGGTGGCAAATTCTAAGTGAAAACCTGGGGTTTACCACGGTGTCACGATAGTTTGAACGACACGGAACTTACCGCAATGAAAACGATTGCATCTCCAACATTGTCGACGTTCATTGTAGGTTCCACTGTTATCGTCCCATTGGCTTGAGGAACCCCTCCGGCCATACGTGCCGTCATTTCAGTCGAAGCATTTCCAATGTCGATTTGAGTGCATGCAATGTTGTTTCTCCTGTGGGAGAAATTTTAGAATTGTAAGGCGTTGTGCCTAGGAGTCTCATTACCTCCCATCCAAGGCAGTGCATTTCGTTAGCCCCAAAACAGCATGCTTGGTAGCAGTATACGGAGAGGAATCTATATAGAGACCAAATGAATAAGCAAGTTGTCGTCCTGTTGTTCGTGGCGTCCAGACAATAGATGTGAAAAGATAATTGTGACTCACTTGGGCGAGGCGCATAAGCAGAAACAGAACCATTGTTGATGATTCGGCCTCCACCTGTCTATCGTTGAGATGTAAATATCGAGAAATGTCCTCTATCACTAGATATCACCCACCTTTTTCATATGTCGTGTAGCTTCTCTTGTACAAAGGAAGGTCGCCGTCAGATTGGTATCCACGACTGTTTGCCATTGTTCTAACGTGAGATCCTCGATATTAACTGGCGGCGCACCGGTTCCAGCATTGCAAAAGACCATATCGATTTTGCCATATTTGCTGGCAGCTTGCTGAAACAAGTCAATGATGTAGTCTTCCTTTGTGACATTTCCAGGCACCACTAAAGTTGAGTTGACGCAACTTGAAGCGGTCTCGTGTAGGTTCTCGGCTCGTCGACCTGTAATACAAAGAGTGTTGATCTTCGTGGGATGTGGTCGTTTGCCTTACACGGTTGACGTGCCTGACAATACTACATTCCATCCGCTCTTTGATAGCGCGATAGCAGAAGCTCGTCCAATGCCAGATCCTGAAGAATATATGGGTTGTCAAATGTTAACGAAACTGTGTCTTCAATGAGCTCAAAGTTTTAACACCGTGAAGCTTTGAAGGGGAGACGCGGTAGATAAGAAGACAAGAAGTTGGATTCGCCATTCAATTCACCTTACCTCCTCCTGTTATTATGGCTGTTTTTGCTGTCATCGTTTTTGCGTCCCTCGCTGCTGAAATACTACTCGAAGAAAGCAGCTAGGGTATGATGTGACGATGGAGTGGTCTATGAAACTGGTATCAAACACGTCTTTAAATGACTGATGCCAACATTGTCAAACGTCATGTAAGTTCTGATTTCGCGTTAAATGGATTCTGTCAAGCTTATGTAGAGTAGGTCTATACTTGAATATTGTAATCCTCTATTCAGAGACATGTATATATAAAGAGGAGTGGCAGAATATTGGATTTTACAAATCTACATGGGTACCTCGAGAAACTGTGGTGGCAGTAGGTGACAGCCTGAAAACAGCTAAATTGCGTGGTGGTGGTGTTTGTGGAGAACCTAGTCCAATTGTTGGCGAATGGGTTGCTGACAATGGTGAAGAGCTATACACAACTTCACCACTTGATCTTGGAAACCTTCTCATGTCCTCAACTAGGTCACGAAACAGCTCTTCCTCAACTCGGTCGGCCATTGACCGAGTAATTTCATTTTCGGCCCTAAATAGAGTAGGGGTTTGCATCCCGCGCCATCTCAAAGTCGCCAGCCCATCTTCTAGAGCTGCATCAGACAGGGCTCCCATTTCGTTTAAGATCTATCAAGCAAAATTGGTCACTATAAATTTGAAATATGGACGACATTCCAGCAAGTACTTTTTGAGCCGATGAACTCGAGTCAGATAAGAGAATGTCTAGTGTTGCGGAGCGAGCATCAGGACTAAATCGTCGAAACAAATCCTCCAACACCCTCCTAAGCGCATGGGGTGGAATAGAATGCAACCCTGCAAGGTAAAAGAGTGTTAGAATCGTTTTCAGATGTTGTGCATTACGTGTAGTGGCACTTGTCAACAACAAGGCAGCATGCAGTATGATCCAACTTGTCCTGGAGTGTTGACAACTGCGTACCTTTCAACAAGGCAATGGCTTTTGGGCTCAGGGTAGAAGGTAGGCCTTCAGGTGTTAAGTAGAAGTTGCCCATGGTTCAGTAAAAATGCAACTTGGTGATGAGAGCGAGCTGGGTTGCTTTTGAAAACACTGACCCAAACCCGCTGATTTTCAAGCACGACAGCAACAAGAATCCATTCAAGAGATGCATAGACGCGTAAATAATAACAATAAAATATTCACCGACTCGAAAAGATGTTCTTGTATGGGCTTGGTTCATTGCTTGATCCTTGACAAATTTCACACAGATTGAACAACACTGAGCACGTAGACGAGTACCTTGAGTGTAGAATGATACGTAGTCCCGTCATGCACTAATTTCATCTTGGTAGTTCTTGCTCTGAGAACTTGCAGAACATCACAAATTGGCAGAGCAAAATCATGACCACCCTACTGAGCAATACGAGGCCACTTTCTTTGCCTCCGCCTACGATCCTAGCTCCACGTGCTCAATACACTACGTTGCAAACTCCCTCCAGTATACCACAAGCTCCTCCTTCTTTGCCTCCAACGCCTCCTCCATTTAATCTACCTTCATTTGGAGCACCAGAGTCTCATGAAAAAGTCTCGTGGAATGCCCTGCCAGCTCCTCCTGGAATGGAATCTGGAGGCGCTTTTAGCATGGCCGCCATCAGGAGAGCTCTGGCCTCAAAGCAAAAGGTAGATTCCTACATTGGAAATTGGGTTTTGATTCGCGATACCATTGTTTTGTCTCGTTCTCGGCCTCCAAGATGCTAATGTCACTGGTACTATTCATAGACAGTTCATTATGACTTTGCTTACGCGGATCGGGACAAGATGGCGAATGAAATCAACGAATTCTTTCATCATCACGATCTCATGTTTCTACATGAAGGACAGGAGCTATTCGAACAAAACTTTGCCTCAAGTACTTTATTGATGCACAAAATGTTTGGTCTTCAAGCGTCGTGGCTCTAACACCAAACTCGTAATGTAGAATGGACAGATGCTACAGTAGACCAGAAAACCAACTATATAGAAGCACAACTAGATTTATTGGAGTTGAAAAATCCAACAGAGAGAGCTCACGCTTGTCGAAGACTATTATATATCGCAGTAGGCACTTACGCCGAACTACCCGCTGATGCAAGCATTGATACCCATCTGAAACTAATTCAAGAAAACACTGAGTTGCTGCTCTCTTGCGGAGCGGTCTTGTACATATATAGGGCCCTTAGAATTGTCTCCAGTGCCATGGACGTTGCTACTAGAGTAGCTGATCCAGGGTTTTCTATACAGGATCGTCAGGCTATAATAGATTTAGCTAATATTGAAGCTTCGGTTTGCTTGGCCACCTTGTACATGATTGTTGAAGTCAACCTTGGAAACGAGAGATTGGCTGTCGAGTTGGGAGAAGGCGATGTGCCTGTCGCAGGGCACCTCTTTGTATTGGTGTCTCAACTAAGTGATTCAAATCGAAAACACTATCCAGCAAAGAAGGCAAGTTTCTTTTTTGACAGGAATAGTGGATTGAAAACGTGTGATGCCTCGAAGCCTCTTAATCATGTTAGAACTCTACGTGAACGTGTCGTGTCGTTGGACTAACTTGAACGCCTACTAGGTCTTGCTTTTGCTGTGGAAGACATTAATGGCTAGTTTGGGTGATTCAGTACGTTTGCAAGAATTAAAAAATACTGCAAGGAGCATGGAGGGTCTACCTTCAACCACTGCAGAGGGTATGTTCCTTCTCATTCGAGGATGTCATATTTCCATTCTCTAAACACTTAAGAAACATACTAGATCCATATGTCAAGGCAGCTCCCGGAGACTATCAGCAATTACAGACCATCCTCACGAATCGATACCCCGCGTACGTTTTGCCAGATGCTCACATCATGGCAACTCCATCCGTTGAGAAACTTAATCTTGCCGCATATCCACCTTCACCTCGTCCAACTCCTTGGGAGCCTCCATCACCACTACAACCATTTATAAATCCAGACCCGGAAACCAATCCATCCTTTTTCGACGAAACTATATCCAAATTCAAGCAATATTCATATATCTCGTTAGGAACTGTACAGTTTGCCAAAGAAAAAGCCATCAAGGACCGGACGGAAGCTTCCATGTATGCATCGGACAGAGCAATGACCGGTGGTTGTATAACAGATTGGTTGCCCTCAGAGTCTTCTGTCGAAAGCGATGAATCAGCAAAAACGACTGGATTAAGACACGACCACCAGAACAAGGATGCGCTGGAGAGGATTGACCAACTCTACGTGAGTTCTGCATCGACGCAACATGGTCGACCCGTCGTTTTTCTGTGTTTTTTGTTGTTGCTCACAGCTTTCTGTTTTCAGCGATATCTGTTGCCCAATATGTCTACACATATAGTAATGTTGGTTCGTTTGATATACTATGTAAATTTGGATGGTCGATCACAAGATGGCAGCGGTGGACCACCGGATGGTCAGTCGTTTCCAGACAACCAGTCGCCACAAAGTAGTCTGGAGAATGCAGACGCCACACGGCATAGAGAAGTTGTGACGAAGGCTGTATCTGCCATTATAGTGGTTCTACTTAAAGCAACTAGATGTCGCAGTATGTATCATTCTTATTTTTCTGCATTTGTCGCACTCTGTCCCGTTGGCCACACCAAAATGCGATTACTGAATATCTTTTCTTCTTTCGAATCTAGACATCTTCCTCTTTGAATACATCTCGCAGTTGCTTATTGATCACAATTGTTCAATATTGGTTCTCAAACTCCTCTCGACGTGGTTTCAGAATCAGAATAACAACCCTAGCAAGCCGGTTGATTTGTGGAATGATGCTCCTGCATTGACTAGTGGAACTGCATTGGCTGCTGCGTTTCTAAAAGAATCAATCGAACCCGCTCAGCTCAAGTAAGTTTCTTCAACGCATGTGTTTTGTCAGCATCCTCCTCACACAACTCTGTTCAGTTTCTTCCACTTTTGTCGAAAACAAGACACGGACAAAGAAGGCAACGCTTCTCCACCCATGGAAGATATAGCTTCTGTCATAGATAGCTACGACTCGCCAGTTGACGAAACCAACGAAACGATCAACGAGAAGGATGATACACAAGAATTCAAGTACGTAGAGCATTCAAGCAATACCTAGGCAGAAACGTAAGGCTAAACCATTCCCTTCTCAATAGCGTTGGATCATGGCGTAATTTCTTTACAGTCATAAATCTAATGCGAGTGTTACAAAAGTTGAGCAAACGCAAGTCACATCGTATTTTAGCATTGATTCACTGGAAGGCCTCAGCCGTATTGAAACGAGTAGTGAAAGTTGGTCATGTCGGACTCCAACTTTATGCCCTCAAACTACTCAAAGGTCAAATACCATATCTTGGTCGTAAATGGCGGTCCAGTAATATGAAGGTGATAACCTCCATTTACTTGCATCTAAGGCCATACCTCCGAGACGAATACCTGTCTGGTGATTTAGAAGTAGATGGTGAAGAAGCTCTATCACAAGAACACCAATTACGTGGTCTGATTGCCTTTTACCATCGACGGGTATATGGTGACTTGATAAATACCAATAATCCGGAAACTGCCAATGGGTTCCCTAAATCTGCACACGAGACTCAAGATGATTTGGATCTGGTGTTGATGCTCCATGAAGCTGGATCTAGATCTCTACCATCTATTCGACCATCGGATCCACATGCTTACCGTGCTTCATCGCAAGAATTGGATGAAAACTTTATACAGAATTATGAACAGTGGTTGCAGACTGAGGTGTTTGAGGCGGAACATAAGTCGCCAACTCGTCGGCAACATAGTAGTAGGTCTGAAAGCAGTGATGATGAATATGACGCATGGGGGATTAGAGAGACCTCACATATACCAGCAGTGTGAGTGTTATATGTTCTTGTCATTTTGATCTTTTTTTGTGTGATTGAGGATTTGACATTTTTCAACTCTTGGTGTAGGACTGATCTTCCTCCAGCCTACAATGATTTACATGGATTTATTGCGACTGATTGGGATGATTGGATTGGAAACGATGAGGAGGAGGATGCAGCTGACTGGTCTGATCCAGAACCAGACGAAGAGGCGGCTGAGAAAAAGGATCCCGACCAAAATGGAGAAGATTCGGACACGGCTGCAACTAGCACAAATACCCAAGAATAGATTAGCAAGTTGCGCGGTTTGCATTTGTATTTGTTTGCTTAAAACGTTATACATTTCTTCGCAAGCACACCCGTATTTTATCTACAGCCTTTATTTGTTTGGAATTCACATTCGTGTTTTACTTCATTTGATTTTTACAAGTATCTCCCCGTCCTTCTTTCATTTACTCTTTGATGAAACGATGGTAGATAAACAGAGCTACCAAGATCACACCAGCAGACAAAGCTACATTCAATACAACGGGAGGTACACCACCTAATTGCTCATCCTTTTTGATTTCTGGAGCAGCAGCAGCCTTATTATCCGACACTTCAGGTGACGATGCTATTTGCATTGATGCCTGAGCCGAAGCTTGAGCCAAAGCACTCTGAGCAGCGGCATCAGCAACGCGAGTTTCCAATTGGGGCTCACCGATATACAGGACAACTCTATTCCATCCTGCCCGTTTAGCAATTTCTACTGCTTCATTCAAGTCCCCATCATTGTTGACTTGGACCGAGTCTCCATCCTCGTCCAAGAAATACAATTTATCAGACAAGACGGCGTCATCAACGAGATTGAGGGAGCTTAAGACGGTTTTGGTCAATTCGTCCAATGATTTATATATAGCGGTGAATCGGTGTACTCGACCGGTTGCTGGGTCTCGAAGTTTGAAGGCAAACTTGTTGGGTTCAGGTACACGAGTAGGTCTGGGTATTATAGGTTGAGTTTGCTGTAATACAGTACTATTGTTTGTCATGGTGGACATCGTGTCATCTGCTACGGCACCAGCCAAACCACCACTTGCTCGTATTGGACTGTTTGATATCTCACGATCACGACCATCCGACGTGACTGAGCGCGCGTCCGATTCTGACGGAAGGGGAGCACCTGTTGTGGGCGCAAAAGTTGAATTCCAGAAGCGTTCCCATACTGGACCGGTAGCTGTATCAGTAGCTGCTGCCTGGTCCTTGTTCATCTGCGCAAACAAAGATACAACTCAGTCGATATTAAAGTATCTGTCGCAACTTTAGATAAAACTCACCATGTAGTTGAGCATGGACAACGTCAACTGCATGACGTCCACCAAGCCTACTGGGACTTGATTTTCTACAACTGGCAAATGAAGATAGTGACCAGCTATTTGACGAAACAAGAAATAATGAGCAAACAATGAAGATGAGAACAGTTTTATAACCTCCAACCAGAAGGAAATAGTAGGTATACTGACCATGGAGTTTCTTGAGTGCGTCCAATATAGAAAACTCTGGAGAAATCGTGTCTGGCTTATGTGTCATGACTCGCACAACAGATGTAGTTGCAGGATCCAAGCCCGCTGCTACAACCCTCAAAACTATATCCTGTAGAGCAAAGAACAAGATGAGTAGGCGTTTGACGTCGACAATTAGCAATACACAAAGTTGTTGGTCGCACATGTACAAACATACATACCTTGGTCGTGAAGATTCCGTTGAGTTTGTCATCACCATTCGAGTCTCGATCAAGTACCAAGACAGCTGTTTGATGAGTGTCCTTCATGACTTTGGCAGCTTCTCGTACAGTTGCTCGAGATGCACACTCTGGTGGAGCACCGGAGCGCGACAAGATGGTTCCAACATCAGGTGGACCGAGTGAGAGTTTCATGGCGTCTATATTCTCAGATCCCACTGATCCGCGACGGTTGAGAGCTTCTACGGCACTGACAATGTTTTGATCTTCCAAGACCTTTTTTTCCAAGTCGTCGAGTCTCTCAAATACACATTTTGTAATGTCTAGCAATCCTACTACTTCAATAGCAGGTGCATCTGTTGAGTCCTCTTCGTCTACTTCATCGTCGTGAAAGACAACAGAGCTGACTACAGGCAAGTGCCTAAATCGGCGCTCTACCATGATGTTCAAGGCTTCATTTCGACCAGACTCGACCGTGACTAGTAAGAGAGATTGATTAGGCTTTGATGAGAAGATCCACAACATATATGTAAGCGTCCTCCTGAGGATATAACGCGATTATGTTGTACCTGAGGTTGGATTTTTGGTCATGACATCCTTGATGATGCAAGTACGCAAGTCCATTCCTTCAGCGACGACCCGATATGCGACATCCTTGTCGGTGAGAATACCGGCCAGTTGACCATCATCGCCAAGAACGAGGACGGCGTCGGTTCGTCTTGCAGCCATGAGTTGAGCACCAGCTAGGACGGTTGCTGTGTAAGGTATAGTCAAGGCGATATTTGGCTTCAAAGACGATACGGTGTTCTTTCCGAGTCTACGTTTAGTGGTATCGTTCTTTATTGCATTACTGGTGTTTGTGACTGTCTGCTTGTGTTTGCCGTCTGGTCTTCTAGACAATTCGGTATCTAGTTTCTTCCTGAGGGCATCATCTCTACGCTGATTTCGTTGCTTTAACAGGGTTGATGAGTTGGACGAGGAGGAAGGAGAAGATGTATTGGGATCGGATCTGGTAGGCTTAGAAGAAGCATATGTTGTTGCCATGATGGAATTTAGATGATGACGAGCGTTGGCACCTAGCAGGTTTGGAGATGTGAGATTTTATACAAGTGCAGAGAAATGCAAGGAACTGTAGAGTGGAAATGGAGCAATAAGAGTAGCTATTGCACTTGCCTGATGGCCTAGTAGAGTTGCACTTGCAGCTGTCGAGTAAGAAAGCGTCCTGACGTCGGAACTGTTGTCAACTTGAAATTCCAAGCAAAACGCACAAAACAAGGGACATTCCACATGATGCACACCGTTAGAACCTTTGTTTACACTAGATCTGCGTCATCAAGCATTAACTGGAATTGTTCACGGTCGCGTCTATGCGGATTCTGCATCCAAAAGCGTGCGAATTCTCTCCAACCAAAACAATCGCCCACATCGAGCAAACACATACAAGACACCAGCCATATAATGGTCGATCGAGCAAACAGATGCTGCTCTCCATCTTATTAGCATTCGGCCTCGGAGTCTCCGTAACTGTAGTTCTCATATTCTTACTCTTGCTATTCTTTTTACAGACTCTTCCACACTTCAAACCAAAGTTGCATCAACCCAGATGGAATGCATCGTCCGCTTCAAATACTAGAAGGAAACCACTTCAATCCGTCGTAGACGATGCTCTGAAACTACACAAGGAAGGCTGGTTAAGGAGATCTACTAAAGATTTGGGAGAAGACGCAACACAATTGCACCAAGCATCGTCGCTGGACGATCAGCCTACAACTGTAACTCTGGGAGGCTCACTATCAAATCTGGCTAATGTGAAAGGGTCTTATAGCTCCCTCTCCAAGAAATCAGCGGCAGTCTTGGTACGCAACTGTGTGATCCACATCACTTGCCGACGGTGCTAACCGTACTTGTCCGTATCTAGTCTCGCTTCTTGTCCAGTAATACTCCCATTATACCACCAACTCCCGTAATACCTCCCTTCAACACATACTATGCCGTCCTAAAACAACGCACGTTGTTCCTCTACGATTCGCAAAACCAGACAGAATACAAGGAAGTCATGCTATTATCAAAGTACCAAGTCACTCTATGGCCTCCTGGATTGACCGACTCGGAACTATTTAGTAAAAAATACCCTATTGCACTTATACCACTAGCAGCCCAAGGTTATCCAACATACGCACCTGCAGAGTCTGCCATGAATCCAGATTCAACGCCAACACCATCATCTACTACACCTTCGTTTTATATATATTGCCCAACATCATATGATAAAGAAGACTGGTACATATTGCTAAAACGGGCAAGTCAACTACCCCCTTTTGCTGATACCGAGGCTCTCTCTGCTTATTATCTCGAGTTCGAGCCATTCCAGCGGTATCAAGATGCCATGAGTAAACTAGTCTCGACTGTACAAGGACCTGGGAGTAACAACAAGAAGGAAAACAATAGTAGAAACAGTACTCCAGATCAAAGCAGCAGTAGTAACACCAACAGCACCAAGGATAACAGCACAAGCAGTAGTAATGACAGCAGCACTAACAATAGTAATATTTATACAGATCAGGCCACTGCTTGGCTGAATGCTTTGGTCGGAAGAGTGTTTGTCTCCATACATGCAAATCCAAACATCAAGGATTGGGTGATTCGTAAATTATCAAGTCGCAGCATAACCAGAAGAAACGATGGTATTCTAGGAGATATCCTAGGCGATATAGTCGTGAACGATTTAAACGTAGGAGACTCGTTACCTATCCTTACAAACCCTAAATTGCTGGATATATCTGTACACGGTGATTTAAATGTAGAAGTCGACGTCGAATATACAGGTGGACTCCGCGTAGAAGCAGCTACGTGTGCTACAATCGCTGTCCCGTCACTAGATCGATATGTGAAACCGCTGCAGATACCTCTAGTAGTAGCAATCAAGATCAAGAGATTTAGTGCCAGAATGCTGTTTCGTATCAAGCCATATTTTGAGAGCTCTCGCATCTGGTTGGGCATTCATCGTGATCCACCTCTACAGCTAGAAATACAAGTATGTAAACTCAACCCAACAGAAATTATATATATATATATATATATCTAACGCAATCTCTTGGGCTATTGCAGGTGGAACCGATCGTCTGGAATAAGCTCGTAACAGTTGCCCTAGTGAATCAAATCATTGAGCAACGTATAAAGGAAGCTTTGGAAGAAAGAATCGTATTGCCAAATATGGATGATATTCCAATGTTTGCCGCAAATCCATTCTTGGACAGCTCGGACGTAGAAGAAAACCATCATCCTGAAGACGCTAGTGCAGCAACGGATGGAGATTGGTATTCATACGCTGACGTACCGGAGAGTACCATTAGGAGAAGACGCCGTGCTAATAATCAGTCAGATGACACTTCTACCACGAGTGAGTTTGCATTCGTGCATTGTTCTGTGCTAGTGGCGTTTTCTTCGTTGATTTTCCAACCATGACTTTTTGACTATTCTAGGTGCGACCCAACCAACTGAAGTCGTTGATGATGGAGTAACTTCAGCGGCTAGTACGGCAAACGAATGGTTGAACTCTTGGTGAGTCTGTTTGGTCATTTCCATGAGATGTAGCTGAAAAATTAAGTGCTGCTGATGTTTTCAACAGGGTTTCTGCAGCCGAACGAGCAGGATATACCACATGGATGTCTAACACTATCGCCCCTGTACTGGCTGCTGTAACCGCTCCAATAATAGCAGCAGCAGAAATCGAAAAGACCAACAATTCGAACGACAGGACTTGGGTTGAATATTTAGCAACTCTAGTTCCCACGGATTTGGGTCAGACTGTCAATGCAGAGTCGAACGATGAATCTGGTACTAAAGGGCCATCAGATGTCATTCAACCCGTAGAATCTGAACGTAAAAGTGTAGTAGAAGGTCGTCCATCTGAAACCACGCCTATTGAAAACTGGTCTGACCGTTTGGGTCTAAATGGATGGTATACGACAAGTCATAGAGCTCCCCTAGCTCCTCCTCCATTGCCCTCACCAACAGCAGATGTAGCAACCGACACGAGTGATTTGTATCCATTGCCGCCGTTCCCTCTTTTGGGGTCGGGAGAACTACCGAAAGCATTTAATAATAGTAGTGAATTTCAGAGAGAAAGGTCACAATCGAGCTCGTCGACGTCAAGTGCCGTCTCTAACGGTAGCAATACTAGGAAAAAGTCCTCAGTTGTATTTAGTGGGATGGGCTTGATGGTCAGCACACAATCACCTTTAGAAACAACGCCTGCTTCCCACTCTCTGCCCAGCACGCCTAATAATCCGAGGAGATACATGAAAGATAACAATAGTAGTAACGAGTGGTCGCAAAATACTAGTTTCCGCACGTTAAGTCTGTCTGAGATCATGCCGCCTGAGCGTGGGAGGAGCCTCATGGACTCGCCACCTATACGAGCCACGTCTATGGCAGAAGTCGAGTCGACAATAGCTGCAAGAGGAACTGGAGCTCGTGTATCCATTACTACTTCAAGTGATGAAAATGGTCCAGCTCTAGAGTTCCAGCCGCCTGGAAGTGTCTTGGAAGCTGTGGATTCTTTGAGGGAGTTGGGGAAGAAGTTTACTGAGTTTGGCGTGTCGGGCCGCATGAATTCCTCATAATTATTAGTTGTAAATAGCATTTTATAGAATAGTAGATTGTAAAAAAAACCCACAAGCGTAGCGTGATTTCAAGTTCGACGTAGCCTGATTTATATTGAAGGTTTATGTCAAAACAATCACAAGAGGCCTCTTAAATCCTTGACTGCCCAGAAGGTATTATGGACGAACCGCCATCAATTGTAAATACCGCGCCCTACGTGTACAACAAAACTGATGAGTACTTTTATACTTCTCATTCGTAAACGACAACGTACTGTAATGTGAGCTGATGCTCTTGACGCCAAGAAGACAGCCAGTCCTGCCATATCTTCTGTTTCGCCTTTTGAGGGATTGAGTAATGAAAATTAGCTTGATTTTATGCGGATTGCGGCTGTGAATTACGTACCAATACGGCCTAGTGGGACCGAAGAATCCATGGCTTGCTTGGCACCGGGTTTTGACAATCCGAAGGCCATCATTCGGGAAGGGAATGCGCCTGGAGCGATGCAATTGACTCGGACATATCTAGAAAATGTCGGAAAATTGTCAGCTTGTATGTAAATTCAATATTTCACTAGACGCATGTGGAAACGTTCAAGTCTGAAGGAACGGCAACGAGAAGAGTACCTTGAAGCCAGCGATGTAGCCAAGGTGCGTGTAAGGTGGTTTACGGCGGCTTTGGATGATGCATACGATGGTGTTCCACTTCCAGCCTTTGCAATACCACTATCGTCGTCTCGTCCTTCTGCCGATGATGCAATGATACCGCCTATGCTGGACACGTTGACTACGGTTGCTGGCTCATAGTTGCCGTTGGAAGCCTTTTCCAGTAATGGAAGTAATGCGGTGGTCAAGAAGAATGGGCCTTTTACATTGACAGCATATAATTGATCCCATCCTTCCTTTTCTGGGAAGTCGAGCATAGGTGCACCTAATCAAGCAGAGGATTTAGTGAGATGGTATATTTGTAGAAGAAAGAGACTTAAGTAGGTACCCCATGTAATGCCAGAGTTGTTGAACAGCGCATCAAGTTTTGTTTCTCGTTGTTTGATCTTGTTTGCGAGTTCATCGCAACCAGCTTTGGAGTTCAGGTTTGCAGTCAGGGGTAAGCAGACACCTCCTTGTTTGGCATAGTATTTGTTGAGTTCAGCAGCAGTTTCATCTACGACTTGTTGTTTTCGTGATGCGATATAGACTTTTGCTCCGTTAGCTACGAGGCCAGCTGCGAGCATTTTGCCGATACCAGTTCCACCTGAACGAGCATAAGGTATGGTTAGAAGGCGGTTAAGGCATGGTGAAGTAGAAAGAGCTGGCTTCAACAATAGTTGACGAAAACATTGTAAGAGCAAAGGTCAACACAAGTAAGCAACAGAGGCTGTAGAGCAGCAACGAAATATGAAATAAGAATGAAATGCAGTGATTCGAGTGCTCTGGACCCAACACATTGCAGGGATGATGGTGTCGTGGTGTGTGCGACATTTAAGAAGTTTGCAATTTCCCGAGAGAAAACGGGCAAACGAACAGAGCGACCGGTCGTAGCAGTATATTACCTCCAGCTACGTATGAATGAATTGTTAGCCTCACCTGAACTTACGAGCTTGTGTGGATTGATGTTTCGCACTTACTAACAAGAACGACTTTGCCCTTGACGCTGAATAGGTCATTGAGGCCTAGGGGCGTAGCACTGCTACTCATGACTATCTTTTCTTTGCTCATTCTTGGTATAGTTTTCCTCTGCCTGATAAAAACCGTGGAAGTTCCAAGTTGAGAATTGCTCAAGGCTTGATTTTTTCAAATCACAGTCAGCATCCTCATATTCCAAACGTCGAAAACAACAAGAAGAAACTAGGGAGGCAAGTGTCTGAATTGATACACCGCGTCTTTGATATTTATTTTTAAACTTCCACTACTAAAGCTGCCTAGATCCTGTTCGTTCTAGGTCCCTCTGTCCTTCGCGCAATCTTCAAAGCTGGCAGCATCTTCTCAACAATACAGGCAAGAACAGAGCCTACCGGAACTGCCTGGTCAAGTAGTAGCTCAACCCACTTCAAGTACAAGACTATTCGCTGAAAACATGGCCCAATACGTCCCTCCTCAACAATATGGTGGTCAACAGCAGCTGCAACAGCAACCGCCACAACAGGCTGCCATGAGGTATTGCAGTAGGAGCGATGCTCGTAGCGATGCTCGTTATCGTTATGAAAAGAATTCAATCGAGTCTATACTTGATACTTTCACTGTGGTGATCGTAATCATCAGTCACCATTTATCTTTGCACTGCCAACATATTGACACAAAGTACCGCGCAACCGTGAAACACATCTCACACATCATTCTATTGTGTTGTCATTTAGAATTCAACCTGTCTCTCATGCTGTTGGTAAGTATCTTTCTGCTCAACCAACCAACGCACCACGTCGTACGCTCGCGGACTTTGTGGAATCTCCATTGACACTGGCCCACCACAAAGAATCATTCATTTCTAACAGAATCTGCTCTTATAGAAATCTCCATTCCTAATTCGAGCCATCCGCTGTACGAAGGAATGATTAATAGCATAGGTTCGTCAAAATTGATTGTGCTAAGCCTCACCATAACGAAACATTGAATCGGATTTGCTAACGCAATCTCCTCATAGGCCTGGTACTCGGCTGCTGCGGATCCATCCCCTGTTTGTGCTGTTTCCCCAATCCATACCGCACCGTCAAGTGTGTTTGGGAGCATGAGGCGATTTCACGGTTTAAGGCAACTAACTGACATGTTCTTCCTGAAACAGTCAAGGAAATGTTGGTCTGATCTCGCGTTTCGGTCGATTCTACAAATCTGTCGACCCTGGACTGTATTTCATCAATCTGTTTTCAGAGTCGCTCATGTCTGTCGATATCAAAATCCAAGTCGAAGACATTCCAAAACAAATTGTCATGACCAAAGACAATGTCCTCGTATCTGTCGACAGTGTGCTATACGTGAGTTGACAAAATTTGGTGACTTGCAAGAAAGCCAGCTAATACTCATTAATACCAGTGGCATGTTGTGGATGTCTATCAGGCCACTTTCGCAGTATCTGATGTCAGGAAAGCGCTTTTGGAGCGTGCTCAGACTACTTTGAGACAAATTCTCGGCATGAGAACATTGCAAGACACTGTCGAAAACAGAGATGTTATTGCACATGAGATTCAAACGGTATTCATTTCAATGAAATTCCACTGTGAAGAATCAAGCTAAAACCCCTTCCTTGTATTCCTTGATTAGATCATTTCTGGACCTGCTGAATCATGGGGTGTCAAGGTCGAATCCATCTTGATCAAGGTCAGAAAATGCTAGCAAGATTTGGCGAGTGCTGAGAGAGACTCTTTATTGAACTTTGTTCTTTTTAGGACTTGCAATTCAGTCAAGATTTGCAAGAATCCCTTTCTATGGCTGCCAAACAGAAGAGAGCAGGAGAGGTAAAGTGTCCTTTAAAGCTCAGTCTGAGAAGTTGTTGAGAGAGATATCTGACATCTGGAACACTTCTCCAGGCAAAGGTCATTCTCGCAGCCGCCGAGGTTGAGTCTGCAAAGTTGATGAGAGAAGCCTCAGATATATTGAACACGCCTGCTGCCATGCAGATAAGGTGCTATCCTCGACATTTATTTAACTCTCGCCTTCTCCGCAACCTGACTTTCTAATCTCTTTACCAACAGATATTTGGAAACGCTGAGTGGAATGGCGAGAAGTGCTGGGACGAAAGTCATCTTCATGCCTCAAAACTCCAATCTGCAAAGCATTATGCAGGCGAATGTCTTGGAAAACATGAATTCCTGATCCTTGGCTATAGATGCGCTTCCTTACTTTTGAGTTATTGCTTTGTCATGATTTACTTATGTTGGTAGTCTTGTTGTTGCGTGTGAGTGGTATTTTTTATGGCTAGTAGAAATAAGCAAATATAGCTTTGACTGCTTTTAATCATATTCAGCTTGTTGAAGTGAGCGATCGCGCATATGTCGTAGCTTGCAAATCTGACGACAGTTTTCATTTTGCGAAACTTAAAATCTCACCGCAAGCGGAGGTTGAACTAGAGAGAGACGACAATCTAGAGATCTCCTGTATCGACAATAGTAAGTTCGTTTACTTTGGGATTGCAGAATTCTCTTCAGCAGCTGCAATTCTAATCTTTGCAAAATCACGCTTTTCACAATAGTAGCAAAATGGATTATTTTTCTGAGATCTCCAGCCCGTCTGGAAAATTACATGTGAGACTGTGCAAGCTGGGAGCATCGCCGTCCTCCATAGTGGTTTCTTGTAACGGTCAGGATCTGGACATTTTGATGGGTTGTGACAACATTGACGGTTACAAGACGGCAGTCGCACCGGGTGGCTCTAATCCCTCTTTTGGACTTGTTGGACCTGTAGCGAATAGGTTTACAGTTGATTTCCTTTGACGGTCTGTTTATTTGAGTCTGACACTCACACCTAGGATCTCAAACGCATCATTCGACTTGGACGGGATCACATATACCACTCTTCCGAGAAATCACGGACAACATTGTTTACATAGCGGACCATCGTCGTGGAGTACACAAGGTTGGAATGCGGTCTCTCTTAAATCTGATACTGTCACCTTTGCTTTGCCGTCTGCTCTATCGGAGGATGGAGAATTCCCTGGCGCTCTAAATGCAGAATTGACATATAAAGTGACCGATGATGCTAGTGGCAGTGTCTCGTTGACTCTGGCGTTTGTTGTTAAAAATGTTGGAGTGGCATCGAGTTATATAAACCCGACGTATCATGGCTACTTCAACCTGACCGGATTCAAGGACACTATATTAGATCATATAGCAGAGTTTCCCAATGTAGTATCTACTCTTGAAGTGGACCAGACTCTCATCCCCTCCGGAATCGAAAACCCAATCACTAGGACTGCAGAGCTTAACTTTAGTCAACCGAAGACCTTTGGGTGTGATATAGAGAAGCTAGCAGGTGATCCATTTTGTGGTTATGATCACTATAATGTTATAAACCCCACAGCACAAAACAGTGGCAAACTGTGTCTAGCTGCCCGAATAAGCTGTGGTGATCTGACTATGGAAGTAGACACGTCGGCACCTGGATTCATGCTGTATACAGGTAACTTTTTAGATGGCACAATACCTCGAAAAAAATCTCATGTCACTGATGGACGCAAGTACTATAACAAATATGAGGGCTTCTGTATAGAAACACAATCACCAGCAGATGCTATTAAATTGGATAAATATAGAGACGGCGTTATTGTAAAGCCAGGTCAAACTTGGAAATCAACTACTATATATCGTTTCATTTGTATTTAAACCATATGAAAACAAAAGACAAAAATAGTTCACACGCCAGACTTCTATATTCCTACTCTTCACGACTCGTTGCCTTGGAAAAGCTCAAGCCTTTCAAAGACCCTTCATTTCTCCATTCCTTGATCAAGTTGAAGAACGCGGGGCTGCCCCTCCCGTACGGTCCACTCTTCATCATTTCTGCTCGAACCTGGCCTTCCAGATTGTAGTAGCCACTAGTTCCACGAGTGTTGATGTGAGCAACGGTCCAAAATCATATTCCAACAACGAAAACTCACGGAGTACAGTCACTCAAAAACTTCTCACGGAAGACGGCGACTTTGCCGCATTCTTCGACCCAAGCTTCTTCCGCTTCAGCGGTTGCTTCAATTATAGTGGCCTTGCGCTTTCTGGCCTCAGATAGGATATGTGCAATGTGTCGTGCCTGTTTGACAAAGCAGTTTAGACCAGCGCCTTGTGTGGAATTGCAAGCATTCTTACCTCTTCGTCAATGAGATGTACCTGTATGACAAAGTAGTTTAGACCAGCGCCATGTGTGGAATTGAAAGTTTCTTACATAGTTTGCAGTAAATCCCGCCTGTGCAGGGTGAACAATGAATAGATTGGGGAATCCGTTGGTATTCATACCGTGGAACGTCTTCACCCCCTGAGAAAAGGTTTGCGTACTTTAGTCGAGTGTTGCTTCCAAATCCTCGATCCCTGGATATTTCTTACCTTGCCCCACTTTTCACTCAGACTCAATCCATTTCTACCATAGGTCTCATAGCCGGCTCTTCGTGCAAATCCAGTTCCAACTTCGAAGCCCGTTGCAAAGACAATTGCGTCCAATTCGTACTATGTCATGAATTGAATGAGAGTGAGTTTAGATACAATACACGAAGGGCTCCTAGTGCTTACCTCCTTGCCGTCAACCACGATTCCCTTCTCGGTTATAGAATCAACTCCTTTGCCCTGAGTGTCGACGAGTTTGACGTTTGGGAGATTGAATGTGTCGAGATACTCGTCATGGAAGCAAGGGCGCTTGCAAAACTGGTAGTAGCAGATACGAAATGAGTATGGAGGTACTCCAGAATAAGTTGTACCTTTGACGTTACCTGATTGTACCAAGGTTTCAACGCATCTGCAGTGGCTTTGTCCTTTACTGTAGCATCAATTCGAGATCTGACGCCATTCATCTTCTTGATATCAGCCAATTGTAACAACTTAGCGGCAGCCTCTAGCTCGCGCTTTGCGGCATCTGCGGCACTTTCTGCTGCATTGCTCTCTACAGCGCGCTTGCGAGCCAAGTCACGCCCAGTCAATCTAATAATCTCTGTCCATCCGTCCGAAACGAGATCTGGTTCCCCTGCTGGTACGCCAGACATCCTAAACAGTGTGCATGTCGTTAGGCGACACTTTGGACAAACGGTAATCAATTTTCAAATTACCAGTTGTTGAAGTTCTCCATTCGCTTCTTGTGCCATCCTTCTCCACTCAGAGTGTCCTTTGCCCATGTTGGATCGGTAGCTTTGTTGTTTCTAAAGTCAACACTTGATGGTGTTCGTTGGAAGACAAAAAGTTGCTTGGATGCTGCACCAAGGTGAGGAACGACTTGTACAGCGGTTGCACCTATTTAAAGCGAACGAGAATGAGTTACAACTGTAGTTTCAGACTTTTCTTGGGCTTGAAACCATTCGTACCAGTTCCAATAATTCCGACTCGCTTGTCCTTCAAATTCGTCAAGTTTCCAGTAGAGTCACCACCCGTGTAGGCATAGTCCCATCTGGAAGTATGGAACGTGTGGCCCTTGAAGGAATCAATGCCTTGGATGCCGGGAAGCTTGGCGCGGTGCAATGGACCTGCAGCCATTACCACGTTTCTGTTTATAAAACGATTTCAACCATTTGATTTCTGGGTCACTGAACAGAATAAGACTGACCTGGCCTTCATTTTGTCGCCACGGTTGGTGGATACGGTGTATACTGATTCATTGTCGTCCCAACGAACTTCAGTGACTTCGGTTTGGAAACATGCGGTATCGTAAAGCTTGAAATGCTTTCCGATTACGCTGCAATACTAATCATACAATGAAGGCAACGATTAATGTCTCTCTTTGGGAGGCCGAGAGGTTTGAAACCGGCTCTACCTTCAAAATTTCCGGGGCACGGGTGTACCTAGAATGAATAATGTCGGCAAAGAGCAAATGTAGCGCTTTTGGGAGCTGAAGGCTTACTTTTCAACTGGTATGTACCCTGTCTCCTCGAGCAAAGGCAAGTACACGTAGGATTCGATGTCGCAAGCAGCCCCAGGGTATCTGTTCCAGTCTAGCATAGTATACAAGATTTGTATGAGATTCATTGGCAGCTTCTGAATGAGATTTCTCTCATAAATGAGATTCATCCCGATGCCCAACGTGCGAACTGAGAGCAAACTGGTACTTACACCAAGTTCCACCAAAATCAGAGGCTTTCTCGACAATCCTGATTTCTGAAGACTTGAATCCTTCTTGAATCAAGCGAGCACCTGTAGTGAATAAGGATTGTGTGAGTTTTCTTTGCCGACTCACCAAACCCGAAGTCTTGGACAAAGATCCATGATCAGGACGTACCAGTGATCATTCCACCAAATCCTCCACCAATGATCAAGACTTCTACTTGATCATTCAGAGGTGCCCTCGAGAATCCCTTTTCACAGTAAGGATCTTGGAGATAGTCCTTGGTCTTGACTGTCGAGATGTCAACGTATTGTTGGTTTCCATCCCTTCTCAACCTCTTGTCACGCTCCACCCGGTACTTGTTCAGGACTTCTTCTGGGTCAAAGTCGATTTCCATGTCCTGATCGTCCTTCTCGGATGCCTCCAACTTTGAAGCTGACTGCTGCTTTGAGTTTTCGTACATGATTGCGAGTGAGGTCAGCACATATACAGTACCAAAGACTCCAGCAGCCACAGCTACTCCCAGGTACGGAGAAGTACGCTTATTTCCTTCCATCTTGACGGTTCCTCCTGAGCTGATATGTTGCTGTTGCGTAGGAGGAAGTAGCACGGTGACACACAGTATTTATATATCGGAACAGTTCAATTGCCGTTTTGATGAAAAGCAAGCATTCAGATATGTCAATTTGCGTTTCAAATGGACTACTTTTCAAGCGAACACGTTCCGGCTGGCTCAAGGGCTAATACTTGAAGTCAGAATTCCAATTTTGACCACCTCATAAGTAATATAACAAGGCAAGACCGGGCACGTTTACATTTATTACTATTAATATGAAAAAGCGTTCGTGCTTCCCTACTACCTCTTCTTTGGGTGTTGTTTTGGTGTTGAACATTCAGACTTGCTCTTCTCACTGATCCAATTTTTCATCTTATTCATCCATCCAAAGTCCAGGTAAGGACTCATAAAGGACGTCATTCATCTTGTTGTGACCGTGAATATCAGCTATTGGACGTAATTTGGTTCCGTTTCATGGTGGATTGATTGAGATTCCGTCGATTGTCAATATGTTGTTGGATGTTTTAGATGTTGTGACAGTTACGGTGTTGAACATGGCCAAGAGAGGCAAATAAGATCATCTCTGATGATTTTCACTACAAATGAGGTTGAAACCTACTCCAAAAATGCAGAAACTAGGCATCATCATAGTCGCAACATTCGCATTTTCCGTCTTTTGACAAACATACACCCAACAACTACTACAACTGCTTTTCTCATTCATATCCATTCTAAACACGGATATTAATCAGGTTTCATTTTCAAATAGTTCAAGAAACTAGCACAAGATGGCTGATGAACACGAAGAAGTAGGAGAGGACGTCGTAGAAGTTGCTGCTGATGCACCAGCTGGCCCAATGAGCGTAGAAGGTAACAGATCGTGACCATTTTATACCTTTCGATTGAAAGAAGGCTAAACAGCTGGTTATAAAACGCAGATGCTCTACAAGAAGTATTAAAAAAGGCTCTAGTCCACGATGGTTTGGCCCGTGGTTTACGAGAATGTGTCAAGGCATTGGATCGGTAAGCTAGACTTGTTGAAAAATTGTCACATCTATGGGAAGAGTGGATTTGTTGGCAAGGTCTCGGAGGATGAGATTAAGACTATCTGTCAAAAATGTTTCAAGACGGGGCTGATGTTCATTGATGCGAAAACGTCTCACTGACGACACCTTGCCAGATGGATTGGTTTCCCAATTCAATCCATATCCCTACTTCCATCAAATCTTGTCAGAGAGTCGCTCAACATTCAGTATTATTTTACTTACACGACTCTCTCTTCTTCCAATTCATCAACCAAAATACAGACGACAAGCTCACTTGTGTGTCTTGATTGAAACCTGCACTGAAAAAGAATACGTCAAGCTTGTTGAAGCCTTGTGCAAGGAACACAACATAAATCTCATCAAGTACTCTGATGCCAAGAAATTGGGTGAATGGGTTGGCTTGTGCAAAATTGACAAGGAAGGCAATGCCAGAAAGGTCGTTGGTTGCTCATGTGTAGTTGTCAAGGTACAACGTTTTGTGAGACATGTTGATATTGGACCCATTCAACCAACACACTTGTTCTTTAGGACTTTGGTGAAGAATCAGAAGCCAAAAACATCTTGTTGGACTATGTCAGCAACAAATAAGTGAGTAATTAATATCCTTCAACGTTCTCTGTGATTGGTCCCGAACACCAAAACCAGTTTGCCGGCGAAAGATGATTAAAGGATCTCCCTCTTCCGATAACTTTCGAAAGAAAGTAACCTGATGGACACGATCCAACCGGAATCATTTTTTAGTCTGACGCCTCGCAAAAAAATTGAACTGTATTTTGGTGTCAAGGACGGCATTTAGTAGTTTCGTACTGCTCTTTGCCTAGTCACTGAAATGGTCAAATTTGTTTGCTAACTATTTCCTACCATTCATTTCCTCGACAGATGCTTGACCACATTGCATTATAAAACCACACGTAGTGCTGTACGTTTTTTGTGACAAATACATAAACACATCACCAACCAAGAAAAGCAGTGAGAGATAGGTAGTTTGAACAAAGTCAATATCTTAATTGTGCCTTCTTACAAAATCATATACGAAAAAATAACGTTTTATATACAGCAAAGTATTTGTGTGGGTTTCTTATGCAGCAATGTTCTTCTTTGCCTTCTTGGCAGCCTTCTTCTTTGAGGCTTTTGATTGTACCTTGTTCTTTGAAGCTGTCTTTCCCTTTGATGATGCAGCCTTTGCAGCTAATTTCTTTGCGACAGCTGGGGATTTTGAGGTCTTCTTCGATGGTTTTACAGGAGTCTTTACGGCGGCACCGGAAGAAGAGGATGCCTATATTAAGTAGGGGATCAGTGCATGTTGTGCGAATTTCCAGCGTCGGGGCACTCTTATAAGCATGTGAAGGCGAGTAATATTTACCTTTGCTTCTTCCAAGACCACGAATGAAGCGACCTTTGAGATTGGAAATAAAGATGTGAGCGGCTCTCTCACGTAGAAATGTCAATTGTCTCTGACAGCATCTTTGTGTCGGGGCAAGTCCATGACCAACGAAAGTATAAACAACAACAAAAGAATATAGATCAGACGAGTAACGATCTACCTTTGCATCGACTTTTGCGGGAGTTGCTCCCTTTGCCTTTGTAGATTTAGCAGTCTTTTTAGGTAGGATTGCCTTTGATTGCGATGGCTTTTTGGCAGTTGATGATGGAACTTCTTCAAAGAAGGCGGAGATGATTGCACCCACTGTAGCGTAAAATAGGACGATGCGTTAGACTCAGATGCATGGAATTAAAGGGGTAATTTGAAGACTATATCGTTGTGGACAGCCTCCCTCAAAAACCGCGTAGAAGTAAAATAAACGAGGATGGGCGACTGGACTCACTGGTTTAGGTTGGAATATATGGAGGAGAGGAATTTATCGGTACAAGATGGAGCGTGGTTGCTACTAGACTGGTCCTTGATGGGTAGGATGTGTTTGAATGGTTTTATCGAAACGGAAATCACGACCCCTAATAACTGTTGGCGCATAACAACAAGACCAATATCTTGAAACGTTGAGATTCATGTGTACAACTCCGTATTGCACATCACGTCACATACCGGCGTCACATTCCCTCGCTCAACTTCCTCTTCGTCCAGCTCGTGTTTTTTCAGTCAACAATATTCGTTATCATACAAAATCACCATAGCGTGCTCCAATGGAGGCCATGCAGAACTTGCAGGCAGCTATAGCCCATGTGGAATCCATCATTCAACCTTACGTCGACGATCCACTCGCCTTGGAGGCTTGCGTAAATGATATTCAGAATCCACTCGAACGAGCTCAGTTGTATGCCACTCTCGCCTATGCTATAAACACTCTCATCTACGGTATGTAGTATCTACTGTCATCTACTCTGTTGTATTATGTTGTATCTGCATTGTGTGGTGTGGTCTAGCCAACATTAAAGCCAACATCTGGTTTGGGAGTGCGTTTGCCAAACATCTCAGATCATAGTTTTCAAGCATCTCAGATCTCATCATGCTCAGAGATCTTGGAAGATGTACTCGAACAAGCTTCTCATCATGTCACTATTAGAAACTAACCACAACCACTCCAAACCACTAGTCATGTTGAAGGCTCAAGGACAAAATCCAACCACGCATCCCGTCATGCAGGAACTGGACCGTGTCAAGGCCTGCTTCAAATCCATCAAGGACGCTGAATCATCTGAACAAGGTAGTGGGATCATGCAATGTGAACTCCATCAACGACAACTCACCCACTCGCAACACACTCACACGTCCCTCTCGTCACCGTCCAGCCACAATGCGCATAGACAAGGCTGCTGCTGCTCGATTCATAAGTGCTGGCTTGAACAAGACGAAAAAGCAGGGCGCTCCTGATACTACTCGACAAGATGATGATGACGACGGTGATGCTGCAGCACAACAATTCTTGGACGAGACTCTGAAAGATGCTCTACAAGAAGAAGCTACCGACTCATCTGATATGGATATGAGTGACTCGGATAAAGAAGAAGCTACCACCAAACAACATTTGAATTCTGCTTCCAAAAAGAGGAAGAAGAATCATGGTCTGGAGGAATCCAATAAGAAGGTCGTCAAGGGCAACAATAAGTAGTAGCCACAGGTGGTTTCCACACTTCTAAGTAACACAATCATTCGCATCTCATAAGTAGAAAATCTTGTCTTTGGAAAAAACCAACACTTGTATTAAAGAACATAAAACACTTTCGACACATTTCAACACATCATCGTCGACTTCTCGCTCAGCGGCCGTTGTGTTAGAATACCTACACCCTTGCGCCCCTAGACAACATCACCAACGTTCTTTTAAAGCAAGCAGATATATTTTCAAAGCAGTTTTATAGCGTTTTCTTATGAAAGGACATTTCCATGCAAACATTCTCATGACTCCTCATCCCCCGTGTAATATACTTTCTCAAACACACCTATTATCTGACTTTCGGAAAACTAAAATGACATTCACACTACTCAACAACCTTCGCTTCCTCTCTACTATTACAATGGTTTTATTCCCAACGGCCCCCATCTAAGTTTGGAAAGAGTGGCGACATGGCGGCTGGAGTTCCCATATTGAGTGGCGACGGGGCTCCATCTGGCATTCCTCCTGGTGTATTCGGTCCTTTTGGCATACCTGGATGTTGTTGTGATGGATGACCGGGATGCTGTGATGGATGCTGCATGTTAGGCGACATATTGGGCGGCATATTCGCATGTGGGAGTGGCAATTGTCGATTGTTTGGATATGGCGGTGGCATTGAGTGTTGACTATATGGTCCCGGTGGTCCTGGTGGATACTCTTGACCTGAGTATACTTGGGGTGGGCCTCCATACATTTGCATTGGCCGAGCTCCATATCCAGGACCTTGTGCTGGTGGACCTTGCATTTGCTGACTATATGGTGAATGTGGTTGTTGTGGTGACCCTTGAGAAGGACCAGGACCTGGCGGACGTTGAGAATATGGGCCTCCCTGAGGAGGACGATTTCCCCATCCACCAGGATGCTGTTGACCGTCTGCAAATAATTCATAATCTAAAATAGGTACATCACCTTCACCATCACGGGTATGTCCTTGCATCATCGGTGGAGCTGAACCAGAAGGCCCACCTACTATGGGACCTGCACCATTACTGTTGGGACTCATTACGTCGGCCATTGATGTTGATGGTCCGTCGGGACGACCTTCCATGGCATCTTCAGACATCGAGGCATCCATCTTCTCTTTCAGCATTAGCCATGACATTCCCTGTCCTACTGGTGCTCGTGCTGATTCAATAAGATTCTTCAAGACTGCATGAAGTCGACCAGCCATAAACCAATACTTTGCGATGCCTTGTAGTGCTCCTACGTGATTTTCTACATTGCGCTGGGCTGTTTGTACTACAGCTTGGTCGCTTGCTACCTGGGCAGCCATTACGTGAATCAAACCAGATTGGAAGACACAAAAGCCGACAAATGGGGAGAAATAGTGGAAGCATGGGTTGGTCAAGGCGACTTTACCGATTATCTGTGATATTTCCTGTGCTGAAGTGTGACATAGCATAAATGATGGCGAGAATTGTACAGTTGGTGGGCAGTCTCTCAATCCTGCCATCATCTTTGGACGATGAAGAAGGATGACACAAGTATGATAAAATATGTGTAGATAAGCCGTGTGCCAGGATGGTGCTGATGTTGAAGCCATATCCCATACGAATTCGTCGCCGATTTGCCTCATCCAGTGTGGTAGTGAAGCAAACCAGTCTCGCAAGGAAGCATCCAATATAGATAATTGATAGTCTGCATCAGGATTGGATGTAGCATTGGGATTGGTTCGCTGATGGTTTTTAAATTGATTCGAGTACCTAGAATAAATTCAATATGAATTTGGTGTTCCAAAACTTGACTAGGTTTTGCTAGATGATAATGCTTACTCTACGATTTTACCAAAGATCTTTGTAAGAAGAATAAAGTAGCCCATAGGGTTTTGCAGAGGAATTCCAGGAGTAAATGTGTTGGTACTAGTCAATACAGCAATCTGGAAGCTGTCACTTGGACCAACAGCTCCAGCTGGTTCATCTTCAGCATTTTGAACCGAGTCCCAACTACTTTCGTTCGAGGGGAGATACACTTTACAATCCTAATTTGAAAAAGAGATTAGAGAACCGTGAGATTTCGTAGGTTAAAATCAGAGAGCACGTGATTTCGATATACCTTCTCATTGATAATCATGGAACGATCTGCAGCGGCACCAGCATAACGATCTAATACAAAACACCCCCACCACAAACGTCTTCGGGTTTCTTTTTCCAACCACGAAAGTCGACCTGATGCAGCATAAGCTTCTTCAAACTCGGGTTCGACGTTGAGTTTCAGTTCTTGTGCCATTCGAATAGCCATACCAGAGTACATCCACGCAGCAGATCCTATGTAATAAAAATGATTAGAAGATAACTCGTGAAATCATGGTATAAGATTTGGAGTTTTTGATTGACAAGCCATTTCATGATAGTACAGTATACAATTTTACCTCGTCCGGATCCAGCAGCATACATGGCTAGAGCCAACAGCGCTGATACTGTAGTAGCTGAAGGCACATCCATATAATGATCAACCAATTCTCGGGCTCGTACGTAAAAGACATCACCAGCAGAGAATAGAGCAGCAGGGTTGGTACGGACTGTAGGGTGTGTGGAGTATCGAGCAGCCAGAGCATACATGGCATTCAATAAGAGTGGCGATTCGTTGGCATAGGCCCTCACGAAGGTGTGTTTGTGGACGACTGGCAATACTGGATATATATAATGGAAGAAGAGATCGACCAGCTCGGTTGCTGCTTCCTGGGGAAGAGGTGGAGCCTGTGATGGGAAATTTATAAATTAAAATCTGATTCGGAGAGTTGGGTTCAAAAAGAAACGGGGGTCTATAGTCATAAAGCTCTACCTGTGCTGCTGCGTTTGCAGGATAAGTGTTGAAGAATCCTTGTTGACTTGGACCGCCACCACTTGCACTTCCACGCATCTCGTCATCTAGAGCGGAACCTCCATCTGAATCGCCGTCATTGTCACTACTGCTTCCAGACCCTCCAGATGGAGACTTTGCATCGGGGCGTTTGCCCTTCTTTCGTCGTTTGCCATCCGTATCACCCATTCCTTCCATCTTCATTCCAGATTGGAGGGAGCCACCAACGGCAGGATCGTTCTGAAGGGGTTTCAACAAGGCTTCCATTTCCTTCAAGCGATTCTCTAGAGATTCTATATAACCTGCTCTTGGACCACGTTTCTTTGCACCCTGGTAGGTAGAAAGAGTATGGTTGGCAAAGAGTATGGTTGGCACACATTAAACGAATCGTTGGGCTTGCAGTAACTACTCATCAGACAATGGACGATGCTCATGACTAGAACTTACTCGTGAATAAGTACAGACCAATGAGCTCCTGGCACAGTTTGAGCAAACAGGTTTGGCTCCATCACATTTCACTTTCTAAAAGATGAAAGAATATGTGTTGATGTCATTTCTTACCAAATATGACGAAGACATGGTCGTTTATTTTAACGATGGCAGGGATCGGCAGGGGACGGCAAAAGGTGGACAGGAAATACAAGGTGGAACGATGCAGCGTTTAAGAATCATCCGATGTGTATCTTTCCGTGCCGGGGCCTTTGTAGTCTCACCTTCTTATTGCAGGCATCGCACTATGTTGCCATATTAGTTGGTTAGCTACTTTATACGGTGGTCACATTAAAATATTGGACAGTCGTTAGCCGTCTGTTCTTCATGTTAAAGTACAGAAGAAGGACATGGCCATGACAAGCGGTTCACAAGTGGGCATCAAATGCTGGTCTTCTTTTGTTCAGAGTACTAGTACTTTGGTGGCCTTTGGTGATGTATTTTTTGATGTGATTTGAGCAAAGATGTTTTTGCCAAACTTACAGCCTGAGTAATGCGCTTCCTCTTAACAGCCTGTTCCTCTTGTTGACCGCCAGATGAGTCTGGCGACCCTTCATCCTCCATTGTTGCAAACTGTTTTCTGTATCTTTTGTTTGAGTCTTTTGTTTTGAACAAGTCGATGGATTAGTAACGGTGCGCTGGACGAAACACAGGAGAGGCCAGGAGACAAAACAATCAACTATTACGCGCTCATGCCCTTCTCTTTAAGTTAGTTACAATTTAAATCTCTGTGCGAGCGAAGAACACCAGTTACGAGGTTACACTATTTCCTCATGAGAGACTTTTTCCATGCCTCTATATCTTCTCCATCACTCATTTCATATGTATGTTCAGCCTGAGGGAAAGTCCGTGCCTTCACTTCCGTCTTATACCTCGACAAGGCGTCATTAATCAGCGGAGCCAGTGATGCGTAAGGCTTGCAAAACCTAATAACGTATTATTTGTCAGACAATGTGTCCTTACATGCTCACTACCGGTGATTCTGTCTTACTTTGGCATAAATTTGTCATAAACACCGAGCATGTCCAATTGCACGAGCACTTGTCCAGATGTTCCTGATCCAGCTCCAATCCCAATTGTGGGTATGTCTAGCTGCTCTGTAATGACAGAGGCTACGGGTGCAGGTACTGCCTCCAGCACAATTGCAAAACAACCAGCGTCTTGAAGCGAGAGTGCATCCTTTAGCAGTTCCTTTGCCTGTGTAAAACAAGGGATTGGTCAGAGTGGCATATACGGAATGAATGAGCCACCTTCTCCATCTTACGCGTGCTATAGTCTTTCCTTGTACACGATAACCACCCAAACTGGCAGTTCGTTGTGGAGTCAGTCCAATATGTCCTAATACAGGGATACCCACTCGAGTTATGCTCGCGACAGTATCAGCCATTTCGACACCACCTTCTAGCTTGATAGCTTCCATACGACCTTCTCTCATAAATCTAATAGCATTCTGTAAGGCGTGCTGTGTCGATATTTCGTATGAACCAAAGGGCATATCTCCAATTAAAAAGGCAGACTTGACACCACGCGCTACAGCACGACAGTGATGAATCATTTCGTCTACTGTGATTTCATTTGTTGAAGAGTAACCTAGGGCCACCATTGCGAGTGAGTCTCCCACCAGACACATTTCAATGCCCGCTTGATCTAGGGCGTGTCCAGACGGATAATCATAGGCAGTCATGACAGATATGGGTTCATTTTTCTTGTATAATTTACGTAGTGTCGTGATGTTGACCTTCTTCCTCACTGTGTTAAAAGAAATAAGTGTTATGATTTGATCACGGAGACAATGTGATGTTGGCATCTCGCAACAACGTACCTTCAGATGGCTTTTCGTTTACAGGCCGCGAACTATGGCGTTTCGATGAGTATAATGGGGATATTTGGGCGCAGGGAACCACAGAGATCAACGAAGACGGTAACAAAGACGGCTGTTGTATCTTTGACGTGTTGATCACTACCGGCGCTGAAGGGAGAAGTGTAGACCTCGAGAACTGATATAGCTTCATCAATTGCCTGCCTCGCAAATGCTCCATAGTCCCCATTCCTGTTTAAACCCGGCTGATTAGGAATTTCTGGTGAGTGACGTTGACGTGAGGTATGAAGACCGCTGCAAGTGAGTTACGGACAATTGTTTGTATTTTCAAAATCTAGATTTTTTCACACTTTCTTTTACGTTTAAATGTGCAGGAAGACGAGTCTTGCCAGGTGTCTGGCGTCTCATCGTCTCGTAAAATCTCCTTCGAATCACGTTTTTTCACGATCCAACAAAATCAGCCATAAAGGACGATATGGAGTCCAATAGCAATTATTTATTATCAGAAAGATTTAAGCGTGCAGCCTTACGTAAATCCGAGAGAAAGGTACCATCCACAGTTGAGCCAACAGCACCAAGATCCCAACCAATAATTGAACCACCAAGTGAATCACCAGCAAAGGCCGCAGAAGTCGAGCCACCAGCATTGGAAGCACGATACGAGCCCTTTCAGTCTGCAACCCCCACGTTTTCCAAGACCAAGCTTACGAAAAAACAATGGGACTCCCTTACTCAAGTTCAACGAGCAAAATACCTCGCTTATGAGAAGCCCTCGACTAGGATATTGACGAATATAGCCCATAGTGAGATGCGTGTGGATGAACTATTTAAGGAAGACAAGAAGAAGATGAGTGAGCAAGCCCAAGAATTCAAGAGTCGAACTGCAAGGGCCAACGACCAGGGAGATGGAGCACAGATGGCGCAAATGCGAATGGTTGCCAAGGCTAGGGAAGAGCGAGAATCCAGGGTAGGCATTGCGTTGGTGCAGTTGGTGTGTCGTTGTCTGACAAGCATGGTATTTGACATAGAATGCCGAACTGCAGCAATTGATTGAAGGCCAGCGGTCCAGCTTTGATGCCATTCGACTGAAGGAATATCTGATATTAACGAAACCCAACACCTCATGCCAAGTCCCCCTTAGCGAGAAAGAGAGACGCAGAGTGGAGATTCTCCTATCGTCATAGTAATAACGAATAAATAAAGCAATAAACACGTCTCCAGTTCACCAAAACAACAGTCCGCCTTCGTGTGTCATCGTGTTTTGCCATTTTGCCATTTGAAATCAAAAAACCACACAAAGCTCAACGACAGAGACAAAGAGAGAACGGGAACATACCACTAAACGATGGGATTGCTATCATTGGGAACCCCTCTCCCGTGGCAGGAAGCCAAGTTGCATGCTGAGCATGTTCGTCAACATGGGATTGAGCAGGTCAAATAAAATTGCGTATTTTGCAAACATACCACTTTTACGTTGCAGCTAACTCTTGTTTTATTTTATTCAGTTGCTCAACATCTGGCATCGACTAAAGACAAGGAGACGGGATCACTTGCTATGGGGCGATGAGGTTCACCACCCTTTCTCGCATTCCAACAAAATGAACTATGACCAACACAACATTCAAACCACCAGGTGGAATATCTCGTTATATCCCTAAACAACAATGATAAGTCCGCCCACGTTTCGCTGAATGGCTACGACGGACTCCTCAAATTGCAACACCTCGAAGAAACTGCTATACATGCAAGGTACTCACTCGAGAGCTTGAACCTATCAAATGCATCGCACCCTCGTTGGTCACTTACTGTCACTCTATCACCAGGCAACCATTTGAAAGCTCTTGGAAACCAGAGTACGGCAAATACATGCTAGAAGGTAGATTTCGAACTCTGTCAATCTCCACAAGACGTGGCATGCCGTGGCATGCTGAGTAATTAAGGACCTCAACCATTCTTATTCGTCACTAGGCACTCCAGGGCAACCATTTGGACCAACTCTAGCTGTCTTGCTCGGAGTAGAGGAGAATATGCGTCAAAGGTAAAACATGTTGCAATATGGTGCAACGTGTCATGTCAAGATATATGGGCCCAAAGTGATACGAACATGATGCCAACATATCTCTTCTGTGACTCAATCTAGGCGTATTCTGGCGCAATCTGTGCAAGCTCCAAACGATGTAGTATTGACGCTGACAAACTTTCCGCGTTTGGGTTGTGTTGACTTCACATCACCATCAGCAAACCCCACACCATTCGACGGTAGAGCTAGCAGAAGTCTCTTCATTCCTGACGATGCCATCAATCCACATCCCAGATTTAGCACCCTGACCGCCAACATACGTGAACGAAGAGAATCTAAAGTGGCCATGAACGTACCTATATATGTCGATTCCAAAACCCCTCGACCCTTCTTAGAACCGCTACCGCCTTCACTGACATCACTCTCTCGAGAACAGTTGGCTCAAGTAGCCCAGTATTCCTGCTCAGAATGTCATTCTAGTGCAACAGGTGCTCGAGACCATGTATTTTCACTCGACCCATCAAAACCGCTACCACCTCTACCATCTATAATAACTGATGCTAAACCAGACCACGTGTATCTAGATGCGATGTGCTTTGGTATGGGATGTTGTTGTCTACAAATAACCTTCCAAGCTTGCTCAGTCGAAGAAGCTAGACGGCTGTATGATCAACTGGCCGTCATTAGTCCAATCATGTTGGCAATCACCGCTGCGTGTCCCATGTTTAGAGGCTACTTGACTGATGTGGACTGTAGATGGAATATTATCGCTGGATCAGTGGATGATCGTACAAAGGAGGAACGAGGAACGGAACCTCTTGCTCAAAGCAAGTATAGAATCCCGAAATCTCGGTACGACTCTATAGACTCGTACCTGTCACCAGGACCTGATTACTCGGGTGGTTGCTCGTCAATTGAACTAGACGACGGTGTAAATGGTGTCCGAGGGAACTTCTTCCAGCCAAAGTATAATGATATTCCTTTGGTGTTTGACCAGGACATCAGGATGAGACTAGTAGAAGGTGGCATGGATGATCTGCTGGCTCAACATTTTGCCCACTTGTTTATTCGAGATCCATTAGTAATATTTAAGGAGTTGCTGGATCAGGATGATGAAAAGAGTTCAGATCATTTTGAGGTATGTTGTCTATTCAAAGATGCGGGCTTTTTTAGCCCGGGCCGTTTTCATCCACTATGAACCCATCCGAGTGACTAATGCCGTTCTCGTTTTTTGGATGTAGAACATACAATCAACTAATTGGCAAACCATGAGATTCAAGCCGCCACCGGTGGGTCAAAACATTGGCTGGAGGGTAGAATTCCGATCCATGGAGGTGCAGCTGACAGACTATGAGAATGCTGCTTATGCTATATTTGTCGTGCTGCTTACTAGAGCTATTTTAAGCTTTGATTTGAACTTTTACATTCCACTCAGTAAAGTGGATGATAATTTACAACGAGCTCAACAACGAGATGCTGCTAGGCAGGGCAAGTTTTGGTTTAGAAGGAATGTTTTTGGTATGTCGGCCATGATTTATATGATTCTTGTGGTTTTCCAGTCCAATTTTTTTGAACGTCGATTTCTGCTGCAATACCTGGATGTAACTCTCGTCTCCATTTCTTAGGCAACCCGGAAATAACTTTACCGATTGTCAATGGAAGCAGTATACCACAAGCAAATGGAAGTCACGTTGATGACTCTTTTGAAGAAATGACGTTACAAGAAATCTTTAATGGCAAGGTTGGTATTCTGTTTTGCATTTTTCAGAGAACACCTCGAACAACAAAGTTGTCGCCTTAGTCGAGGCAGTTAAATTTCTATAAAACTCACTCCCGCTCACCCGAATTAACCATTTTCTCTCTTTTTTAAGCCATCAGCTGGATTTCCTGGTCTAATCCCATTAGTGGAAGCTTATTTGGCCTCTGCCAACTTGGACTTTGCGACGTTGAGCGGCTTAAACAAATACGTGGAGCTAGTGAAAGCCAAGTCGACTGGTCAATTACCAACGACGGCTACATGGATGCGGCAATTTGTCATGACACATCCAAAATACCAACATGATTCGGTTGTCAGTGATGAGATCTGTTACGATTTATGCAAGAGGGCAGAGGAGTTTGCTAAGGGGGATGGGAGAGTGTCTGGTCTAAATATATAGAAAGCACAGTTCATTTCTTTTCACAACAGCTTAATAGATTACCTTTGAATACCCCATTACTTGAAGCAGCATATCGTCATCTCGTTTTTTATTTTGCTGGAGCCTTAGTGGACATTTCATCAAGACGTCTTAAACGGCATATACACACTACTCGCGAGAATTGAGACACCACGAATTTCTAGGGACTAAAAAATACGAGTCTATTTTGCGTGATATCCTAACTATAATGTACAAACACGAAAACATTTATTGAGCGCGAGGGATAAAAGAGAATGCAAGCAAGACAGCAACAACCAAAACCAATATCGTCAAGAACATGTCTGCCCATGAGGACGATGTCTTGGAAACAGATTTGGAAGCATAAGCCAAGTCATGACGCTGAAGCCATTGTGTAGCCTAGTGGTCCATCAAATTTTCAAACAGTTAGAAGACGCCACAATACCGAAGCGCAAAAAAGCTACTTTGAGTCTACAATCAAGTTTGCGTTTTCTCACCTTGGACAGAGCTTGTCCAACACGTAGGAATGACTTGTCGTAAGGATTGCTTCCGACACGGATATCATTCGCGAGAGTGAGATCTTTGATGTAGCCTCGGTAAATATCCTTGACAGAGTCGAATGAGTTACAGCCCAAAATCAACTTGACAGCCAGACCACGACGAATCTTTAATCCCGCTCTTTGGAATATTACGGCGTTGTTGAAGAAGAGAGCAATAGAAGCAATGGCCATCACCTGCGAAAAGTAAATATGGCGTGATTTTTTTTTTCGATCATCAGATATTGGGCTTAAACAGGAGTAACCGAGACAATGCAATGCCAAATTTTAACAAACATGGCATGGGCACATTCAACTCAAACTGTGGATTGACGATACGAAACAACCAGAACGCCACGTACCTGGGGAATGGCAGCAAATTGAAAAACAGTTTGATTTTGTAGCAGAGACAGATATTCTAAGCAGTCAGGCACCAGATCCAGAGCATCAGCACACAAGTGGTTTAAACAAGCCAATCCTCGATCCAGATTTTCAGGACGAGTGAATTCACCCAAGTCACCACCAGCAGGGACGTAATCCTTCCAGATTTCCTGTGGCCAAAACCATCTTCCTTCATCCCAATCTTCTTTAAAGTCCTTCATAATGTTTACTTTTTGTAAGAAGAGTCCCATGTGGTTTGCCAAGACGGTTTGGTTTGCCAATGAAGGAGACTCGAGTCCAGAAGCAGCAAAGAGGCCCGTCAAGCCGAGTCCAACCAGACCGGCCACGTAATGAGTGTATAGATTATAATCGTCTAGAGTGATTACTTTCTTGTCGGATCTGAATTCAGCCATACCAGCAGCCATGCGTTTTGCGATATCAGCAATGATTGTTTGGTACCTAGAATTGAGAGTAGAGAGGTTAATTTCATGAACGTATTTGCAGGATTGTTTTCTTTTCGTCTTGTTCGTGCTTCAACACGAGATTGTATCATTTGACGTTGACAGCTGTTCAAACATTTCTAAAAGTTTGCAACCGTCATGCCGGATTGCAAACGTAAATCAATGACAACTTACTCCTCCTTCATGTTGAGGAACTCTTCAATGACAATATCGAATTTAGCACACAATTCTCTATCCTTTTCGTCTGGACCATTTTCGGTAAACTTCCAGCCTCGTTGATATAGACTTTTGTGGAAGTTGGCAAGGACGTCCAGTTTCTTTTCCAGAGGGATGGTCATGTCATCTTCGATAGTATCGAGGCCTCGAAGCACGAGGTAGAAGATACAAACAGGGTGTCTGTGTGTTGGGAGAGTGTGAGTTTGGAAACAGAGATTGAATGAATGACAGAGCATTAATTGCGAATAACGGCATGCATCATTGATCAAATGCACAAAATAACATGTTCTCCCTCCGGCAAACAAACTTGATCCACAAAGTTAAAATTTAAAAATGTCAATTACCTGAGCTCCGAGTCCAGTTCTTGAATGACTCTAGCAAAAGAGCGACTAGTCTTGTTCAAGAGGTAGTAGCACATGTCTCTTGTATGCCTTGGAGAGCCTTCCTTTGCGACAGTTTTCAATGTCTTGTGCATGGTGTCTGGATCGGTGGCAGCTAGCCCGTATTTGACAAGAGCATAGCATTCCGAGAATTGTAGAGCAGATAGCGAGCTGATTAAGGCTTCTGTGGCCATGATCCTTCCTTCCTCTTGGTCAATAAGTGAGTGCTGATGAGGTTGTGAGTTTGCGAAGCTGGGCTGCAATCATTGGTCGAGAAAGTGGAGTGAACTCTCCTTGGATCTCTCTTTGATAAGAGTTGAACGTGGAAAAGGAGAGACAACTAGCGTGGCATTCGCAATTTCACGCGTAATTAAGGGTCGTTATGTCTTATTAGTTCTTTTTTATTGGCATCAGTAATATTTGTATGAACGAAAGTATTTGTTATTGCCCCACGACTTGAACAGTCCGCGTCATCTTAAATAAAAAAAGTCTCGGGATTACTTGTTGCCCGACAATGGGTTGTGTGTGCGCATGGATGCATTGTTGGATCCAGTTGAATCTTGAGATAATGAGAAGCCAGTCAAATCCTAAAACAGGCAAGATGTTGATTAGTGTGATGACCTGGCAACAATACCAGCACTTGACTAGCAGTTGGCTGGACATCTCAAGCGACATCAAAGATCAAAATAAGGGTCGGTTGACGCGATGTGATGACCTGGCAACAAGACCAGCATTTGGGCTGGTCATCTCCAGCAACGATAGTGAAATCTGTTTCAGATGGAATGACTTACAGCGACAGCTTGAGCTTGAGCAGCAGAGATTGGAGGAGACTAGATAAAGGGCGGAGGTTGATACCGGATAACAACACATGGAAGCGGATCAAGTGCAATACGGTACCTTGGGGACAGTCTTTGGAGAGACGTTTCCAGAGACGGGGTTGTGAGTTCTGCATGATATGGTGAGAGGAGTGTTAAGACGATGTGTCGGTAGTGAGCAAGATAAAACGATAAGGTTGAATTGCGAGGACAAAGAGGAGTGAGGAAGGTAGAGGACAATGTGAATACCTCATAGAAGCCATTGGGCCGGTGGTGCCAGTGGTTGAGCCGCCTTCGTTTGAGCCAATGATTCCAATGTTGAATGCTATCATTCGAAATGGGTGGTTTAAGCAGATGATAAAGAATCGAGGAGAGCAGCGGAAGTCATAGGGAGCGGCCAGAAACAAGTATAGATACCTTGAGCACCGAGCTTTGGAGATGGAGCTAATAGGGAGAGGTGTGTTGGTCAATGGTTGGGCTACCTTCACAAGATTTGTGAATAGTTACCTGGAGCTTTGGCAGCATAGACTCGAGGGGAAGCAGCTACGGACTTGTTTCCTGACATGATTGTGTATATGTGGTTGCTTTGGAGCTTATCGAGTTGGTTGTATTGGTTGATGTGTGTTGAAACTGTAATGGGAAAACAAGTAAGTCATCAGTCCAAAAAGAAGTTTTTTTTTTCGACAAGCATGTGCTAGTATTTAAGAAGACGTCAGCTGCGAATCGCTGCGGATGAAATGTGAATTGGCATATGACAGCTTCCATTTGATCCGCGAGATACCACGCAATTGCTTTGTGTCTCCGTCGTCTAGTGCACTGCCTCGAGGTCACCTTCTTATTCACCAATATCCAGCCCATCTGACAAGTACCTCCCTATTATTTTGCAATCCAATTCAAATGATCAAATGATTCAAATGTCTCATCGCAATCAATATAGCAACTAAGAATACTGGGTGACCGTGACGTGATCTACTCGTGCCCAAGGCCATGTGAGAATCTTGGCAACACATTCTGTAGATGTCTGATTTCTTCGATAAATGCTTTGTGCACGTATAGAATATATATTGCTATTAATTACATGCATTCACGCCGCCTGATTGTCGTTGTAATGCGTTTTTTTAGAATCAGAAGCTTCAACTGTTGGGGTGTGGCTTATACACATTCCCAGTTTTCCAAACACCCAAAAATAACGAGGAAAGACATGGCACCAAAGGCAAAAGGTATGTTCATCCTCGACATGACGCTATAGTACCCTCACTGTATTGCAATCCATCGGTCTCTCCCTTGCTCAACGACCTTGCGAACGAATTCTGCTTTTTTCAACCAAAACACACATTTGCCATTTCTTGCTCATCCATCCCTACCCATTTGCTCCTATTTTAGAAGTCGCAAAGACTCCTGCTACCAAGCAGGCTACTGCTGCCAAAAAGGCCGCTCTGAAGGGCACCGTGAAAAAGGTCCACAAAGTCAGAACTGGAACCCATTTCTATCGTCCAAAAACACTGCGTCTGGCAAGATCCCCCAAATACCCCAGACGCTCCGTACCAAGGTCTACCACTCTAGACCACTACCAAGTATTACGTTATCCTCTCAACACAGAATCTGCAATGAAAAAGATTGAAGGAAACAACACTCTGGTCTTTATCTGTGACGTCCGTGCAAACAAGCGTCAAATCAAGGCTGCTGTCAAGCGGATGTATGAGGTCGATGCAAAGAAAATAAACACTTTGATCAGGTAATTACTGGAAGAAGACATCATTTGTATAAGAAGACGCTGGTGTTGGGGTTTGGAAGTGGTAGCATTAGAAGTCGTGGTGTCGCATTGAATATGACGATGAAATAGCTGCAGCATCTCTATCCGCTGTACACGTGTGGGCGGATTTATCGCATCCACATTCTACCCTACATTCGAAACAAACCCAACGGAAATATTGAAGCTGACTCAAATTCACTCGCCATCTCATAGACCTGATGGCTCAAAGAAGGCCTACGTCATACTCTCTCCTGATGTGGATGCTCTCGATGTTGCAAACAAGATTGGCTTCATTTAAACAGTAACAATGGTAGGGGCCACATGTATTACCAATTGCTTTCAAACAATTCTGATTCAAGTGTCTTCGCTCATCTAGAATTTTGCTCTGTTTATTGAATGCACTGTAAATCATAAAAATCTCGCTTGCCAATACAACCACCATAAAACATATCTCAGGCTTTAAAATGTGCATCATTGCATGATCGACGTTTTCCGTCTTGACTACTTGTTGTCCCGTTTTGAACAGATGTATTCTCGGATTCATCTCTTACCCTTGATGCTATTTCTTCAACTTTTTTGATACAAGAATACAGATATTTGGTGCTCAAGCTTCAAAGGAGGTCTTGGAGTTATGTCGAATGTCATGAAGGTTGTCCGTTCCGACATATGCTCTAGACTCGACCTTAAACGCACCAAATACAACTTTCTACGTACAACACATAAAGTTGATTTGAAGCATAAAATTACTATATACCAATACAGGTTTTTACATGAATGTCCTAATTCTTCTCACTATCGGCGCTCTGCAAACAGGGCATATCTCACAGTTTTTGGAACATGAATCGCATAGGAAAAAGTGTCTAAATGATAGTGCCTGTTAGTAATTCATAAAGGTAAACGAGCTTTCCTTGCTTCGAACATCGTTGAAAACTGCCAGTGCACCACCAGCAAACAACTTACCCGCAGTCGAGTAAGACAACTTCCCGTCGATTCTCAAGACACACGACACAGAGCTCACTTTCAGGTATCGGGTTTGCCTGTGATTCATTTTTGCTACGACCAGATCTTAGCTTTTTAAGCAATCTGCTTATTTCCCAATGCTTGTTGAGCTCGAAAAGCCGCCTGCCACAGATAAAGAGTAGGCAGCCAATAGCACTCCAAAACACATATTTCGAGACAGTAGCAGAAAACATTCTACTCGACAAGATTTCAGAGTAGGTTTTTCGTGATATGACGTAGGGCAAGTGGGTTGGTTTGATTAGTTGGATGGCTCCTTTGTTGTCCATAGCCACCTGTCCGATAACTGTTATATGTAAATCTGGCAGCAGAGCTTTTTCGACAGTTTCCATTCCAATCTATAAGGGAGAAATTAAATGCAGTTAGAGCGTCCGGTTGTAGCAAAATCAAGGAACAATAAGAACGTCAAGGAACTTGCCTGCCGTTCGGCTTGTACGATATCGACAATGCCTTGTGCAAGCGTCCTCGCAGAGTCCGCCGTAGGAGCAAACGAGACAGAGAGAGTGTCCAAGTCAATTTCAGCGCCAGAATTCACGACTGGCACCGTAGCCAAAAGCCTGTGGCTGGGTAGCGAATAGATTCCAAAAGGAATGGATCTAAAGTTTTTGGTCACGACCTGATGTATGGTATCAGCGTTCAACCACTGCAAGATCAACTTGGACAACACCAAACCACAATTTGGTTGTCAGCGTTCAAACACTGCAAGAACAACTTGGACAACGCCAAACCCAAATTCAGTAATTCTAACCTCAGTGTGGCGCATCCAATCCTTCCAAAACTGTGAGAACCTGACATAGTGCTGGATCAGAATTGTCTAGAAAATGTCCAGGTAAGCTTCAAATGTCTGTAAACTGATGAGCAAGTTGCCACATGTTTGAAATGTTGCGAAATGCTGCTGCATTTGAAGCAAATGAAGCACCTCGTAGAGAATAGCTTTCACGTCCTTGGAGCATAAAATTAGTTGACTAGCGTCGAGTGGCCTCCCAAGACCCTCTGCCACAGCATATGTTCCAGAATTCAAATCCGCTGTTTGCTCAACAAGCTTTTCAGCACCAGCGAGAGCTTGAGCCTCTGCATTGAAGGACGCATATATCACTCCCGTTAAGAGAACTGAGCTGACTCCAACAATTAGGTCCCAATAAAATTCGACCATCAATCGGATACAGAAATTGTTTTGTTAAAAGATACAACCAAATCACTATTTACAAGCTAGATACAATTTTACTGCTCTGCAGCAGCCGCTGTTGACGGCTTCTTTGCCTTCATAATTGGTACTTTTGGCTGAACGTGATTTAATTTCATAGGCGATGATTTGGCAGACACGGTTTTGGTTGGTGACGCATTAGACTGTAGCGATACATTCGAGTCACTAACAGAGACCGAAGCTAGACTCGTTGCAGAGTTCTTGACCTACGAGATCGCGATATGTGAGGACACGACGAGATAATGGATCAAAACACGTGTTTCCGTCACTTACCTCAGATGTTCGGGTGATGCTAGATCTCTTGCTTCCAGATAATAAGGCAGCATTGTCAGCAGAAAGCATTCTTACTTTTTCGCTGAGTTGTTTAATCTGCGATTCGCTCTTTGACGAAACCGATTGCAAATTAGATTGCGATGTAGAGTATGACGATGTCAATTCCTTGAATTTGGCTGTGTGAAAAGAACGTCAGTCATAAGAACGAGTCAGCGTAATCCCATATGGGCTACAGCGTGTATGAGCAGTTACATTCTACACCGTGGAGCTTTGCAGTTAAAGTGGCCTGTTCATTGAGCAATTGTTGATTTTCTAGGGAACCGACGTGGTTGGATTAGTTATATAATGCAGTGGTTGAACCGATATGGTCCAACGACGCCCTCAACCCACTCACTATTTTGAAGGGCCCGTCGTTCAGCTTCAGCCCTGCTGCTTAGAGTAGCAATCTCGGCCTTGTATGAAGCTTCACGAGCGATTGCTTGCGATAGCTTTTCCTCTGCAATTGAGGTCTTTGAGCCGAGATTACCATTTTCAATGAGGAGAGTTCTAACTTTTTCCTCTCGATTTCGAACCTCGGCTTCGAGTTTAGATGTAAGAGAAGTGTTTTCTGCCTTGAGAGTGACTTCTCGTTCCTTGAAATCCAAGGTTGTGGTCAAAATTACAACAATTGTCTGCAACCTGTAACTTTATACCAATGCTCTGGCGTGCTCGTTTGCAGCATTATCAGCCCTCTGCAAATTCTTTGAGTTTTCGATAGTCAGGGCCCTATATTTCTCGACTTCCTTTCGAAGAGTGGCCTCGAGATTAGCAATTGTTCTATCTTTCTGCTCCAAGTTCCTGTCCAAATCAATCTTTTGTTGAGTGAGATCTTTGACCTATAAATAAGGAATGAATGTCAGTAATGGGTGCAGATATTTAGGTGTAGAAGGAAATTAAGACGGCAGCAGATCTTTGAAGTAGTTCGGTATGGGGATTGCAACTTGCATGTTTGATGCAGATGTTTCATTCAGGCTTGTTGATGTTTGATGCAGATGAAGTTGAGATAGATCTGCGGTTGCAATTCATTTTTAAAGTAGATTCACACAATATGAAGTGTGTATCGGCATTATTAGCCTACTATTGGTGTGGGACACCTTTCGAGGGTTCTGCGATTCCAGTGCATATTAAGGTGCAAGATTGAGGAGGGAATTACCTTTCTTTCTAGAGCCTCTGCAGCAAATTTATCGGCCATACTGAATATATGGATGTGCTTCCGCTATGGTGATTCCAAGTCGATTAACTGAGTGTGTGATATTTTAATCATTAGCGAGCAGCGCATTGGCGCATGAAGAAGCAGACAACCGTGCATGGTCTGTGAATCACGCAAATGACGCGTGAGAGAATACGTATAACATATAAATTAATATGAAGTCATATGTACAGTTCCAACCTGAGAATAAATTCACACGAAATCAAGTCGTGGCATCAATGGGATTAGTACAAGTGTCCAGCATCTACAGCTACCCGTATCCTCGTTGCAACAATGGTCATTTATCTGCCGGCATTTACCAGCAAACGAATGGTAAAATAGTGCCAGTAGCAGCAGGAGAACTCCTTTTTCTTCTTCTTCAGTGCCATTGTGGACATCTGAAATGAATATGGGAATTGGTAGCACCAGTAACAAAGATACAGCCTATAGGATTAAAAATGATTTAACGTGTGTATATGATAGGACGTCTGAGAAGCTCCTACTTTTACGCGTAGTTACCTGGCGCAACTTCAGCTTCCTCCATATCAGCAGGGATTGAGAGCTTCCATAAAATGCCAATCTCAGATCTCCCTCTTTGGAAGCAATAGGGTTGTGAAAAGTTAAGAGTTTGGTGGAATCTGGAATTGTAGCTTCAAGCTACATGTCAAAGTTTGACTTGAACTTCATTGAACTGAAGGCTAGCCGGGACGTCTTCCTAGCATTCGTCGACTAACGTCCACGAGATTGAAATTGAGAGTAGAAAGTTAGATTAAGGAGTTGGGTCGGGGTGGAATTGCCTTCTTGCTTGTACAAAAGACTCACTTGAGCAGCTGAATGTTTGCCATCACGAACGAACTAGAGATAATACGAGTCAGATTTCAAATACAGACGTAAACATCTTTGAATTGTATCAAGATAGAGAAAAAAATCATGTTTACACGACATCAAACGTTCAAGATACCTCGACAAGCTCACAAGCAATCAAACGAACAACTCTAGCTGGCCACTTTTGAGTAAGAGATCCAACTTGATGCAGTCACAGTTTTCGAGCTGTTTGGGAACGAGTCTCATGGTGGGATGCTACTTGCACGTGCGTGCCTGCCGATTGTATGAAGTCGAAATTCAACGAAAATTATCAAGTTCATTCAGCATCCAAAGAGAACAAGCAGAATCACAGTACATAATTACGCGTCGAACCCCGACAATGTCGCATCAAATCCTTGGTTACTGTTCTTTATGGATTCTTTATGTGCTGCTGTCCTGCCGAACTTTTTACATCGGTTTTCGACAGCTTGACAGACAGTCCCTGGTTTTTGTAGCGACAACATACCAGTACACATACTTGATAGTCGTCATATTCACACTACCACATACTTCATAGTCGTTACCTGAACGTACCTCTCGCTCAAATGGATGTAATCGCTGCTGCCAACAAAAAGGCCATCGCTGCTGATGCTGGTATGATTCATATCAACTCGAGTGCCTACGTGATCTAATTCTCGATCTCATCTCGTGATCTAATTTCGATCTCATCAGGCTACGTCGGCTACGTGACCTAATGCTCAATCCCATTCATTTTCTGCTCAATAGCCAAAGCTTGGATTATGGGTCATATACCATTCCTGAAGAAACTACGTGTAAAGAGTGTCCAAATTCGAACCACTCTGTCAGAACCTGAAGTCACCTTCATTATGAGCGATGAAGACTTGGAGAAGGAAGACCAAGAAGATGAATGGAACCTCGTCCTGGACAAACTCGAAGGGATGCATGTTGACGTCGCTATGATAAGCACGACGCTCTGGGGACAACAGCAGATCCGTCACTTTGGGTATACGGAACTGTGCTCTATTCAATAGTTGGTCATCTGATTGTGTTTGTTTACTGTAGTATACGCCTATGATTCAATTGACTTTTACATGCATCAGTTTTCTTTCCAGTACCGGCATTCACAAGTTATTGCATCCACCACTCTTGGAAAGCCTACCATGGCATCATTAGGATTATTAAAGAGCCCCACTGGTTTGTGAACAATTCGGCTCCTTAAATCTCTATATAATCTAGTCCACCGACTCAATTCATCCACTAATGTGGCCATTAATTTATGCACGGTAAACTTTGTGACGCAAGAGACTCTAAACAGAAGTGAGAGATATCACGAGGACCGTGAAACCACTCAACCTCGCGGGGACGCAGTGACCATACACGCACCGAATTCATGTGCAATCGACTTCCTTCCGAAGAGCGAAGAGGGACCTCGAGATTAGCAATTGTTTTATCACCGAGTATCTGTCCAAGTCAAGCTTTGGTTGAGTGAGATCGTTGACCTAGAAGAGTGAAACAATCAATGTCGGAGATGGGTGCAGATATAGGTGAAGGAGTGAATTAAAATGGCAGCAGTAGAAGGAGTTTGGCATGGGGATTGCAATTTCATGCTTGATGCAGATGCAAGACTTGTTCATGTTTGATGTAGATGCAGTTGAGATAGATCTGCGGATGGACTTCATTTTTATAGTAGTGTGTATGGGCATTAGTTGCCTACTACTGTCTTGAAAGATTTCTGCGATTCAAGAATGTGGATATGCACATGGAAATGCAGGTGCAAGTTGGAGGAGAGAATTACCTTTCTCTCTAGTGCCTCTCCAGCGAATTTATCAGCCATGATTGAATATATGAATGTGATTCCTCTATGGTGATTCTGCGTCGATTACTTTTGTGGATATTTTAATCATGATGAGCCGCACCCAACGATGGTGATTGAATAATGCAACTGACGCGTGAGAGGTAACGTATAAATCAATATGAAGTCTTACGTAGACGTAGAGTTGCAACAAAAGAATAATTTACACGAAATCAAGTTGTGGCATCATTTGGATTACTGCATCTGCACCACATGTGGCCATCATCAGCTGCCGTCCGTTTCCTCACTGCAACGATGGCTCTTTATCTGCCGTCATTTACCAGCAAGCGTATGGTGATTGATTTCACATCCTGTCAACTTTTCATGATTGTTGCTGTTTGTGAGGACTAGTAGGTGCTTCCTGCACTAGGAGTGGGCCCCAGAAGTAACTAGAATATTGGATTCAGATTTAGTCTGCCTTTGGTAGCAGTAATATAAAATCAAATCACCACACACACTCACAGAGAAGCTAAAAAAGAGCTCAGTCCAAAGATTGCATAATGTCTCCACGTTATTCTCATGCTTCCAAACTTGAATCTGTCCATAAAATGCGTTCGAGCCCGTACAATCTTCATGTTTGCTTGTTATTTGATCTTGTATCGACGTTTGCGTGTTTTGGGTGAGCGAGGTTAAGAGAAAAAAAAGTTGGATTGGAAAAAACGCAAAACATCCCAACACCAGGATTTACAGGAGGAAGCCTGAAGATCACGTATATATATCAGCCAAACTCGTGCCTTCCAATATACTACGATGAAGCTCGTAAGGAAATCATTCGTCAAAAAGGATGGTAAAGCTAGTGGTGCTGGTGGTAGCAGGAGAACTACGTCCTTTTCTACTGGAAGCGGAGCTGGTGGAGTGAAGAAGCCATTCAACAATAAACGTAAATCCATGCAAGATCACTCGGCTCCTGATCCTTCCTCTTCTCGTGATGCGTCAACTGCATCGAGATGGAAGAAGAAAAACAAGACAAACCATGACAATGCTGCTGCTGAAACGGAATTCGAAACCGTACCTGCAGTCATGAATACTGCTAATCCTACAAACGATATCGATCATGATGACGACGATGCTTCGGACTTCGAAGAAACTGAAATGGCTTCCCAAGTCAGAGATGCTAATCGAAAACATAAAAAGTCGGGTGGTTTTCAAGCTATGGGTACGCAATTCTTATTGTACTTGCTATTTCTGCTCTCTTCCATCTTTAATCGTCATCCAACCCCACAAGTAACTCACACGCTGAATCAATTAGGTCTCAGCCAGCCCGTGTTCAAGGCAATCATACATAAAGGCTATAAAGTACCAACTCCAATTCAAAGAAAAGCCATTCCCGTAATCATGCAAGGAAGAGACGTTGTAGCCATGGCCCGTACTGGTTCAGGAAAAACTGCTGCCTTCCTCGTGCCAATGCTGGAGAAACTCAAGACTCACTCCGCTAGAGTGGGCGCTAGAGGTCTCATTCTCTCTCCCTCTCGTGAATTAGCTGCTCAAACACTCAAATTCACAAAAGAATTGGCAAAACACACTGACCTTAGAGCTTGTAATCTAGTCGGTGGTGATAATATGGACGAACAATTCGCTGCAATGGCGGCAAATCCCGATATAATTGTAGCCACTCCTGGTAGATTGATGCATCTGATGATTGAAATGAAGATGGACTTGAAGACTGTTGAATATGTCGTCTTTGATGAAGCTGATCGGTAAGTGTTGAATATTCTGGACAAACAAGTCTTATTGCTTTGATATTCCTCAGTAGCTATAAACTACTGTAGTTGAACATTATCGTTGCGTTTCTGACTTTTTCCTTGTATCCATCTTCGTGTTTAGACTGTTTGAAATGGGATTTGCAAACCAGCTCCATGAAATATTACACGCTTTGCCAGAAGGTCGTCAAACGCTGCTCTTTTCAGCAACTCTTCCAAAGCTTCTGGTCGACTTTGCCAAAGCCGGATTGAGCAACCCTGCTCTCATACGTCTGGATATTGATAATCGTATATCGCGTGATTTAGAAATGCTCTTTTTCTCTGTCAAAACAATGGAAAAGGATGCTGCATTGATTCATCTACTCCGAAAATTGGCTGGCCGTGATGAATTGACCATTGTCTTTGCTTCTACCCGTCATCACGTAGAATACTTACACGAACTCCTGGCTGCCGCGAATATTGAAAATACCTACATATATGGCTCTCTTGATCAGAGTGCCAGAAAGATCCATCTCAACCGATTCAAAACGCAAAAGCAAAAAGTATTAGTAGTCACAGATGTAGCTGCTAGAGGTCTCGATGTCCCTCTTCTTGACAATGTCATTAATTATGATTTCCCTGCTGCTCCAAAAGTGTTTGTGCATCGTGTTGGTCGAGCTGGTCGTGCTGGTCGTAAAGGTACAAGCTTTTCATTTATATCAGCGGACGAGGTATGTGATAACCTAGAGTTCACTCGTGTGCTGATCGTACTGACATTTGGCATTATTTTTGCAACAGATTCCATTCTTGTTGGATTTGCAACTCTTTACAAGTCGTCCATTTATCTTGGCTGCCTCTATGCAAGACCGACAGCCTGACCTCACATCAGAAATCGTTTTGGGTGACATTCCGCGATCATTACTAGATCCATCTTTGGAAGAGTGTCAACATCTCATTCGCTCAAACATCACTCTGGTCAGTATTTTGCCTTTTCCTGTACCTCAAAATTAGACAATCGAGTACTCTGTACCGTACATCAACTCACACTCCCAGCTAACGTATCTCAGGAAAATCTACAAACTGGCGCCATGAATGGTTATAAAATGTACCATAAAACACGAGGAGTGGCTTCTCCCGAGTCATACAAGAGAGCCAAAGAACTCGCTGATGTTTCACATGGGCTTCATTCGTGGTTTAGTACGTTTCGATTCGTTTCTAGAGCACTAAATTAATTGGCACTCATTCCTACGTCCAATCAAAATCAAAAGGCGACGATATGGACGTCCAAGAAGTAGCTCGTACAGCTATGATGGAGTCTCTTTCGAAATATCGATCTAGAAAGGTGAATTTACCTGTGCACGATTCACTAACAGACTTGACACCAATTAACACAAGCTTTGTACTTTAGGATGGTGGCAAAGTCTCATTCCCAACAGCCACTGCCAAAATCTCTCGAGACTCAGAATACTACATGTCGTCCACACCATCCGATGTAAACACTGAACGCGGTTACAATCTGACATCTCAGACAACGTTTGCAGAGCAAGCTCGCTCAGCTGTTGTTGAAGTCACGGGTGATGACAAAGACTCAATGCGTGCTTCCCGTAAAGTGATCTGGGATCCCAAGAAGCATAACTTTGTACGGCCTACTATTGGGTCAGACAACAAGAAACGGGTACGAACTGATAGTGGTGCATTGGTTCCAGCCTCATACAATAGCAAAAGGTATGTTATCGTGGTCGGATTTCCAGATTGCTAGAGAAGGAGGATTGTTGCTGGATGGGTGAAGGCGTATTTCGGCCTTTCATTCTCACAGCAAATAATATTTGCATGTGAGCCCGGGTTACCCGTGGTTAATTAGCTCGCCTTTTTGAATTTAAAAGTGAAAGAACGAGTTACTAAGCTACGGAAGATTGAAGAAACGAGGGATATGTCGGGTCACGACCTCCCTGTGGACGGTGCACCCATAATTGCGCCCACTACAGCTGTTATTATATCAAATGATAAAAAATTTGACTTCTCAATCTCAGAACTAACACCATTTATCATTTTGATTTCAAAGATTCGAGGACTGGCAATCAAAAACCAAGATTGCACTGCCACGGGCTGGTGAACAGGAATTGGATAATACAGGATCTAGTGCAAAGAATCTCTCCGCTTTTGGAAATCGTCGCTTCCGCCACAACAAAATAATAGCGCCAACGCCAGGCTCGGGTTCCTCACTCCGTAAAGATGCAAAACGTAAACGAGAAGCTCAAGACGCGCAACCTGATGGTGCAACTCCTTCGTCGAAGCCAGCAGCTCCTGCTGCCAAGAAGATGAAGCAAGGTGTAAGGAGTGAGCTTAGAACTCCTATCCAAATTGCCAAGGCCAGAGTTGTCAAGGAAAATAAACGACAAAAGACTGGACGACACAAGCCTCAGAAGAAACGGTAGTTGCTGTTATTGTAATATAATTACTTTTGCTTGAACTAAATCGATGTATCCAACGTTGAAATTTGGAGTGTTGAATTCGTTGGGTTGCACAGTGTTTTGAATGACAATTCCGATCCTCACACACACACCAACTGTCAAATGGCTCAACAGGAGCTTAAAGCTTTATGGGTTGTCGCAAAAGACTTGAGATTGGGTTCCTTCGTCGAGTCTTCATGCTCCTCAGACTGGACATTGCAAAGGATCGATGAAGAATGGACCCTCTTCCTGAGACTTTCTATGGTAAGTTCAACGAAACTATTTGGTTGGATATTGTTCCGCGTTGGAGAAAATGGAACTAATTTGAAAGAAACGAGCCTAGGTCATGCTGAAACCACTGTGGGTAAGTTGCTTGCTGAGGTTGTTGATTCCGATAACCTTTGTTCATGATGAATGCACTGCTGGTTTTCAAAAGATGGTCGAAGCAAGGAGCTCTTCTAACACTACGAATTACTGAATTTTAATCTCTTCAGATGCTTTACTACTCTTTCAAGGAGTGCTGAATGGTGTCCTTCCATCGTGCAAAAGGAGGCTCAGCAAAGAGCAACAATCTCAAATACGATCAGGAAGCTGCTTTATCTATGAATCAGGAAATGACAGTGGAATCAAACGATGGTATAAACTATGTGCTCTTGTCTTGATAGGGTGTGGTGGACAGGACTGAATAATCTGGCGTGTTTATAGGACAGATGGTCTTCTCTGGTAATCTTGTAATAGTCTACCAGTTTCGTCATGTCTGATGCCATTTGTAGGTCTCCATCTCGCATCAACGGAGAGTTTCTTGTATATCGTGAACTCGACGTCAAGATTTCTTCAAGTCAGCTCAAAGTCCCAAGTATGGCTCGTCAGGCAAAGGAAATGATTGAACTCGAAGGAGAGCGTGCTGCCACTACCACCAAGGTTGTCGTGATTATTGCTGTTGCTGGAAAAATGCTCAAATCTTGGATTGACAACAGGGTACCTTTCTGGTCAAGGAAAATGGGTTGAAGAAAAAGACCATGTCTGTACATGCTGGTGGAACTCAATGGCATCTTGTTTCTTACTTTCTCAGTATTGATGTTGACCATGGACGGTAATACCGCATTGTTTTAAATCTTGTGCATTCTTGCACTGTAGCACATTCTTCCAACGATCACAAACTTTTTTTTTCATCGTGTCATTTTCTTAGTCTGCTCCAACCATCTCGAAATCCATCCTTGTCATCTCTACGTATTTTACCAGAACTTGTCTATAATCAAGGCTTCCGAAAAGTGCCGTCTGTCAGTGACCAACATCTCGGTATAAGGGATTTCGATGACGCATCAATCGCAACATCAAATGATTCTACGTCACCACAAGAAGCTTCCGAACCAACTTGGTATAGATTCGTTGCAGACGAGGAGCCTTTGCATGGGTTTGTCTCGTCAGAGGACGTATCGCCAGACTTGTATCCCTTCTTCCAACATTCGTCTGATGCCATGTTGTCACCGCCCAATGACCTTGAATCTGTACTTCAAAACTCTGACGGTGCCCAGGAATTTTCACCACCACTTGAGGATCCACTTGAGCATATGGCTCCACTTGAACATGGATTTGATCAAACGTTGGGGTATGCTGCTTTCTGGTAGTGTTCGAGACCAATAATAATGACACGCTGCAATATATGTTGAAAACAGTACTTGCAAAATGCTTCAATGGACGTGATCTAAGGTGGCATTAAAGCAGCATACTTGAGGATCATTGCATGTAAAATATTACCACTTTCAGCAAATTGCGCAAAGAAATTGGTCTCAAGAAGGACCAAAATGTAGCAAAGCTCAAAGATTGATCAAATACGGGTTCTTCAGGAATAATTTATGTCTTTTCATATACGCAGTTTACAACGTGCAATTTACAACCTTAATAATTTACCAATATTCCTCGTCCTCCATCACTTCAGGTTTACTCTCGAGAGGATTGGATGGCTCTGTGTCAAAATATTCATCTTCCTCATCTCTTGAGACTATTTCTAAATCATCGTAGGCTGGATTCAAATCCACGGACGGATAATCAAAATCAACCTATCGGCGAAAGCAAATGAAAAAACAGTCCAAAACTGATCAAATGAAATTGTACTTACATCTTTTCCTGCAAGAAACGACTCTCTTGCAAAGCGAAGAAGATCCAAACGATTTAGCTCTTCATCTTCAGAAGAACCATTCGGTGGTTGATCCGCCTGCTGATCCTCGTCTTCAGAATCAAACTCTTCTATTCGATCCCTCTCCTGTTGACGAGACACAGCATCTTGATAAGCTCCTTCATCTATTTTGCGTAATATGTTGTGGACGAGTCCCTCGTCTTCAATATCGATGTCATTGTCGAAAAGATCAAAGTTTCCCAAGGATCGAAAGGCATGAGGATGTCTGGAACGGATTGAAGAAATATCAAAATAATCTAAGGCATCACAGTGAATAATGAATCAAGTAGGAGGAGACACCAAGGAGAGCAGCAGGAGGAATAACTGACCTGTTCCATCCAATTCACGAATCAAGTAGTTGTGTCGTCGATTTTTCACAGTCTTTTGGGCAGTATCAGCATTTGGTGGGCTCACGAGCTTATTGAGGTAGTGATTTACGACGTAATCATCTAAGGCATGAGATTCAGTGATCGTCCAACCAGATGTAATGACGAGGAAAGCGCAAATGTTTACGTCTGAATGTTTCAAAGTATGCAAGTTCCCCTTCTTTGAGATATAGCCCATACTTCTCAAGAAAGAGCCCTTTATCTCGTTCAAATATGCTGATTAGATCCGCTTGAGATACTGTCTTGCCTCTTTCAGAAAGATTCTTAATAAGTTCGTCATTTTTCAGCACGCTTGCCACGATTTCCTGCATCTTCGAGCTATGAAAGAGGACGAGATCGTAAGTCAGAGTAATTGACTCCGTATGGCTGGAACCTCACATGATGGCTGCAAAGCAGCTACCCAAATCAAACCAACGTGAACTGACGAAATTGTTTCCAACAGCTCAACCAGACAAGCTCAAAAGATGGCCCATACTGGGTATATTTTGAATCAGGAAATCAGGAATTACAAAACTCTGGTAGTTTTACACGTGTTCACAGTGTTTATCGCAACATTTAACTGCTATGACGTTCATCTACGATGTTGCCTTGAGCATCAAGACTAGCTATTTGCAATGGAGTGTCTTCGTTGACATCAGCTAGTGGTGACGAGACTGGTAATGATGGTTCTGTGGTATAAAACGTAGTGTGTCTCTCATCCGAGCTGGACCTCCTTGATGACTGCGGAACTGCCAAGCCTCTAATCGACAAGAGCCACAACTCAGCAGCTCGCCTGCAATGTGAGAGATAGAATTAAGTCGGATATTCTTCATACTAATGCCATTGTTGCCTTACCTCTCCTTTGCGGTAATTGAGATCGGGTTATTGTGGTCGTCGTAGTAGGTGGCAACAACATCATTTAACTCTGGTGGTGGAATAGCAACAATGTCAGCTACAGGAATCATCTTCTCGTCTTCTGGACTTGCTCGTTTTCGTGTGCAGACCAGAAAGACACCAATAACTAGTAGAAGCATAGCGCAAAATGCCAGTACTGCGGATGGACGTGTTAAGAAAACTGTTTCATGGATAGAGACTTTGCATGACACCACGCACCGCTAATAATAATGTACTCAGTAGTACTACTATTTCCTGCACTTTGCGGTGGTGCTCCTGGTGGCGGTGGGCACCCGACAGGGGGAGGGACAGTCGGCGGTGGTTGTCCTGTATTGGCGTGAAGTGCGTGAGGACCACCAGTTCCTCAATCGATCGACCAAAACATCAATGAGGGGCAGAGTATACCTGGGAGAGGGAGTGGTGGACAGGAGAGAACCGGAGATACGGCCGCTCTTGTCGCTGTGGTATTTAAGACTGTCCCAAATGATGCAGTAACAGATGGAAACGCAACCTTAAAGAAGTGAGATGTTAGCCCTAGAAAAGATTCCTCCCAGGTAACACTAAATTTCACCTGTGAAGTGGTCTAATATGGACAAGTTAGTCATATGTTACCGGTGATGTTGACAAAAATCCAACTTGGGCATACCGGCAGCGTAGCACCACCACAACCAGGGGGAGGAGAAATTGTGGGCGGTGGTGCTCCTGGTGGTGGAGCGGGAGGACATTGTGCATTGATCTGAGAGATCAAGGTGAATGCCAGGATGAAAGCAAACAATTTTCTAGGCCTGGTCCAACCGTATTGTGCGTAGATGCGTTGTGCATTAAATGTAGCAGATAATAATAGAGTAAACCGTGAGATGCCTTGTAGCAGTGGCGTGATGCGTTGTGTGTGGTAGTCCATTTTGTTTGAAATGTTCCAATTGAGCAATTGGAAGCAATGGTAGCACTATGAGATAAAACTGAAATGATTGAGTGTCTAATTCACAGTCAACGCAATTGTAAATCAAGCTGATCATCAAAACGGTTGGATTTGCGTTGCTTGTCACGCACCAAGATTACTTTGCTTTGGAGCTTCAGAATTCACGTCGAGCACAGGGAATGGCGACTGATCCCAAGCTGCAAATATGATAATTAGTGGTATGAAACGGCCAAGGTTCCTCTGGATTCCTCCAACTAGTGGTGATGACTTGCAATGTACACTGCCACTGCAAAATCCAGAATCACGAAGAAGTCAGGTCCCTTCAGATCTGTTTCTTTGCAAGACCGCCAAGCAAGATGGAGAGAGCCATAGTGACTGATCTACTTGCAAGCCATGATGAACGAGCCAAACTGGTCAGATCCCAATATCTAACTGGCGTCACGACCACTGCTCATAATCCCCAAGAACTGGCGGCACTAGCTGAAGCTGATCTAGGCGCTCCAAAGAATCGGCAACCTCACGTATTTAGTCCGATTTCTTCTGTCTCGGAGAACAGCATCTTAGAGAGTAAGTATCCGACGCGTTTGGCACTTCTCGCAAATGCATTTGCAAATGTGTGTGTGTGAGGCATCCGGAAACCAACGGTCTCTCATTATTTTAATTAGCAGCTCCAAACAAAAGGTCACCTCCAACGCATCAGCCAGGAAAAGATCACAAGCCAGTGTCTGTAAGGCTTGTACCATTGTTCTCAACTGGAAGCACGTCCTAATCACACTATACACATACAGTCACCTCCGAGATGGAAGTCTGATCACGGTCAAGCTGAGGGCAAAATAAGAGAATTGGAACAGAGGATACGTCAATACGAGGTGCGCCATTGTCAAATTCCATCTTCTTGTACTTTGCGCCAACACATACTACTTTGGGCTTATAGAGTGACTCGCATTTGAGAAAGCAGACAAAACCACCATCCAAGCTAGCTATAGATGATCTGTAAGAGAATTTCCTACGACTTGTCTTGACTCGACTCTCAATCTGAATTCACGCTATAGTAAGGACGCTCACCAAAAAGTGGAATTACTTATGCGTGAGAATGATCTGCTGGTTGACCAGGCTGCTGCTGCTAGAGACGAGTCTGAAAAAATTAGAGGAGAACTGGAAATGCAAGCTAGAGAATGTAACTTCCAAGTCAATCATCATCTATTTTTCGAGCAAGCATAACACTTACAAACGTTGCATAGTGTACGCTTGTGCTCAAGACGCTTCAGAATCGAGAGCCACTGTCGATGCTCTCCAAGCTCAACTGGAAGATGCCAACAAACGAGCTGCCCGAGCTGATGCTGATGTCGCCGAAAGCTTACAGCTCTTGGAAGAAACACGGACTCACAACGAATCCGTACAATTGGAGCTCAAGAAATGCTCTGGTGAGCTGAAATCAGCTCAATTTCAAATAAGCGAAAGACAAAGGTTAGGAATGGGGCCATAAAAACTTGCTCTTATACCGTTACTGATAGCTTTTTCGCTATTTTTATTTCAGGGCTCAAGAAGAAATCACCGCCAGATATCAAGCAGCCGTGCGAGAGGCCAACAACGTTGCTTCTAGAGAGCGAGATCTTGCAGCTGCTCTACAAACCACAGATGGCGAGCTTCGAGGTAAAATCGTTTGCGTACCATTGGAAGGGAGATGGTCTGACTCAGTCTTCAAACAGCATTGAAACACATATACTCTGTTCTCAAGAGTGATTTCGATGGGCTAAATAACGCTCACGATGACGTCCTTCGAGTCACAAAGAAACAGGAGTCGCGTATTGCAGAAGTGGAATCCCAACTAGTAGACTTAAACAAGGCTGAACAACGAGCTCTCGAGCAGGTGATTGAATCGATTATCACTGTTGCGACGAAAGCCTGTCTTGTTCTGAATATATTCCGATATTTAGGCGGAAGAGTCAAAACTTGAACGTGAAAAATCACTGGTTCGAGAGCAACAAGCTCAAAGTGAAGTACAGAGGCTTTGTGCAAAATTGGAAGAGTTGCCCAAGAAAATCAAGGAAAAGACAGAAGCAGAGCTAGCTGCGTACGTCTTTCTTCGGATATGCATTTCACCTTGTTGCATCGGACCCATTCACTTAAATAACTCCTCAAAAACGATAGTGTGAAGGCTCAACACGCTGCAGATAGAACTTTCCATGCACAAGAATTGACATCAATTCAAACGGAACTAGCTGATCTCAAGGTTGGTCTTGAAACATTACACGCGTGGACGATCGAAAAGCTGACCCCTCAATTCCATGTAGAATCTAGCTGACAGAGCTATTCGAGAAAAACGCTCAGCAGAAACTGAGCTGGAAAAGCTCACAACGTCCATTCCCACAGAAAGCAATCGAGTCGCTGCAGCCGTAGAGGATTTATCTGGTCGTTTAAGAGTTGCCGAACGAGAACGTGCTGACGCTGTCACAAAATTGGAAACGTGAGTATCATCATCACGCAAAAAGAGAGCGGCATTGACGCGGGCTTTCTTTTTCCTTTAGACTTCATCAACGTCTTTCACGTGAAGAGACGCGCTTCGAATCTGAACGGATCACCTTGACCAACAGGGCCGAAGAAGCCTTCAGACGTCTTCGCCGTGTTGAACGAGAACTGGAAGAAACCAAAGAGGACAGAGTTACGCTGCTCTCCAAGGTTGCTGATGTAGAGCACCAGTTCAAGGCTCTCGAAGAGCAAAAGATGAAGGGAACTCATCAAGCAGCTGCCGATATAAATAGCCTCCATGCAAAATACGAGACACAGGTATGCCAGATTTCACACTGATTTTAATTGATAATCTTTTGGATGAAGCAGTTGATAATCTTTTGGATGAAGCAGTTGCTACTTTAAATACTAACAACACCTCTATGTAGGTTTGTAACCTGACATCAAAATTACAGCACACCTCCGAATCACATTCCAAGACATGCAAAGAGCTTCAAGAGCTGCTGAGCGAGCAGAGACGTACAGGAGAGAGATGGTAAGCGGTTCATCCCTCTTGATTAAACATTCAACGTTGGTCGTTTCAGTGTCAAATTTCTAACCATTCCAACTAAACATTCAGGAAGGACGAGTCAGCTCGCTTATCCACTCAATACTCGTCGGCACTTCAAGAATTGCAATCGAGGCTTGCTAAATCTGAAGCCCGTCTGAATGAGTCAGACGAAATGTGTGCTGCACACGCCTCAAGAATTAGAGATTTGACAGCACAAATCACCGAAGATCGAAAACTGATTGCAAGGCTGCAGCAGACCCTGCGTGATTCAGATTCCAAGGTGGCAGAAAAGGATCGCTCAATACGAGATCTGCAGCGAAGGTGCCTTGACGCCGCAGAAGAACGAAAACGTCTCCGTATGTTGAAATTGGGGGCTTTTTTTGTGAATCAATTGAATGCTCATCAATGGTTCCTCTACAGAACGTGAACTCGACAGGACTACGCTTGAGAGAGACCGTGCTGAGAGAGATAGAACCTTTCAAGCTAAACATGGTGCTCGTAATGCACGATTGGGTTTAATCCAACCTACTCAAGATGATGCAGATCACTTTGCTCTTGAGGTGAGACATGTTTACTTGTCTCATCTTCCTACCAATTTTCTGACTTGTACATTTTGACCAGGCCAACGTTTTACAGGCAGAAATCATTAGAGTACACAAAAGGTCTCAACAGGGATCGAAACAACACACTAAATCCAACAATCATTCTGATTCTGAGGACGATTCTCGCCTTTCTGGCACACAAACACCAGCATTGTAATTTAATTATTTAGCAATACTATTATACGTTTTTGTTCTCGCAACATTTTTCTACACTTTGTACCGAGGTCTACTGCCACAACTCTTGAATGGTTTGCGAAGTATTGCCAGATGCTTCATATCCCTTCCACAGATTTTGAAAGAAACTTGCAGCTTTCGATTGCCTAAGTAATGGAGTTGAGTTCTTGCAAAAAGGGAATGCTGTACCTCTGTAATTAAAACACAACAAACCTTGCGGCCATACGCCGATTGTCAAACAAGACCTCCAACTCTATTGATTTGGCTTGTGCAGTTTGGATGACATCAGGTGGGAGATTAGCTAGTTTGGCAACGTTCAGCCCAAACGAGCGGTGTGATAAACCAGCAGTAAGCTTATATAGGAAAACTAAATCTGGTTTTCATTGTGAGTCTCAAATGACAATGGATTGACCAAACGGGGATTACCTTTTTCGCCATTCTCCTCTTGTTCGAGGAACCCCATATGGTAGTTCAGCACTGCACCATTCAATTCGTCTTGCAATTTTCCAAGGATTGGATAATGTGTAACAAACAGTATAGCACATTTGACATTCTCAATCATATGTTTCAGTACTGCCCATGCGATAGCTGTTCCATCCTATTGAAACAATGGGCTGAGACGCTGCGGCGTTGTAATCTGGATGGTTCGAGGAACGAACATACCATAGTTGAAGTTCCACGACCCAATTCATCAAGCAAGACAAACGACCTTGGTGTCGCGGAATGAAGGATGTCACTTGTCTCTGACAATTCCTTCATAAAAGTGCTTTGCCCTCGAGCAATGTCATCAGATGCTCCCATACGAGTATGCACTGCATCAAACAGCCCGAGCTTAGCAAAGTCGGCTGGGACGTGACTTCCAATTTGTGCCATAACCACAATCAGAGCCACTTGTCGGATGAAGGTTGACTTTCCTATATAAGTTTGCAACGATTTCATTAGATTTAACGACTGTTTGTCCAACTTCGTCTAATTTTTTCCTTGCGTACCATTCATATTTGGCCCTGTAATCAATAGACACTTGGGTCCTTCTTGGCGTAAACTGATATCATTTGGCACAAAATTTGTCACGAATTTCTCGACGATGGGATGTCGGCCATTTTGGATGTCCAAGAAACCAGCTTCGTCAGAGAACTGAGGTTTGGTATATCCTGGTTGCATAGCGAGGGTTCCTATCGCGAGGGCAGATCAGCTCATGTAGTGTAAATGATCGTCACGTGCTAGTACCCCTACCTAACGAGACAAGACAATCCAAAACGGCGAGACTGTGAATGACTTGCCGAAACGCGTCATACTTTTCGGAAACTTCCCTAACAGGCCAGATTGGAATTGCTCAGTGAGTGGTGTGGAGATGGGTCGCAGAGACAAACAGTTACTTGAGAAGTTCTTTGAAGGCTGCAGCACAAGCAAGATCGAGGCGTTCTTGCCCTCTTGCCAGTTTGGCCATGCCACTCAAAGCTTCTGGCGTATGGAAACGTGAGACAGCTTTGGTTCTAATATAGTACTTCGTTAGAAATCGTGTTGGAAGCTAAGACGGTCTTATCTCAGCCAACTCACCCATTGACCTTGATCCATGAAGCGGGGGCCTTGTTCGCAATGATATTCTTGACTTCAAGAAGATAATCGACACCTGCCACACTAACAAACTCCAACGAAGGACTCGACAAGGTTTTTCGAGCTTCTTTTAGATGGAGCCTCATATCGGTGTGTATTTGTTGGATTTCCTACATATGAGTTGGATTGTATGAACATGATTTAACATGAAATATAGCCAGAAGCAGGATTCAGAATGGCACACCTTTTTCAATCGAGTAATATCTTCGTATTTGTCCTCATCCCCAAACAGATCAATCCTGTTGTTTTCAGAGGCTGCCTTCTCATTTATAAGTTGTCGAAAATACGATATATCTTGTTGAATGCTACTAAATGAGGCGAATATGTCTTTCAACAGCAGTGACGTTGCTGTCATACCAATATTGCTAATTTTTTCCAAAGCGATCAGCAGACTGTTGAGATCTGAAGGAGTAGATCGACCATAGTACACTCTCATTAATGCCTTCTCCAGATCTGGCACCTGTGAAAGCAGACCCATGAGTTTCTTCATGGTTGGGTCTGACTTCCTTGCCAAATCCAGACACTCTTCGACTGACTGAGTCCGTTGATTCAAATCATCGATTCGAGTAAGGGGCTTCCCGACCCATTTGTTGAGCAAGCGTCTGCCTGCTTTGCTTTTGGTATAATCCAATACCGAGAGCAGAGAGCCTTTCTCGCTATAATCTGTTGCGTTTTGGTAAATCTCGAGACACGCAAGGGCGTTTGCATTGAGGTTCATGAATGCATGAGAGGAGAATTTCGTAAAGGTTTTCAAATGGAGCACAGAATCTAGGTTGAAAGTCTTTAGATATGACTTCAGTGCAGAAAGACACACAGTAACCATGCTGGGCAAGTCTGATATGGAATCTATACTTAGGCGTCAACAGTTTGATCTACTTGAACATTTCAAGAAACGAACTGACCTTGAGCGTCAGGAAAACCATCGGCTACCATTCGACTCGCAACTATGGCACTGAAGAATGCGTCTTTAGGAGATTCGATTCGAACCTTGTCAGTTTGACCGGATCTAGAAAACAAATGTTTGATGAGAGCTGATCGACAGAGGGAATTGACTGGCTATTTGAGTCAACGTACCTAAGACCAAACCGACGTATAACCTTTTCAGTAGGTTGACTCAATAATTCAGGTATTATAATTTCGACGGGTTGAATGTGCGATAAAAGAGTCTCCAGCTCTGTTCGAAGAAAGCAGTCTTCAAACTGGTCGTAAACTATATCACCGGTCGACACTTGTACCGCCTGTAGGAGGCAGTATGAGAGACTGATTGAGATCTGAAAGTGATACAAAACGAAGAGAGACGGTATCATACCATAACACCAATCAACGTCCTTCCTTCAGCTCCTACAGTCTCTTCACTTAAAGCCATTAGATAATTGTCACGACCCGCTGTCCCGAAGGCTTCATCCTCGTCTCCTCCACCTATATCGTCAATAAATGTGCCTTTGGTGAAGATACCAGTCACCTCTCGTGTGAATGGGGCATACTTGTTATTTCCAACGGCTATGAAATGACAAGCTCTTCTTAGATTTTGGCAGTTTCCAGCACTAAGCAGTAATAACGAATAGAATCCAAACAGGGCTTATTTACCTTTTAAGGCTGCTGTTTCTACCTGTTTCACGATTCCAACCTTGTATCCTAATTCAAATATTAAAATAAAATTCTAACTTTGTTCATTTAGAGGTTTAAAGACTTGCTAGAGTTCATACCTTGCTGAACAAGTCGTTTGACATGAACCTGAAGTCTGTGGGTCGGAATCGAAGCGGAAAGGAATGAATGGTTCATGAAAGCAACAATGTTTAGTTCTTTGGCAGCGATAGTGGCATCCTCACCAAAGAAACGATACTACGTAAGTTTGAGGCGTGAGCACTTGGAACGTAAAACCATTGCGAGACCACATACTTTGTAGCCAACTTCAACCATCAATAGACAGTCACTGAATTTCGCCTTCAGTTCGACTACTTGCTTCTCCAACGGAGTTAAGGTGACATTTTGAGACGTGGTATTTTGTTTCTTGCTCGTGGGTTTCGGCGCTTCCTCCACGTCGCTACTACAATGTTCATCGACATCGTCGTCTTCAGGCTCACTATAATCAGCTTTACGTTTGCCCAACGTTTTGCTGCTGCTCTCTGCGAATTTCGACAGAAATGCCATTCGTATTTCACGACGATCATCGTCCTCCTCGGCCACACGATCTTGTAGCCCATTCGAAGGGTTGAATTTAAATTTATTAGCTTTTGATGACTTGATTGGTTTGGCTAGAGGTTTAACAGGGGAAGGGGATGAGGATGTGAGGTCGATTGTGCTATCAGCACTATCAGTCACTTTTTGTTCTGTAGGTGTTGATGAGGGTGGTTTGGCAAAGAATGAGGATATAGATAGCTGTTTTGAAGATGAAGGAGTTGTCGTCTGCTTCTTCTTCCTCTTGTTGCCATCATCAGCAGCCTCTGACTGTGTCCTCTTGTTCGAGCTGCCAAGCATGTTCATTTGACAAAGGAACGTTAAGCCTTGTATTGAGACCAGATAGAGGGATCTACATTGAGTGCAATGTTAGGTGAGTGGTTTTTGTTACAGAGACGTGAACTTTGTTACAAGCAAATGTCGCTCCAGTTCTCATACCCTAGAGTTGCTTGATGAGAAGAGTATAGCCTGGATAGTGTGAAATACAAAATGACACGTAAAGTCAACAAGGAATTGATTCTAGGTCGAATATCTAGCAGTCTTGAGATTATAAACAGTGACTATGGCCGACTACATAAAAAGCGGTGTCAGTGCTATCGGGTCGGTTTGGCCGGTAGGCAAGAGCTTCCTTACCGTAGCTGGATCGCTACCCGTTCAAATTCAGGTGGTCTACGCTATCTATCAATCGTGAGTGTGTTTGAATTTTTACTGCGAGGTTTTGTCCTTTCTGTGCTGAAAGATGTACAGAATCGCTTTTGGAACTGTCTGTTCAATGGCAATATATATGTATCTTCACGCCTGACATTGCCTAACAATCCCTCACTCACTTCAAAGGTACATCTATCGAAAAACTACTCCCAAAGGACGACGGTCTGCCCACAGTAGTGTACTCTTGTCTATCTTATGGATTTCATTTGGCGGGTACGCATTCACTTGAAAGTTCATTTCAGCTATTACTCTAGGCCCTGATGCAATTCGCACAATGTTCATAACTTGTCGACCTCACCACGTTCATAACTTGTCGACCTTAGCGGAACTATTGCCAGTATACTGTTGAATCAGATCCCTGCGTGGCTCACAATCCCCGAATTCATTCCAATCTATCTGGCGGGATATGTCGCAGTGTATTGGATTCCTGGGGTTTATACGACGCTCTTGTCAGTTGCTCCCGTTGTCGAGATGATTTTTGACGTCACGGATGGATTAATCAGAGGTGCAACAACAATTCAAATTTGGACTTGATTATGAAAGCCGTAGTTATCTCGCATCTGCTGACACTAGCTCATACTGACCTTGTTACAGGATACTATCTAACCACGACAATAGAAGCATTCAAAGCCTCTTCGACATCCGCTAGCGAGTCGATCACTGGGCAAATTCTTATAGGCGTCATAGCAATGACATTCGGTAGGATTTACACTAGCAAAATATCTATAGTCTACCTCAAACAATCGTACCCGCATAGGTGGGCTTACTTACAACTGGGCAATGGTTCCAGGTCGTGCATTGACGTTGCCTGGATTTGACGCCATCATGCTAACAGCCGGTGCATGCATATATATTTTGGGAAGCGACTACAGAATATTTGATGGCAGAGCAGTCTTTGAGGTTTTGGGAGGGCCCAAAATCATGACAAAGAGTGATTTAACGGCTATTACTGTACTTGTTGTGGTGTTGGGATTCTTAAACCGGGCACCAGCTGTATCTGCCAGTGTAGACGAGGGCGGGTTAGATGAAGCGCTTGAGTCTGTTACTGAAACTGAAATTGTTGCTAGCATAGTTTTGGAGGAGGAGGAAGAGGTGGAACCAGAGCAAGAGGAAACTCGCCCAAAACGAGGGTTGAGAAAACGCAAATAAGTGTAGATTAGATTATGTACAGTGCTGTTGAGTGACATAAAGATTTATGGAAATCATTCCATCTTGGCCAGCCATAATCCATCGCCCACACTGTGCAGGTTGTCTACTCCAATTCCCTTATTTATCTTTTTTCTATATCGAAAAAGGTACTGATTTTAGAAAGAGGAAGATATGTGGAGACACGTCTGAACATACATGTCATCAGTCGACATTTTAGTGATTCCCACGCCGACAGCATATTCCTTTCCTTCAGCGTATACAGCAACAGGAGTATTCTCTGGAGCCGACATATCGAGTCGAGCTCCTTTGGACGTTAGACCAGGACACATGATGTTTGCACCTGAAAGTATAAACTTGATGGCACCCTTGTCAACTTGGACTTTGGTCATCATGTCTGGATCTTTTAAGAATGAGGTATAATATAAGAATCATGTCCACCGACAGGTAGCCAATATCTTATATCAAAATCTCAGGCTTACATTTGTGAAGAATACGAAGGACTGGCACCCAGGGACCATCAAATACTTGGAAGAACAGTATTTCATTGTTTACAGTGACCAGATTCCTGTGTTCCACACTAGGTCCGAAAGATGTTTAGTTGGTTGGGTTTGCACAGTTGATGTGATTTGCTTGCCTACCATTTGACGAGAACGATCTGAGATTTCTTGGGAAGGATTGATTCAATATGCTCAGTCAAGGCTGGGTAAGCTTCCAGCACTTTGGCTCTAATAGCCCTTTGCACTGAGGATTTGACCAAACTCTGATTTGAGACGTCAGTCTTCCAAGTCAGCCTATGAATTCGCGAGATAAGCAAATGAATGTCGGGGGTCGAGATCAATTGGTATGCACACTTACTTTTTGAAGGACATTGTTGCGAATACTTAATAGTTCCTTGATTCTGAAAGTTTGGCAAACAGGTGGAGCGGGGGCTCAACGAAGGTCCAAAATCGCAGTACGTCCTAGAATACAGCCAACGCGTCTGGAATGGCAGAAAGCAAGCTGCGAGATACTGATCTGGAATGCTAATTTATTTTGTACAGTTGTGCTTTTCTATACAGCTCTAGCTAATACCGCAAGACATTATTCAAGCTCGAGCGCCTCCGCGGCCTTGAGTTCCAAATCTAGGAAGATATTGCAGCGTCAGGTATGGTGAACAGTCTACTGTGTGGTGGGTTGCAAAAACAGCACGCAATAAGCCACGTACTGGAGTAGTTTTTCAATGAGGTCGACATGAGTGAGGACCATTCGCCTGCAGCAATATCTCTTAAGGCCCAGTTCATCCAGTGCTTCTCTAGACAAACAATGCGGTGTTGGCTGTTTTGATGACATTTTTGTTTTTCTTTGATGGCAGTTTGACTCGATAGGTGCGAGTAGTATTAGTGAAATGGAGTACATACCTCTCAGTTTTGTCAGCCTTGACTAGAGCTAGAAATTGCTCCCATTTGTTGCCAATTACCTTTCCGCAACTAGTAAGGAACAAGCAAAACGGTGAGTTTTAAGTTAGCAGGGGAATCAGAGAGATATTCTTGTTGATCGAACCAATATATGATTGTCTATATAAGCATGTACATGTACCTGAAACATCTAACCGGAATAATCATCTTTGACTGCAGCTCAAGTCGAAAAGGTTGAATGTCAATGAGATGTTTGGAGGATAGCAGAGTTCCGTCTTCAGTGTGAGTCTAGATTTAAGGACGCGTATATTTTGGGTCGTATGGTCGAATGTAGCATAGTCGACGCGATCCCAGTCTTGGGATGCTCTGGAATGCTCGACTCGTAGACAGTCTTTCAATTAACTTTCAACAGTCGTGATAATGGTCGTGAGGAGAAGAGCAGGCACTGGTGAGACAGACAACAAGTAGTAGTATTTTACTTCCTTTTCACTCTCCTTGCGGTATAGGATCTGGCGGGGATGGAGCATCGATTCTTTCAACCATTCGAAATCTCGATGCTTACGCCAAGCCCTTGGACGACTTTAGGATAAAGACTACCTCTGGCGCTCTAGGTACACTATAATTGCATCCGCATTGGACGTCATATTCGCTTCATTCAGCGGCAAACATGGCGCAGACATCAACATCACTGGCCAACTCATCTCACAAAATTACTTACTATATCGTCTCCCCCTCATGCCTTACTCACCAAATTTCGCTCTACTAGTCACCGTCATATCTGCAATTGTCATACTGCTACTAGTCGTCTCGGAATTCGTAGACTGGCGAACCATTCAAATGAAACCAAGTCTACATATTGACAAGGCTCGCAAAGAGAAAATGTGGATCAATATAAATGTCACCTTCCCCAAAATACCTTGCTACTGTAAGAATCACTATAGGGGACGTGTTGAAATTGGCGCTATTGACACAGTCTAGTACTTTTGACACTGAGCCAACAATCCTCTTGTTACAAACCAAATAGTGCCTGTCAGTCAAGTACTCACTTCATCCCTTTCTTCTGCATCTCCTAGTACTCACTGTAGACGTCATGGACGTTGCTGGAGAACATCAAAATGACGTGCTGCATGACATGTTCAAAGTCAGGCTAGACACTTGGGGAAACAAGGTCGATACCGCAAAGAGTGGTAATCGTCATATTCATTTTTGGGTTGGTGTTTGCTGCACGCGCCATTCTAACTCAATCAATCTAGAACTGGGTGATTCTAGTGAAAAGGTTGTCAAGGCTCTGAATTCGTCTACTACTGATGTCAATGGATACTGTGGTAGCTGTTATAATGGTGTGCCGCCAGAAAGCGGTTGTTGTAATACTTGCGACGAAGTCCGATCTGCTTATCTGGCCAAAGGTTGGTCATTTACTTCTCCTGACGACATTGAACAGGTGCGTTATCGCGATGAAATATTCCTTGCAATTTCGCGCTCCTATCCAGCTCTAAACATTCAGCCCTCCCTATTTAATATTCAATGCAGTGCATATCGGAAGGATGGTCGCAAAAAATGAAGGACCAGGAAAATGAAGGTTGTAACATAAACGGTCATATCGAGGTCAACAAGGTGGCTGGAAACTTTCATTTTGCTCCAGGTCGGAGTTTTCAACAAAGCAATATGCATGTAAGGGTTAGCAAATCAACCTCATAATTTGATGGTGAAGGTTCAACTCTTTGATTATTTATAATAGGTGCATGATATGGGTGGCATCCTGGCTGGAAAAACATATGATTTTACCCATCAAATTCATACTCTTGCTTTCGGAAAGCAAATTGGATTTCAAAATCCTCTAGATGGAACTGGGAAAGATAAGCCTGCCGATGGTACGCTCGAAGTTCGCCAGGCAAAATAATCTCATGTGTTTCACTCAAGTTTAACATCTCCTCTGGTTCTCAACAGCTGGATCTGTGGTCTATCAATACTTTCTGAAAGTTGTGGGAACCCGAATACAGTATCGAAATGGAACATTAGTAGTCACAAATCAATTCTCTGTCACAGAGCATGAACGAGACCCTTCTAAAACCCCGCAACATGGAGGTTTACCAGGAGTCTTTTTCAACTTTGAAATTTCTCCAATGTTGGTGTTATATACCGAGTATCGTAAGCCCCTCGCACACTTCTTGACGGACGTGTGTGCGATCGTTGGAGGTGTGTTTACCGTGGCAGGAATGGTGGACGCAGCAATTTATACTGCTGCGAAACTGCAGCAAAAAGTAGAATTGGGCAAAGCTAGCTAAAAGAAACAAGACCAATGTATAGAATCTCTTATGTTATGAAAATAGATTTGCACTCTTATCGTCAAAGTACGCCTGCCGACTCGTTGTCTGTTGCCTTCTTATCCGTGTTGCAGTATATGTACACATTTGTTTTTACAGTTCATGGTGCTAATCTTTGATATTATCATCACTCATGGAGTGGCTGAGTCATTGCGAGCATCATTTTTCCTCTTGATGTTACTCTGACCGTTGCTCTTCATGACAGACGGCCAGTTGTCTTCTTGAGAAGATATAGAGGCGATATCCCCCACACTCTTTGAGACCTTATGGCTGGATTCTAGCGACCGAATAACGGGCTTCGATGGCGAGCCAAACGATGCAAAGAGTGCTGAGATTGATGTTGGTAATTTTATAGATGGTACTGGCGGAGTTGCAGGAGCATCAACCGTGGGAAAGCCGAGTTCAGGCTCAGAAGCAGCTCGTTTAGAGGCCTCCTCCTGTTTCGAAGGGTTGAGCGTGAGATTTTCACGTACCCTCAATTTCAGCAACAACAGACGGGGTACTGGTATCTACCATTCTTTCGACGTAGCTCAAGCCGTACTGATTCAGAGTTAACCGTAAATTGGCAATGTTCTCGAGAAGAGTTTGTACTAGATTTGCGACGGAGCCAAGAGCATCAGTTTCTGTTGCTTCAGATGAGTTATTTCCTACTGCTGTTGGTATACTAGGAAATCGGAGGGACAGACGTTCTACATCTTCAAGAATACTTTCTATAATATTGTTGCCTAAAACAAACATTTGCAACGAGAAATGAGCCAATTGATATCGCAGCAAAGCAATTACACCGGCAAGAGATACTGACTGAGCGTTGTGATATAAGTAATCTCAAATTCTCGACGAAGTCGACGATTAAGCTTGATTGGATCCGCTGTTTGAATTCTAGCCAGCAGCTGGTTTCCAAGCAATGTCAGAGTTTTTAGATAAACCGACAGTGCACTCTCAGTCGTATCATACTCTAGACTTTCTCGATTTAAGTCACTGGTAGTTTCAACAGCTTCTTCATTTATAGACAATCTGGTTGGTGTTGTGACTGAATTGCTGCGTCGCTCTGAGCGATTGACTGGAGATTCATTGTGTTCTCGACTTATTGATTCCATTTCTTCGAAGATGGTAAGTGAGTTATTAGGTATGGTTTGAGGGTTGACGGAGCCATCATTATAGTTGGTTGCACTGGATTCTACTAGCTCGTCTCTTGTTCGTGCCAATACATCCTTCACCTGAATCAATTCGTTCTTTAGTTTTGAGTTTGCGGTGGTCAATTCTTCAACCAGCATCAACAGTGTATCTCGTTGTTGCCCTAGTGCTTCAGATTCATCTCGTCGCTATGTAGGTGGAGACGGGGTTTAAAAAAGTTTTATAGTACTTTTTTAACCTTGACATACCATTGTTGGTGTTGATGGGGATTGCGGGACAGTAGGCGAATTGAGGCGATTATGAGAAGCTTGCATGCCAGCAACTCTGGCCTTTAGTTGCTCATTGGATGCTGATACTTCGACAATACGAGCAGCCAGCCGTTTACATTTGGTTTCAGACAATGCTCTAATGGACTCTGTATGATGGAGAGTTGCCTGCAAATTCGACAAATCAGATTGCGCTTGTATACAATCCTTCTTCCATTGCTCTGTCGTAGCCAAAGCATGTTTCAGCTCTTCTGACGAAATCTCGGCTTTCTGCTCGTAATCCATATGTGAATTGCATTGTTGTGTTTCCAGTTCGTCTAGTTTCTTGTCGAAGTCTTTTATACGATTGGAGTATCTATCTCGTTCCTGCAAGACATCTTCCAATTCATTAGTCAAGGCTTCCACCTACGTTGTGTTGGAAGCAAAGGTCAGTTCGAGTCTGGATTTAGCAGACAAGTAGGCAGAAATACCCGTGAAGTCAGTTTGACTATGTTTTGTTCATACAAATCATTTTTTGCCAAGAGAGCCTGACCAATTTCAGCCGCGACACGTAATTTCTCATTGGCTTGGACCAGTTTGATGCCACTCTCGCAAGTACAAATAGGCGTGGTTGGTTCGTCGTCATCCATGGCTGGATGATGTTTGGAGATGGGAGAGATGTCGTGTTTCTCACGCACCAATCGGCTTATAAAGAATAAAAAGATACGATATGAGCTATAATAATATTCTGGTTGGCCACGTCGTTTTGGTTTGAACTACAGCTGGTTGACAAGAAGCGACAAAACAGCCAAACCTAGACAGAGCACACAACGTTACTATGGTTGTAGCACTTTGTAGCGATACTTACAGTATGTAAGCACGGCTCCGAATGACTTGACCCGACTGAACTGTCGTGACCTCTCCGATCGCCTAATAGAGTTCGTGTGCTAGAAGTACCATCCATCAGTCGCTCATTCACACACACTGCAACAAGAAACCGGAAGAAACCAAGAAACATAAGACAGCAACACAAAGTGAATAGCACAACCTGCGGGGAGACAGCGTCCTTCTTGACAGACACGTTGCCGTTGGCGAGAGCGTTCAATAAATTCACTAGGTCTGCGCATCTGAAAATCGTGGAGCACATTGTTTAGCAAATAGTATAAGCGCTCGAGTGTATTCTGAATCATGGGCATAGAATCTATATTGGTGGTCATTGGAAAGGCCTCTCTTACTACAGTTGGTAAGGCATTGCTCGCTGATACATGGACATCAATGCTTCTGAATTTCTGATGACACATGATTTATTTATATCATCACACTGCCGAGAAGGCCATCTCCATTCTTCCAACTTGTCTGCTTTTATCCGCCTCCAAATTTAATGACTCGTTGTACCATCAATTAGCTGCTGGAATCGCTACGTATGTCGTCTTGAGACTCGTTTACAATGATCGTGGTGTCTTTGCTCCTCCCGTACGCAAGGACTTGGCAATTGCTGCTGGAGCAATCCCTCTTCTTGGCCACACCTATACCTCAAGACAGAATATGAATTGGCGACTTGATCGCAGCCTCGAAAACTCGAAACAATACGGCCCAGTATTTCAGCTGACTGTACCAAACATTCGCATCGTCGTCACTACTGATGTTGATGACCTCGCCCATATTATGGGAGATCCTTACAATTATCGGTACGCGAGTGATATTTATCACCAATATCTTTGACGAAGGTACGCCTTCCCTCTTATCCATACCTTCGCCTTTGGAACAGGAAAGGAATTAAGCCGTCCGACTACAAGCTTCTCGAAGATTTGCTAGGTTGAAAGTTACACAACCCTCATCTAAACACCGTTTGTGTTTCTACTCTCTTCTAATACCCTTTCAACATAGGTCACGGAATCTTTAACAGCGACGGTGCTGAATGGCGCTCACAAAGGAAAATCGCTGCAAATATCTTCAATGTAAACCCTACTGCTGTTTTCGTTTGGAGCTGAAACTCTTTGTGACATCTTTCTTGTCACTCTCAAGGTCAAGAACTTTGTCGGACTTTTTGCTGATGCATTTTCTGAAGAAGCCAGGTTGATCTGTATGCATCTCGACAAGGCTGCTTCCAAGGGACTCATTGTGGAAATGCAAGATCTTTTATTGCGTTCGACGCTAAATTCATTTGTGAAGATTTCGATGGGAGTATCTATTGGCGCACTCGAAGTGGAAGCCAGAGATGTGAATGGTGAGCATTGCTTTGTGCATGGACGACCTCAAACGCCTGCGAATTTTAACACTAGAATGTGTTTGTAGGAGTCTATACACTTCCTGACGTCGATTTCATGCAAAGCTTTGATGGTTGTGCTGCTATCATTGCTCGGAGAGGTCCGTGGTAAGTACTTGTTTGAATCCCAACTCTCATCTATTCTTCATTCTTAGATGCTTATGCAAACTCTTCCAATGCAATTAGGTGGCGTTATGTCGAACCATACACTGAAAGTGGGAAGAAGATGAAGAAATACGCACAAGTCATGAATGACTTTGCAAGTCGTATCGTTCAAGAAAAGCGTGCAAAAATTGAGGCCGGCAAAACGTTGCCTAATAAGGACTTGCTTGACTTGTTTATGCAAAATGGCAATGAGGACGGAAGTGAACTATCCACTTCTCAATTGCGTAAGCTGCATTCAGGTTTGCATCCCATACTTATAGGCTAAAGTTTTATATTAAATAGGCGACATTGTTATGAACTTCATCATTGCAGGCAGGGATACAACCAGCCAAACGCTTTCATGGTGCTTATGGGTAATAAATAGAACTGGTTTCTTGAAGTGTTCCTTTTCTAACTTCCGCTTCTTAGAACGTATCAACACGGCCCGACGTTGAAAAGCAAATGTATGACGAGATCATCAGCGTTGTTGGTCAAACCCAAGACATTTCTTACGAGCACTGCAAGTCTATGAAATATGTGACAGCAGTGTTTAATGAAACGCTTCGCCTGTACCCAAATGTGCCTGCGGCCACAAAGTGAGTTTACATTGTTCAAGAGAAGTTCAAAATTTCATTGTCATGACTGATTTTGCATAGGCGTGTAGTGAAAGATGACATTTTGCCTGGCACCCATACAAAGGTGTACGCTGGTGAAGTCGTTTCGTGGTCCAGCTATGTTCGAGGAAGATTAGAGAGCATTTGGGGGCCAGACGCTTCAGATTTCAAACCTTCGAGGTGAGTCTTGTCTCCCCTTGCAAGTCACTTTCCTCTGAACAGGAATTGCTCTCGTGTTTTAGATGGATAATGGAAGATGGATCTCTGATGAAGCCTTCTGCAGCCAAGTGGCCCGCCTTCAATCTCGGACCTAGAATCTGCTTGGGAATGGGCTTGGCTACGCAAGGTCTGTTGTTCGTCTTTTCAATTTCGTATCCCAAATCCTTTTGGGCCTTACAATGGCTTTTATTACAACGTTTAATAGAGGGGATTTGCTTTCTTGCAACAATTCTGCGTCGATACCACCTCGAGTTGGTAAACGACGATGAACCACGTCATTGGGGCGATCCTAAAGGGAAGCGGGGAAGATACGGCCTCTCGTTAACCCTGTCTATGCGAGGTGGTGTTGAATTCAAGATTCATCCTCGCAAGAATGGCTTCCAGTACTAGCTCGTCGTTGTGTGGGTTTAGAGTTTGAATGATTGCTGTTGTTTTGATTTTGAAAAAACATTCGTTAGTAGAATAATAAAAAAATAAGGATCAAGTACGATATGTACCGGGATATGTGTTCGTGGCCCTTGGCGTTTGCTTAACGTGATAAACGTCCACGCTAACATAGTCAGCGGTTGTGCTGTCTCCCGACCCCCAGTGCTGTACTTGATTTTCTCATAAAGTTACAAACGATAGCACCAACCCAGTATTGAAGCCGTTTAACTAGTTTCGGTTGAAGATGTTGTCGTGGTTTACCAAGGACAAAACAAGTCAGTCGGAACGCAGACAGTTCTGGCAGAAACAACCCACCGGAAAGTGGTTTGATACCATTCTAATCATCAATCTGGTAAGTAAGCAAGCGCTCGTCTGTTATTGTAGTTGATCCCGCCCTGTGAGAGGTGATCTGACCAAAATCATCGACATCATACCATACAGGAAAACACAAACTATGAGGATGCCATCATCAACCTAGACTTTCTACAACAAGATCATGGTGCTGTATTACTCACTAATTTCCACGGTCTTACTCACCCAAGTCAAGGAAATTACATTGGTCAGGTCAGCCAATTTTTTTTGAATTCATGACCTTTCGCAAACTTGGCCTACTAATTCTGTCCTAGATCTGTTTTTGCCAACTTACACGAGCTTCGTCCAATCATTGTTTCAATAGATATATGGCTCACTTGGTGGTGTGCTGACTGACGCTAACTACGATGTCGACGGCGTGAATCTCGTCGATTTGCTGGAAGTGGCAGGAGTATCATGGAAAAGCTATAATGAAGGATTTCCAGGTAATCCAAATCTGGTTTCAATGTAGAATTCGACTATTGATACGATTGATTACTAGGGAGTGGATTTCAGGGAGCACGAAAAGATGCATACGTCCGAAAACACAGTAAGGACACATGGCTTACAATTATATTGGATCTAACCATCAATCTTTTACAGACCCCTTCATCTCTATGAACAACATTCGGACCAATACCGTTCGCGTCGCCAGAATCGTGTCCGGAGAAGAATTCCAAGACGATTTGCTGTCAAATAAACTGCCACAGTTTTGCTTTTACACGCCCGACATGCTGAATGACGGCCATGACACCTCTATCGAGTATGCGGCAAATTGGGTCTCTAAATTCTTGCCTCCCATCTTGTCAGCCCTTCAGCAACAAGCGGCACTTATTGTGTTGACATTTGACGAATCTGCCAATTGGTTTGGAAGGAACAAAGTGGCTACTTATCTGATGGGAAGCAGTGTAGTTCAACAAGCCAGCGATCCCAGTCGATACAATCATTATTCGATCTTGAAAACGGTTGAAGAGAACTGGTCGCTGGGATCCCTGAATAGACATGACGTTACGGCCAAGAGCTTTGAATCATCACTGACACGACCAAGCAAATTTTGGTTTCATTAAGCTGTGAGTTGTATAATAGCTGTAACAGAGACAATTAAACAATTATGGAAATCTGTTCTCTGGACATTCTTATATCCACGTAAAAATAAATATGTAACGTATATTAGCCTTTTGTGGTGAATTGGACCAGTTCTGGGATTGCGGCCTGTCCTTACACATAAAAGAAAACGTGACGGTGCTAGGTTATAAGATCGAACGTCCTAGGTTGCGATAGCGAACTGAGTGCCCGCAGAGCGTTTTTCCAAGAAGCGATTGGTTGTTTCGCCCAACGTGAAACTTAGATTTGCGTTGCTTTCCGTAAATTGCTTTTGCCGATTGAACCTACAACGCACTCTTGGTTCGTTTGGAAGAGAAAGGGACAAGTGGTGCAGCATTAGAGCACGATCAACAGAGGAGAGCCGCTTTTTCCATTGCTGTCTGCTAGCAAATGAACCCATTCCTGGTTGTTTGGACCGGAATGGTTTTTGCTCAATTGGCCTCCAGCGCTGCCCTATTGGAACCTACAAATGGAAAGGTATGTAAATGACATAGGTTCAGAGACCCTGGTTTCGGTGGATTGCTGTTCAAATGCAAAAGTGGTTGATGGTCAACACATTTCCATTTCTGTGAAACTCACTCACTGGTTTGCTCAATCCTATGGCACTAACTATAGATATTACTATCGTCATGGCTCGATTACAGTGGCAGCGTATCAACGGGCGACCGGACTTGGAAGTTTGACTCGAGAATGGGTCGCAACTTTTCCTATTTTCATTTTGCAGTCAACTGTATGTTCATTTGCTGGAATTGTGTGGCTCTACCGTGTAGCTGAATTACTGATTCAACAATCTAGTACCAATTGACAGCTTTCCGCCATATGACTATGTTGGTCAATCTGCTACGGACGCACATATATTTTTGTCAGTCTACCCTTTAACTCTAGACAATATTACCGATGCCCAAATAGCTCAGTTAACAGCTCAGTGCCAGGCCTTGAATGGTCTTGGCAGGAACGTTTTGCTCAGGATTGGGCCAGATATGGTAACTTCAGCTCAGTGCTTGCTGTTTTTACTTTATTAATCCACAAACCTGCCCTCTTCTATTATACAGAACGGGTATGTCGGATGTAGATCTGTATGTCTGCCAACCTTTGACCCAACTTCAATATTTCAACCCAATTTGTTCACAGAGCTTGGTACCCATTCGGTCAATCCCCAACAAAGTTCATAGATCTCTTTAGGCGCGTCAGTACTGCTGTACGAAATGCTACCACCACAACAGCAGTGATGTGGGCACCTTCAGCAGCAAAAGGTTATCCCTTTCTCTTATCCCAATATTCCATATCAAACACAAGCTCTGATTTTGCCTTACTCGATACAAATCATAATGGTCAGCTCGATCTTTATGACGACCCATTTTCACCATATTTTCCTGGAATATCGTATATTGACTGGATAGGGATGGGAAATTTGTACCATTTAGGGAATGTCTATCCCAACGTTAGCAACACATTACCAGCCGCAGGTCAACTTGAACTATCAGTTACGAGTCAAGATCAGCCCAACAAGACCTTCAATTTCTATCGAGGTAGAATTTACAATTTTATGAACCTGAAAACTAGTTAACTAACATTGTTGTTTGCCTAGACTATGTCGTTGCATTGAACAAACCATTCGCGATTGCAGAAACGAATGCTGTTTTTCACGATAGTCCACTCATCGAGTAAGTCTTGACCTTGTGTAGAGTGGTGCTCTGGATATGCTAAACAGCCGTCTATATTTTAGTGTCGGACCTGGAGAGGTGGCCATTAAGCAGGGTGAGACTCGTTGGGGTTCGGGACTAGCGCACAAGGATTGCTTACCCTCGTGTTTCCATATCATAGCTTGGTGGCGCCAATACTTGACCAATTCTACCTTTCTCGCTACTTACAGCCAGCTCAAATTGATCAACATCTTTGAATTCCGAAAAGACGGCTCTGGAACTGAAAACGGCATCGTGAGAGACTACAGTATCAGGCATGTGCTTCTACTTTTAATTGTCACTACAAGGACCTTTTGTGCTGACATTTTTACTGAAGCTATCAAGGAGTTGTCTCTGCTGCTTGGGCAACTGATTTTGCAGCGGTTGCTTCGAAGTTTGAGTTAGCCTCACCAGCCGCGAATGTAACACTGTTTGGGACCACTACCACTTCCTCAACCTCGGGTAGCTCATCGTCACCTTCGAACGCTTTGTGGGCTATATTATCAGTACCTGCCGTTATAGCCATCGCATGGGTTTATTTGGCCGTGAGGAGGAAGAGAAGAGCTCATCTGCCGCCGTCGCCGCCTCGAGATAATCCTCTGCTAAAATATGTACCAGAGTTCTTGAAACCAAAGGATAAACCAGCTACTCCCGGGTTTGTAGGTTCAGCAGAACTGGAAGCCGCTCGAAGCGCTCGCTTGTATCAAGAATATAATGTTAGGTACCCGAGCAGGAGGAGAGATGGTCGTGCCACTCCTTCAGCCGATTCAGATAATAATAGCATGGTAGAGAATGGTTCAGTTGGAACTGGAACATATCTCAATCTCACCGAAGATGCCGGAGGCCCTCCTACTATAATTGAACCCCATGCATCGATCGCACACGTATCGGAACCTGCCGCTGCTCTAATATCAACATATGGCACTCAACTCGACTTCAACAATCAGGCTGCTATATACAACAACTACGGACAAGATCTCGCTGATAATAGAACCTATACAGACAATGGCGACATACACACTGATCCTACTACGCACATGGCCGACAACAGTACTGTAGGTCACAGCTTTAATGGCGAGGATGTAGTTGCTCCAAGGCACGATGATGTGTCTCATACTCTACCACACAATTCATGAGTAATTTAGTTTAGTAGTAATTACGTTTTCATACCGTAATTTCCATGTATTTACTGGTTACAAATAACAGTGACCACATATAATTTGCATTGTCGTTTCCTCCAAAAAATACCCAAAGCACAAGACTGAAGACATCTTCGGATCTTATAATATTGCGTCTTTTTGCAAGTTACAGTCAGTTAATAACATTTGAGGTTTGTATGCGATTCTGCGAGATTTTCAGTAAGGATTTTCATTCCAAGACCGTTCGTATGTCGAGTCGACAGCTATGCATCATACGTATCAACATATTTTTCAATCGATAAACTATAATGGGTCCCCAATCAAACTTACACTGGGCAAGTACCATTCTTGTTCAACCAGGAATCCACACACTAAAATTAAAAATCGGGCTTGGTCATCTGCTCTAAATGATATCGATAGAATTGATGATACCTCATCGTGGAACTAATGGAATTAAATTGAAAGTCATCGTAAGGACTCTTCTTAGAATCACCGAGGGTTAAGTGATTTACCTGATGACCGCATGGAACCGTCTTTACATCATTTCCGTCCTGTTCGAAATTTATGTTAAGAATCAGAAGGAAGATGGATGGACGATGTCCCAGAAATGCGTGTTGACTTATAGATGTAGATGTCATCAATATACCTCGTATGCTGTCAAGCAAATAGCACACCGAGCATCTTCTCCAACGAGGCTACCTCCAACATACTTCCGACTCGGTAATTGTGACATAAATTGCACTGAGATTCCTTTAGGTTTGGCATCACCGATGCGTTCTAAAGTGTATTTATTGAGTTAGAAAACGACTGGCACTCTGGAAATAATTGGCAGAGCTGACCTGAAAGTGCTAGCAAGCCTTCATATGTATCCGGAATGAACCCATAGTTTCCGAGATTTTGAGCTAGACTGATGTCACCAGCCAAATCTGCGGCTAGATCATAACCTGAATTATATACTTGATATGCTCTGTCATAGTCGCGCTGGAAGTCGTCGTGTTGATCATAAACAAACTCTTCGTGACGATCCGGAGGAGGGATATAGTCTTCATCATCATGTTCGTAACCACGTCGAGAATATCTGGCAGAGTGCCTAGACACTGGAAGACCCGGAGCTACAATACGACTTTGAATCAATCGGCGAGAGCGAGAAGAGGAGCCACCTGGCTGAGGTGGTTGTTGTGACAACATGGATTGAATAGACTGCAGCTAATAAAAATTGCATGATTGTCAAGGCAAAATGATGTGGTCAGGCAAAGCGTTCATAAGCTCAGAGGGACCAAAACTTACAGGATTTTCAGATTGATATACTTGATACTCTTCTGCTTGAAGCCTACGAGCAAATTCTTCATCAGCTTCGATTGGGTTTGTGGGTATGTCGTCAAATCTAGGAAGATCTTCATCTGTATGTGTGGGGGTTGATAGCAAGTTACGTTGTGCCATACGAGGGCTTGTACGTTGAGGCAGATTCGGTGATGTTGGTTGTCGTGTGGATTGCGGTCGTGGTTGCGGCCGTGGTAGATTTGAGCTTACAGATCGTTCTAGTTTCGATTTCTTATTTACATGGGTACGACTCCTTCCACCGGCAAGGAATTGAAGTCGTTTGGGAGGTGATGGCAAACGACTATTGTTGCTCTTCGGTTTGCTTCCAGGACTGGGCGTAATCAGGTCCACTACAGGAGTATTGGTACCTGCTTCAGATGGCCTCTTCCTTTTGCCAGGCGAGATTCTTGTAATTTCAAAGTCGTCGTCTGAGTCGTCAAATGTTGGAAGAAAGTTGTGGTCGTCGTCAGATGGTTCGTCCTTAATTATACGTCTGGGCCTACTGGGTACCGCAGGAGCAATCCTAGCAGGAGCTGTTGGTGCTGTTGATGCTGCTCGTTCGTTTGCTCGTTCTTTTCCCTTTGAAACTCGCAATCTACGAAACGGATCATCCAGTTCATGTTTCTGGCAGACAGGAGAGTCTGATATTGTAATGGGAGAGTTCAGACCCGCTGTTGTTGTCCTCTCCTCTTCCATATCTGTACAAAGTGCAAGAAATGAAACGTAGGAACTAGAAGATCGAAATATCGAAATCGAACCAACATGATTACCATGATCTGGACTATGGACTGTGATATTTCAGAAAGTTACATGTAGAATAAGTTATAAACGCGATCTTTGTTCTACACAGTAAGATCACCGGGTCTGCATGCTCATTCGAATGCAGTGATCGATTTTGTTATGATACCACCGGCAATAAAATATAAAATAGCAATGCTGTATATGACTCTATACCCTTATTATGAGCTATAGTTAGATTTGCGCAGCGTGGCAAATAGAAAGTGCAAATCGTACCTAAACATTTGATTCCAGCATTATCTCCAACACTTTGTAAAATGTCTCTAACTGTTCCAGCTATTGGAACAGCAACAATGGACGGCACGACCTAGGACACAGAGTCAGACTTTCTGGTCCTTGATCATGCACAAGGAGTACTTACCGAGCTGGAGTGCCATAAAGAAAAATCTCTTGCTGCATCAGCCGAGTTAGGTAGCGTATCCAGGGCCCTATAAGAAAGATTGCTCGTCAAAAAAAACTGCGATTGCAACTGCCTCAAGAAAACCAGCGATTCGGGTGATTGGACATACATGGCAAGCTCAACTACAATAAGACGAGAGAAATAGCATTAACAAGTGCTCCATGGGTATTGATTCACGGTTAGACAGCGATAAGACAACATTCATGCCGGCAAAACAGTCAATTGCCCCAATGTATTGCTCCACATACCCGAGAGAAATGGCCCAAAGCCAGCCCCGAAAATGGCGGATGAAACGAGGACCAGCCAAAATGGCGGTATCAACATCATCAATATACACGTGCAGGTGAATAAGGACAAAGCGAAATAGACCAGTGGCTTTCGTTTCGAGTGATTTCGAACGAGAATCGAGCCGACGGGGGCTAAAACGAGCAACGGTATCAGAGCTACTGAAACCGCCACTGGAGGCGTCAATGAAGCGGGCAAATCGACACAATCAGCTAAAGCATATTGAAGGAACTAGAAATAGAGTTGAAAGTAAATGAGGACTAGCTTGTACCTCACAAATGTGAATCAAGGTTAAGGCAAAATTGCAATTATGTTTGAAGTTAAAGAATTTTTTCTAACTTGGTTTATAGTCGTCGTTCCCATGTAACAGACAAATCTCGAGAATATGACTCGTGCGAATTGAGGATTCTTGAAAAGAGGCCTAACAATCAGCACCAGTAAATATAAGATCTGCGATCCGTTTTGTAAGAATACAACCTTATGGTTTGCCAAAAGAAATCCTTCCAAATAATTGGTGGTAAGGACTCATTGCGAGCAGGCTTCTCTTCGACAGCTGTGCAAGTGGCTACAGCACAACAGGATGTCACGAAAGCAACTATGACATAAGTGGCGGGCGTGCCCAAGGTAGAGTAGAAACTATATGGTTTGTCCAAAGTATGAAAATGATGCTCAGAAAGCTAAACGGTTGTTTTCAACAGCTTGCCTTCCTAAAATTGCACCTCCCAAATATCCTGCGAGAGTCGCGGCACCCATAATACTTGATATAACACCTAAGTTGACACTAAATTCAAGTAGAAAGAAACCCAAACTAGACGACTCTACCTTTCTGATCTCTTGGAGTCACTTCGGCAATCAGCGCTTGGAAAGGTGTCGTTGCAACAATGACCCCGAACGTCAACAAGAGATAGGCGACACTGTAAAATCCCAAACTGTGGTCACTCCAAAGAAAGAAGAGCGAGAGACACATGACTCCTGTCCCCAACACGATGCTTGGCCTCCGTTTTCCATGTCTGGGGCTGATCTGATACGAATTACGGTCGTTGAGTGCTCCATAGGCAATAGCAAAGAAGAGCGTGAAGATGCCCGCAACCAGGGTTACGATGGACATTGCGGTTCCCTTTGATTCGTCACCTGTCAGGGTCAGAATGGTTGAATGTATATAGATTTGAAAGAAAATCACTGCAATGGTTGGATTGGTTGTTATAGATGCAGGAGATTTCAATCCAAACACATGGAACAGTCGATCAATAAATTGGACGCTTACCGACAATTTGCCTAATTTGATCTGGCATTATCACAGCACCGATCAAGAAGTTGAAGAAATGGTACCTACACGTCAACGTCAGCCAAGACTGCAAAATGCCGAATTTGGTAAATATCTTTAATTTCATACCCAAAGTGAAAGGTGCTAATTCTGACAAGCGTAAAGAGCGGAAGGGAGGGCGTCCTAGAGTCAAGGCCATTTCCCTGTACCAGCTGAGCGACGTCTCGTTCCTCTTCAATCGCGAATTCATTTTCGTCAATTTCTTCCGAGAGCTCATCTTCTAAGGAGTCTCTTTGCACTAGACTGTAGTCCTTTTCATCTTCCTTAGAAGGTGACCTTGTGGGCACCGTTGGTGAGAACATGTCCAGCGTGCCTAACGGGTCACAACAAGAAATGATTTGAATTGGCCATAGCTAGAAGAAGTTAGACTACAAGTCGATTTAGTAGGGTCAAGAGATTTGTACGTTTACACGCGATGACGAGAATTGATTTTGCTGTCTATTGTTCATATTTCGTGTCAATATATTATCATTCAGAACATTTCAGAAACAGTGCTGCTCAAAGGCGTTCATTTTGATTTTAGTCTACTGTTCAAAGATGGCGTTCGACCATCTCAACCATGTATCCATTCTTGAGGGCCAATGTAGCTGAATAGATTCCACGTGGATTTTGACCACTAACGAAACGTGGTGTGTACTTGCTGAGAATAGCTACCATTGTAGCCTTTACTTCCATAGTCGCCATTTTGTGACCGATACCTGTTTGGATTGGTGATTCTTTGGTCAGTACGCGAACAAGGTAAGAACGCGTCGTTAATCAGCTACAACTCACATTTATATTCTCCATCACTGAATGGCAAGTATTCATGCCCAGCTTTCAAATTAGCCCATCGGCCAGGATTGAAATCTTGAGCGTCAGTCCAGTAAGCGTCAGATCGTTGAATTTCTCGAATGGCAATCATGATTCGAGAGCCAGCGGCAATACGATGACCCATAACTTGAAGATCGGTCACAGCAGTACGCCAGTTTGCCATGACGGTTGGCGGATGTAGTCTCAGTACTTCAGAAAAAACATGATCCAAGTATTCGAAGCGAGCCAAATGAATGTTGTCTAAATCAGTTCGGCTGGCAATCATGTTATCAATCTCATCTTGGAGTTTGCTGACCACATGGGGATGTTGACAGAGCTCAAAGAATGTCCATGTGAGCGTGGAAGCAGTAGTGTCGTGGCCTTGTCAAAGATATGAATTGAGTGAGATCTTCGTTGCTGTGAGCTTCCATACGCTCATATTTACCACCCAGATACTAATAAGAAACAGAGTGTAAGGCTTGCTGTAATCTACCTTGCGCCATGAGAGTTTACTTACGAAGGTAGCTGCTTCATCAATGATCTCTTCAGGACTGAATTTCTACATGGTGAATCGCACTAAATTCACTTGTATGACACAATTCAATATTAGACGAAATGAATTCAAACCTCTCGACCAGTTTCGTCAGCCTCTAGCAACAAATCAATCAAGTCTCGAACAGCTCCAGGACGTCTTCCGCCATGTTTTTTGATTTCGAAACGTTTCTTGATAATGACTTCATTCAAGAGATCGTACACAGGTTTGAGAGCAGCTTTAAGCTGAGCCTGAGAAATCCCGTACCAGTCCCACAAGATTTCAGGTTTTCCAGCTCTCTGTTTTGTTCAAGTAGATTTTGTAAGATCGAATCAGTAAATAATCATCAATGGTGTTCATGGATTGGGGTATAGTCTACCTTTGCAGGAACGGTCACCATCATATCCATTGCGACTTCAAATGCACCATGAACAGGCAACGGGTCTGCAATTCGATCCAAGGAGTTGAATTCGTGAGAGAACAGAATTTTACCAAGCACATCCGTCGTCATGGCCATCATGGATCTAGAGTTGGAATTGTCATCTTAGATGTAGCAATTGAATAATCGGGTTCACTTTTAGCTGGCTTACTTGTAAATGTCGACTGTAATGGCATTGTTGCCAGATATCGTTTGCTGCTTCCAAATGTTCATTAATCTCGTAGCATAGTGAGCAGAAGCTCCAATAGTTTGATTGAGTTGATTTGGTATAAAAGCATTGACCAAGTGTTTTCTGTGAACCTTGTGTTGCTCGCCAAAGAGCGCTACCATTCCTTGTTTGAGGACACTATTCAGAATGTCATGATTGGATGTGTGAGGTGATGCGAAAATAATGAAATGAAGAAAACCAAATATTTGAACCCTTACGTGAATTTCTGAAACTCGGCACTCTTTTCAACACGACCAGCTGCACGATTAAAGAGTATACTTCTAGCTGCTTCGGCATCCGCAATAATGACCATTTCTGATCCACCTGGCAGCGGCAGATTCACAATGGGACCATATTTGACTACCAATTCGTGAAAGAATTCATGCAATCTGCGGCATTGATTGTTGAAGAAGAATGAATGATTGTGCTTTGCGACGTTTATGTCAAAACGAATGAAAACAGCATCGAGAGCATTCTGAACTCGTACCTCCCTTCACTTGCATATGGTAGCATTTCACGCAATGCACCGATGAATGGCATCCCGTCAGGTCCAGGAATTGTTGAATTCTTCTTCTGATTATTGGACCATAGGTAAAGTCCAACACCCAGTGCTGCGGCTGCTACTGCAGTTGAAATATATAGCTCCTTGTGTTCCATTTCTCATGTAGTCGCGAAATCTGTACTGTAGAAAGAGTGGAGCAGCAGAACTTCTTTGTCTGAAGAAAGATGAATCAGAAGTTTGGATTCGAAAAGGTGGTTCCGATACCATGATGTCACGTAATGGGACGTGAGTTTGGAAGCCTTTCTACTTGTGGTAATACGGGTTGAATCCAAGGATGATTCCCACATGAAACGTTTTAGACAAAGCAACCGCAACGCAATTTTTCATATCTTTAACGTCTTTCTTGATACGGAATGAACACGCTGCTCGGGAAATAATACCAATTAATATTCTTTAATCCATATACCGTCAAATCCCTAGCCACTACCATTTAAAAAAATGGTGAGAGGGAGAGTGGGGATCCTAAATCCAAGAAGAAAAACTTTACCACCAATTACGGCGGTGAGAGAGACATGCAAGAAGAAAACCAATTATCTGGAGATACTGGAACGGGGGGTAGGGATAAGATAAGGATAAGGGTACATATAGTGGGGGAGGGGGTATTTTGCTCTACCAATTAAATCGCACGCGGTGCGAGCGGGCAGGGGCGATCAACAAATTCGAGCGGGTAGAAATGTAGAGTTGTTAGCGTATAAATCAAATGTAGATAGTATGAACGTCGTTCTTTGCAATAGCACAGCGTATTGTAGCTGTTTAAATTAAACTGAAGCACAGGTCTTTGCATATTAGCGCGTTCCTAGTATGTCGGTAGGTTAGAGGATCAGTATGGATTGCATTTTAGACTGTTATAGAGGTGCTGGTACTACCTGGATGCTGACTTCAGAGACGAACACGGTATTTTGCAATGCTTGAACTTTTCACGTCAAAAACACAGCAACTGCGATTACAGAAATGAAACACCATGACACCAACTGGACCTTATGGATTTAAATGCATTGACGCGTCTCAGTTTCTGCAAACTGGATTGCGCTTGAAACGATGGGTGAGTATCCGACGCCTATAGCTCAAATCACTGACAAAGTCAAACTTTGGGATGTGTCCGTAATACCTGATCGCAGACTTGAAGATACTCCAAAGCCTGAAGAATGGCCGGCCATCGTCGAAAGCTTTCGTAAAGATTTGGATACTCACATTAGGGCTTTATGCAGTGACATTCCTCTTGGATATGTTTTAGGTCAACCGAAGTTACTCCGCTATGATGCAGATTCATTCGATCAAAGGCTTCATGAAGATGGGCCACATCTGGAGAGAGTATTTGTTATTCTACATCTTGGTATTGTCGTTCAGGTTTGGGTGAAAAACTCTGGGCAATTGACAGAACTGGCCTTTTTTATTCTTGTAGATCGAGCAAAAGGAACTGCATTCCCGAAATATCCTCTTACCAGCCCGAAAAGTTATGATCTGAATGACTACCGAGCTGTCATCGTCGAAGCCGGACAGGCTGCATTATTCTGGGAGGGGCTCACTCGTTTTGGCTCAGCTAATGAGAGGATTGGTAGAGCAGCACTAAAGCCTCGAATATCATTTTTGCAGCCTTCATACCAACAATTACTACTCCGTTATGAGGAGAACGTGTATGCATTAAGTGTTTATCATTTCATTCTATTTCATGTCTACTGATCACAGCATGAACAGAATGTGGATGCCTAACGTTGATCGTTATACACGGGTGCTGCATCGATTTGTTACTATACAGTATCATCGATTGACAAACTTATGCAACGAAAAAGCACCGTCAGAATCCATCTTGTTGATGACATCGATTAATCAGGAAACACAAACCATCAATGATTGTAAAAAATCTGGAGACTGGAGTCATTGGCAGCAAGGTATTCAGGCAGAATGGAAGAGTTTATCAGACAGAAAAGCTTTGGTCAACTGCTAAGCTTACCACCCGGCAAGAATGCTGTTGGACATAGACGGGTCTTTGTCAGGAAGCTCAGAGCTGATGGCACTATAGATAGATACAAAGCAAGATTAGTAGCTCAAGGTTTTTCTCAAAGACCAGGACACGATTATAATGCTACATATTCACCAGTGATGGACACGATTACGTATAGGTTCTTATTGAGCTTCGCAAGATATATGAAGTTTAAAATAGATGATATGGATGTAGAGACTGCCTACCGTTATGGTAATCTGGATGCTGATATATATATATATGAGAATGCCAGAAGGAATCGAAGTCCCTAATGGAATAGAGAACCCAGTATTGAGGGTTGAGAAGGCGTTATATGGCTTCAAACAATCTGGAAGAATGTGGTATAAAACTCACTCAGAAACATTGGTGAAGGATGGATATCAAGTCAAACGGCATCAAGGGGTAGGGGTAGGGGCAGGGTGAGGGTAGGGGTGAGGATACATATAGTGGGGGAGGGGGAAAACATAGTGGGGGAGGGGGTATTTTGGTCTACCATTTAAAAAAAAGGTGAGAGGGAGAGTGGAGATTGTACATCTAATAAGTAAATCAATTATTTGAAGTCAAATGTGCTAGCTTTCGTTCGTAGGCGTGCTGGTTTGACATCTGCGTGATGTGCTCGAATGTGACTGACTTACGAAGCGAAGACACGCAAAACGAATAAAGAGCAGGCGTGGATACCACGATATAGATGAGCCAAAATCATCCACATTGGCGCAAATTTGAAAAGCAGGCGTGCTGAATTCAACAACTTGTTGTAATGGGCAGTTGTTCGTTGTGTGCGTGTGTAGAACTCAACCCAACAGTCCTGAACTATGTGCCGCTGGCATACCCAACTACTACGACTAGTAGTTGCTTTGCTGATCTGTCGTGTATGACGCGTCTAGGATTCCTTAATATGGTGCGATCACCATAACATGCTGGTTTTAATGATTCTGTTCCATTGACCTTTATTGTCAATAGCCGCCCACACTTTCATTCCTCTCTCCAAACACTTGGGCTCTGCGAGTTGTGCTTTTGGCTGTTGAAAACGCACTCCTGCAGGGGAGCTTTTTTCGGGAACCGCCTTGCTGAACATTTTGGAGTAATGCTCGGAACAATAACCGTCCCTAGCGAACGCATAGCCGACTACACTAAGCTGGCGAACATGTTGTTGGGAGCTC